GGGTCACGAAGGTTGTTTTCCTTTGTTAAGCAAGGGGTTTGGGACGGATAAGAGATCACAATTCAGGGACCAGAGTGTCATTAACTTAGCGTACAAACAGATTTGCGATAAGATTTTAGTATATTGTGCGGTCTATTGACATACAGGATCCTGTTTGCAAAACATTTTTATCGGTTTTGTTAGGATTGTAAGTTGTCGATGTTTTATATTAGAAGTTAGTTTATGAGTATATTTAAAAAATTTCTTTAAGTTTCGTGGTTAGCGGCTCTCACATAAAACTCACATGTTTCAAAAGAATTAAGTTTGTGGATCGGAAAAATATAATCCAGTGAGTTACCAGAAGTAATTCATTTGCTTAGTCATTTTGACCAACCCTAACAAGGGGATATGCAAAACCAGACTGCAACAATACACAATATGGAATCTCGGTCATGGATCGTCACTCACATATTGGGTTGCAGGTATTGCACATAGCGTTGTTTGAGATTGAAATCCGATTTAGTGTTACAAAACACACCGGGCGGTAACCTGGAGGTCAGAATCCGAGTTGGCGTAAGAAGACACAGCGGAGACAAGAAGTGGGATTCGCCCGATGCGGTGACCCGCAGTTCGGAATCCGAAATTTATGTATTCCATCGAAGCAGAGGATGGGGAAACGCGGCATCATTGAATTTCGTGCGCCGTCATGATCGTGGGCTCGAGACGGTGCGTTCGGTGCCATGCAGTCATCGATCGTTGTACCCGCCCGGTGAGTGGCGGTGCCGGGAGTGAACCAGGATGGGTCGCCAAGACTCACAGTGAGTTACCCTACTCAACAGCCCCCAACCACCACCTCCGCCCCCGCAATCACGACCACGACCCCCTGTACGCGCATACCTGATGATGGGAATGGACTCGGGTCGTCCTGTTCGACCCATAGCCACGGAGCCCGGAATTGTGGGGCGACGGTTCCCGGGCAACCTCAAAATCCTGTCCGACATTCGACTACTAGATTGTACAATGATATTGACGCGGATACTGACCAGCCGAGACGTAATCCATCACGGGAACGGAAACCTCCGGTCAGATACGAATACAACATTCAGCATGATACCACCATTGCAGAACCAACAAACTGTCGCCATGCGATCAACAGTCCTGTCTCCGAGAAATGGCAAAAGGCTATGGAAGTTGAACCAGACTCACTCGCTAGGAATAATACGTGGGATCTGATTGACACACCAGATTACCGAAAACTGGTCGACTGTAAATGGGTATATAAAATTAAACTCGGGCCCGATGGCAACCCCATTTGGTACAAAGCCCGACTTGTCGCAAAACGTTTCTCACGGGTGCCTGGTCAAGACTTTGATCAGACTTACGCCCCCGTCACCTGATACGAATCCATCAGACTGCTTCTTGCTCGCTGCCTTCGAACTGGCGGCCAATACGATCAGATTGAGATTACTAGCGCTTTCCCATACGGCGAACTCCGGAAAGAAATCTATATGAAATCTCCACCTGGCTACTCTACTCCCGGTAAAGCATGCAGACTTATTAAATGCATCTACAGCCTCAAACAGTCATTTCGGGAATGGTATGCTCGTCTCTCCAAAACTCTAATCGGAATGGGTTTCAGAAAAGTGGACTTCAATCCTCGTGTTTTCATTCATAAAACAGTAAAAGTGGTCATCGCCATCTATGTGGATGATATCCTTATCATCTGCTGGTCCGTTGAACACAAGAACTGTGTCAGCCTTTAGCTCCACTCAGAATTGGAGAAGACGGAAACTGGCACAGCCAAGTGGGCACTCGGGATCCACTTGATCCACACTAAGACCGGCGTGATTCTATTACAGGAAGCCTATCTCAAGCTTGTACTTGTTGAATACGGTTTCAATTAATCTAGACCTGTGGCAACACCTATCGAAAACAATGTTCACCTACAAAAGGGAACAAAAGCGGAGAAAATTGACGATCCAACAATCTATCAGTCGATAATTGGTTCATTAATATATGCAGTAATCGGTACCAGACCGGACCTCGCCTATACCGTCACCATGCTCTCGCAATTTTCTTCCTGTCCCACCAAAGCTCATCTGGCTGCAGTCCATCGCGTCTTTCGTTACCTCAAGGGTACCCTCGATTGGTCACTCTTCTATGCAAAAAGACTACCCACTGCACTCATCGGCTTCAGTAACGCAAGCTATGCCTCTGACATCGACGATCACCTCTCATTTACCGGCCACTGCTTTATGCTAGGGGAAGCTCTTATCTCCTGGCGCTCTTATAAGCAGCGCTCCGTCGCCATCTCTACTACTGAGGCAGAATACATGGCTCTTTCGGATATTAGTCGACAATTGATCTGGTTAAGGAATGCGATACACGAGTTGGAACGGAAACCGAAACTTTCTTTTATTCTTCGTGGTAATAATAATCGTTCTTTGTCCTTGGTTAAAAATCCTGTCTTTCATAAAAGGTCTAAACATATTGATGTATATTTTCATTTTGTTCGGGAACGATACGAGTATAAATTGTTTGAGTTGGAATATATCTCTACAAGTGAAAACGTGGCGGATTTACTTACAAAGGGATTGGATAAGGGCAAGCTTGTTTTATTTTCTTCGACTATTCACTGTGGTTCATGAGGGGAAGTCTTGAAATAGTCCGCTTAGCACATTTCATCGTATTGGAAGATTCTCATTTGTCATTATGAGTGATGGGTTTTGACTTATTCTTTCTCTGGTATTTATTAGTCATGTCTTTCTATTACTTATACGGTTATGATTCACTATGTTTTGTGTTACCTTTCTTTAGCATAAATATGGGGCATTTACCCCTCTCTAGTTAGTTGGAATAACACGTTCAATTATTACACTTCTCTACACAAACATTTCTCTAATTCCTTCAGGAAATATGGCGACTACGTGGAGTATCCGAAGAAATCATTTCTGATCGGGACTACAGATTCGAAAGCAAGTTCTGGCATTCATTGATGAAGCTTCTTGGAGTCAACCTCTGTCTGTCTACGGCATATCGTCCTCAAGCTGACGGGTAAACTGAGAGGGTCAATCAAACTATGAGCACTGATATTTTTAAGGCATAACCCCGGCAGAAGAAATGATATGACCAGAAGCATATGAAAGCTCCAGAACCTGAAGATGGGGATAAGGTGATGATGGACCGATGCAATATGGTTGCCAATCGACCCTCAAGCAAGCTTGACTACAAGAAACTATGTCTCTTTGAGGTTGATGAGAAACTTGTTGTTGCGTTCTACAGGCTGAAGCTTCCCTCTCAATGGAACATTCATGATGACTTCCAAATATTTCTGCTGGAGTCCTATCGGGGACTGAGATATCCTCAACGCACTGAAGTCCCTCCTACTCCAGATGAGGTCGAAGGAGAATACAGTCACGTTATCCAAGAAATAGGTAATAGCCGATGGCAACAGGCTGGGCATTAGAAAATGTTTGTAGAGTATCGCATTGTTTGGGAGGGCTATCGTTCGGAACACTCCTGGGAACCATATGAAATTCTGCAAGGAAGAGCCGATGAGGCCCTGAAAGTATTTCATCAAAAATACCCACAAAAACCTCGGAAAATACGGTGAAACTCTAGAGATCCTCAAAACACGGCGTAAGTAGCTCTGTATCTCAGAAGAAATCTGGGAACAAAAACCAACTCTCCTGTACCAGGTTTTTCATCTGTCTGACAGAGTTCGGATACCATTTTTCACTGAAAACAATGCAAGAAACGATAGAAAACCGAAGCGTGAGGAAACCCGCCTAAAAAAGACAAGGGAACAAGAGAGATTCTTGCTAACATCGAAATCTCCACTAGTGGAATGGAAGGTTCTACGACAAGAGTGGAGAATATGTCATTTTCTTTCTTTTAAAAGACATTTCATTTTAGAGTTTTCCTTCTCTGATGGAGATAGAAACAGACATGTAGTTTGTACGTAATCACCAATAGAGTTACTGTTTTTCTTCTATGCCAAATACTAATATTCCAGTAACACTACAGTGGACTCAAAACGAGTCTACCATAGAGGAGAGTAATGTAACAGTGCCACTGTGAGCCTGTTACAAAAGAACCTATTCCATCAGTTAAGCCACCGACCTTAAGTAACAGCAGCTTGTTCTTCATCGACGTGTGAAGACAAGAGCAGTTGAGCTCGTACCTTTATTCATATAGAGGACAGTGATCTCAATGAGTAAGAAGTCTTATAAGTTAAAAATAGGGGGCTGGGCAAGCTTGGAACAGAAGTACAAAGATGGCTGATAGCAAAGGAAACGCAGGACGGGAGTTCCCTACCTATGCAGTCGACTCTTTGAGGTTTCATATCTCTGCAACCGACGCTCAAAGATCATGCTTTAGCACTACAGACATGATTCTGGCGGTGTCCCGGAGCTAATGGAAAATCTAATTCCAAAAACACGTTTTAATACCCAACACTAACCTCCGCAATGTCAAACTGCCGGAATGCACCTGTTTTGCTACGGAGCATCTTTGGGGAGTGGGAGTGAGACTCAAGCTACTAAAGCAAAACTTCGGTTTACAAACACTCAAATCGGTTCTAATAAAGTTAGAATAAACAATTATTATCTGGTCGGCTGTTTCCAATAGTTCTTAAGATTTCGACCACAGCTTTCAACAAATTGCATGATTTGACTCGGACAGAAGTTCATTCAAGGTGTCGCAGTTACTCTCTTCTCCCCTGATAAAAAATAGTTGCTGTACCCCCGACTATCAACAGGCAGTTTGTCAGTCGGAAAAAGAACTTGAGCAAATGCGCCGTATTCCTATAAGGGACTCGGTGTTGCCCCAGGTTGGCCTCTCATCATCAACGGATCTTTAATAGAGAGAAGACCCCTTAAAGTTATAATTTTCTAGACTTGAGAACGTTCAAACATACAAACTCCCTTTTCTTCTTTCTGAACGAGTATTATCAAAACTAACTCTCTTTATTTACACTATTCGAAAGGAATTCACGGTTATGCCTCATCATAGTACGTCAGTTACATGTGGTTGTCGATCGTCATTGACATGGTCGCATATGGTTCCACCATATTGGGTCTGTCCGACAATCTTTCTGCCAATTCGTCAATCTTAACTCCTTTGTTGTAATGCAAGTGGGACACATTTCTGATGAACTGCGAGTAGTAGGTGGCAAAGTCTCCTTTGCCTTGCCTCATGAGGACGAGTTGGTGGTGGGTGGTACTTCGGGTGTTTAGGTCTCTAAACGAGGCTTCCATGTGGTCGACAAAAAAGGTGACGGAGGAAAAGAAGTCAATAGAATTGGCATTAACAAGTGGTCCGACCTGATCAAGGGCTCTTTCCTCCAAACAGCTGACCGTATAGATAACCTTTACTGTCTCATTGGCAGTGTTATCGCGGTTGATCTGGTTGGTGTTTTGTTTGATTGGTTCAATAGCGATGGTGAGGGCGTTACTAACTACCCAATACATATAGTTGAGGTCTATTCTGGGGTTTGATTCCTGGAGGACAATCCTTGAGTAAAATGTAGTCATATCTGGGTGTGTATTGTTCATTGCATGGGGCATGTTCTGCGAAGATGAAGAACAGTTCATTGTTCAGTTGGATTTGTTCGATGATAGTAGATTGAGTTGATTGAGCCTGTTGGGTTTCGGTGAAAGATGGGGGGGCAAAAATTCCTGTGGTTAGGGTTCTCACAAAGCAGAAGTTCAGGAAGCCTTGCTGGGACATGACGGATATCCCGGATTGGTTGGGGGCAGGGGAGACCTGTGAAAGTCTTCTTCTCCTGCCTGTAGTGCTCGGTGGGGTAGAGGAGCTCAAGGTGGTTGGATATACCAGGTTATAAGTATTTTGCTAGGGTCACGAAGGTTGTTTTCCTTTCTTAAGCAAGGGGTTTGGGGGGGATAAGAGTTCACAATTCAGGGACCTGAGTGACAATAACTTAATATACAAACAGATGTGCGATAAGATTTTTGTATATTACGTGGTCTACGGACATACAGGATCGTGTTTGTGAAAAGGTTTTATTGATTTTGTTAGGATTATAAGTTGTTAATGTTATGTATTAGAGTTTAGTTTATGAGTATATTTGAAAATTTTCTTTGGGTTTCCGGGTTAGCGGCTCTCAGATAAAACTAACATGTTTCAAAAGAATTCAGTTTTTGGGTTGGAAAAATATAATCCAGTAAGTTACGAGAAGTAATCCATTTGCTTAGTAATTTTGACCAACCCTAACAAGGGGAGATGGAAAACCAGACTGCAACAATACACAATATGGAATATCAGTCATGGATCGTCACTCACATATTGGGTTGCAGGTATTGCACATAGCGTTGTTTGAGATTGAAATCCGAATTAGTGTTAGAAAACACACCGGGCGGTAACCTGGAGGTCAAAATCGGAGTTGGCGTAAGAAGACACAGCGGAGACAAGAAGTGGGATTCGCCCGATGCGGTAACACGCAGTTCAGAATCCAAAATTTATGTATTCCATCGAAGCAGAGGATGGGGAAAGGTGGCATCATTGAATTTCATGATCGTGGGCTCGAGACAGTGCGTTTGGTGCCATGCAGTCATCGATCGTTGTACCCGCCTGGTAAGTGGCGGTGCCGGGAGTGAACCAGGACGGATTGCCAAGACTCACAGTGAGTTATGCTACTCAACAGCCCTCAACCACCACGTCCACCCCCGCAATCATGACCACGACCCCCTGTACGCGCATACCTGATGATGGGAATGGACTCGAGTTGTCCTGTTCAACCCATAGCTATGGAGCCCGGAATTGTAGGGCGACGGTTCCCGGGCAACCTCAAAATCCTGTCCAACATTGCCCTACTAGAAGTAACCATAAATATCCCTAAATAACCCTAACTAACCCTAAATAACCCTATCCCTAACTAACCTTGAGCCTAACTCAAAGAAGATGATACTAACGATCGATAAAACAGCTAGGTTTGTAGTAGTATGAGCGGATGCGAGAAGGGTGCCCCTCATAACCGGTTGGTTCCCATGCAGACAATTGGCAGAAGGGCAGTTGACGAAGACATGGCCGGGGTTGGCGCAGTACATACAGAGATTGTTGTCCCGTCTCCACCCAGAAAGATGTATCGTTGTTCGGCGGCAGGGCGTTGAGCGGGACGGGTTCGGAGGTCAAAGAGGTCCATTGGGGCGAGGCCTCCGGTGGTTTGAGATGGGTGTGCGACCACGATGGGGGCGGTAAATTGTCCCATCTTATTACGGATGGCCTGTTGTTCAGCATTACGGCCCAGAACCTGGTTGTCGATTCTCATTAATATGGTCGCGTATGCCTCTACACTATTAGGCCTGTCCATCTGGTACTTCGTGGCATTCATCAAATCTTCCGACAGTCATTCGGCTAAGGCATCGATCTTGGCTCTTTCGTTGTAGTCTAGGTAGGCCACAATATGGAGGAACTGTGAGTAATAGGTGGCAAAGTATCCTTTGCCTTACTTTAGGGTGACGAGTTGGCGACGGGCGGTACCCCGAGGATCTGAGTCTCCAAACGAGGCTTCCAGGTTGGCAACAAAGGCAGTGACGGAGGAGAAGGGGGTAGCAGGTTTAGCGTTAATGAGTGGAATAACCTAGTCAAGGGCTCTTCCTTCCATGCGGCTGATGGCATAGATACCTTTTCCTGCCACGTTTTGGAATCGATCGTTGTTGACCTCAAGTTTCATTCGGAGTTGAGTGGTGAATCCGGGGAGCTTGGTACGGGTCCAGTCGAATTTTTCAGGGTCTGTGAACTTTTCGGACCTGAAGGTGGAGACAGTAGTAGGTGGGGGAGCAGTGACAATGGGGGCAGAGAAGGTAGGGGTGGTTAAGGTGCGAGCGACATTGAGGTCGAGGTTGAGCTGAGTTACTTGCTCCTCGAAGTTGTTGATGGTTTCATTGACGGCGGCGAGTTTTGTACAAGCGGTATCCCTTTCGTTGCGGATAATTTGGATGAGGACGGCAATGTGGTTAAATAAGTCAGAAGCGTCGACCTTATACTGCCGCTTGAATTCTTCTGTATCGTTGGGTCGGACCCATGTAGGTGAGTCAGAGTTGAACATGTTCTACGGTGTGGATGAGGACGCAACGTAATCTCAAGGGGATGAGTAGTGAGTATTCCGCAGGGTAGTAAGGGGGTAGTAGAGGTCAGTATAGGAGCCCGTAATAGGGTTCTCGAGAGATTCTAACTTTGGTGCGGGTCAATAGGGCAAAGAAAGCAACGGCACGGTGGTCATCTTGAGTAAAGAAGAGAAAGTAGTATTATATAGTAACAGACAGTGTAGGTACAGAAGCGGTTGCCTAAAGAAGGAAAGAAGAGAAAAAGAACAAGAAACAAGGGCGAACCCTCCTAATATATCCAAGGAAATCTCCGTGACGACTTATCAAAAGTAACTCATACGCTTACGATCAACAAAACTCGATAGAACCCAACAGAACCTTTCTGACTAATCCAACTCCTCGTAACCCAGTGTATTCACTAATCGATCCATGAAACTTTGATGACTGACACGTTAAGAGCAAGCGAAAAGGAAAGTTCATCGTCTGTGGAATCACAATGAACACCAGCAGCTGCACCTTGGAATCTCATTGTGTTGGTACTATGATTGATTTGCGATGAAGTGAAATAGGTTTGTGAACCAGTAGATGGCCTAAAAAGTAGTGGATTGTAATGTTCATCTCTTACCTTCATGAATTGATTATAGACGTCGTCTATAACAGTTGACATAATACCTCCATCAAGATCGCTAATGATACAATGGAATTTGACCAACCGTTACATAAATTCAGAATCTTTAGTTTTCTCCCAAGTTGAATGTACAGCAGGGGTCACTGTATAAGAACCTTAAAGTGTGATTCCGGTCGTATAGGCAGTATTCGGACTATAACAGTTACTGGTCATATAATGATCGAATTTCTAGCAACCTGACTCTCATTTCTGCAACACCTAATCAAAATTGCCACGTAAGTGTTCAGGAAGAATTTTATGAACACGGAGAATTTCAGGATCATTGAAATTGCCGATATGGCTTTGGTCAAAATACATAAGCTTAAACCATTCACCGACAACTTGGTTGTTGTCATCGAGTAACTAATGATAATGAGGTTGACCACTTACTCCAATATGCAGATCGGGGTAATCACAGGGATTAAAAGTGCATTGAGACATCTTTGCCTTAATATCCTGCAATTGAGTAATGGAAAGCTTCGTACCAACCTTATGAAGAATCAGTTCATTTAGCCGGAACTTAATACTTGCCCTTTTTTTCCCCTCTACCCCTGTCAGCTTATATAATACCTACACACAATACTCAACTTTTTCAGTCAGAGTACAAGTTAACCTTGAAAGAAAATGGGTGGTTGCATCCTTTAATATACCTTCCCTTCCACTGCCATCAAACCCTAAACCTCCCCACATCACTACAGAATATTCTACCCCCCTCTGATTCCGATTACTGTATTCGGTCGCCACTCGTGCCCTTGGGCCTTTTCGCAGCGCTCCAACAAAGCGCACCCGATACCTAGTTATTAGTTAATAATTATCCAATCCAAGAGCTTATTAAGCAATTATACAGGAAATAAGCGTTATCCACCAATAATTATTAAATAGAGCGTATTTGACAACTGTTGATTCTGTCAATTGACAGTTCACCAGCTGCAATAGCGGTTTGCTGAACGGTCAATTTTGGGGCAGTGGCGGATTATGTCTCGATCTCGTCACTATTGGCAATTGTCGAGACCTACCAAATACTTGAATATAAACCTGAGAGTTTGTAATATGTATGTAGTGCAGAAAATACATCATGGATCCTCCCAGTTCCGATACCCCCTACAATCCTGCCAGTCTATACGATGGTGTTCCACAGGAGGACTTTGAAATTGATACTCTTTCAGCTGCCGATTTCTACCATTTTACCAGGTTTGACTTTGACGATCTCAAGAGATTAGCCAAACTACTTCAGATCCCCGAAGTTGTCTATACCTGATCTGTTAATGCCTTTGATAGGTTGCATGCCATGTTCCTCTTGTGTGCTCGGCTTGGTGTCTTGACCGAGTTTTGGAGTTGATTGATGGGTGTTGGGGTTCTTTGTTGAGAGACTTTGATTCGGGATTGTTGTCTGAGCTACAGTTGGCCATCTTTGCGTCAGCGATACACCAAAAAGGCGCACCACTTGACAGTAGCTGTGGTTTTTTGGACTACACAATTTGTCCTATTTGCCGCCCTACGATCTATCAAAGACAAGCATACAACAGACATAAGAGACTACACACATTTACATATTCTGTTGCTATGTATCTAAACGGTGTCATCTACCACCTTTACGGTCCAGAAGAAGTCAGAAGGAACGACAATCATCTCCTAGTATCTAGTTGCCTACTTGATCGCTCTGCACAAAATGCCAACAAAACCAATGGGGATGGTTCCTTCTATCTGTACGGAGATCCGGCATATCCATCTAGTAGATATCTGCTATCACCATTCACAAAAGGTGATGACATCACCCCTAATGAATACATTTTTAATGTGCAGATGGCCAAGACAAGAGAATTTGTTGAGTGGAGGTTTGGTGGTATGCTGAGGCTCTGGTCTTATCTTGATCACCGTTTGGGTCAAAAGGTTTATCAGTCTCGTATTGGTTTAAAATACAGGGTGTCGGTTCTTTTGACAAATGCATATGTTTGCTTGTACGGGTCTCAGGTTTCAAATTATTTCTCTTGTCCGCCCCCGAGTCTTGAAGAATATCTACATATCTAATTTTTCTCTACTGTATCGATAAACCTGTTCAATACTGTCTCAATTTTTCCTACTATCTCCCGCAATGTTTTAACCTCTTCAACTAATGCATCTGCATGCCGACAGCTATCTTCATTTTGTTCCGAGTCAGAGGAGATTCTTTGCTTTTCCTGTGTAACTCTATCCAACCTTGGGCCCTTCCCTTGTCCTCGCCATTTTTTAATGCTTTGTTGTTGATTGTTACTTCGCAAACTGTCCAAAGAAACTGTAGAGGTACGAACAAGAGAAGAAACAGCTGAAATCTTTAGTATTTCACCCTCACGGTTCCGCAGCTCATTTGCTATTCTTTTCTCTCTTGTCCTGCTTCTCTTATTTTCCTCCGACTTATCCCAGTCATAAGAGATGTGTTCAAGTACACCCTCCAATGAAGCCTTCACCTCCTCTATAGCGAAGAACTTCCATTTCTACTCTGGATCGTGATGTATTTCAATCAAATTCAATGTCTTCCGCCGTATATACTGACCGTCCCTATTGCAGATACCACATGCTTTTAGGTCTTCTGCCACTGCATTCCACATCTTCATGACCTCTTTATGGGGTGCACACCAAGGCTTTGCATTGTAGATGGCCCAAACAAGATCTCTAGTCTCGTTCGCAGTGGTATTTGGTTGTGACCCGGTAACCTCCCCCTCTTCTAATGGATTGACAAGAGACTCAGAAGGAATTGGAACTGATGAAGATGCACCAGGTCCATCGGAGGGAATCACAGGTACCAAACATGAAGAATTAGGTACAGACGAGGGGTTAGCATCCTCGAGTATCGGTACTTCCAGGGAAATACCCCTCGAAAATGGATTCCTAATATGCGGCCTCATGGAATCTCAAAGGGAACAATAGTAACAGGTAGCGGGCCCAGGGGCAGTGGGTATCGGACACGGGCAGCAGCGGCAGCAGCCTGAGGACAGTAGAGGTAGCGGGCCCGGACAGTAGCAGGTAGCAGGGCCTGACAGCAGCAGCAGGTAGTGGGCCCAGAGAGCTGGCGGCGTCTCGGCGTCTCGGCGTAGAAAGGAATATAGGACCAGTAGGTAGCGGGTCCGGACAGTATGAGCAGCAGCAGCAGCAGCAGTAGGTACCGGGCATGGACACCTTCCGGAACTGTCTCTCGGCGTCTCGGCGTTCAACAGCTAGCTAGCAGCAGCAGAAGGTAGCGGGCCCGGACAGTAGCAGGTAGCAGGGCCTGACAGCAGCAGTAGCAGCAGCAGCAGCAGCAGCAGCAGGTAGCGGGGACTCAGCTGGCGGAATTCTCTCGGCGTCTCGGCGCTGCAATAAGCGAAATAATCAGCTGAATTGTATGTAGTTAGTGAATTGCGTTCTTTATAAATTGAGAAATGAACACTCACAGACGGTTTGTTGATGAACCTTGAGAACCAGACTGTATGCTGGATAAGGTGAAGAACTTAAAGGAAATCAGCGTACAGAAAAATATATTTTAAATTTTTTTATTAGCTCCATATACATGTGGGGCAACCATTTCGTCATAAAGTATAATGTCAATTTTGCGACCCGCAACTGTCAAAGCCGAACTGTCAATTGTCGTAATCGACAGTTGTCAAATACGCTCTAATAACGATTATATAACGATTATTTAAGCCTTTACTAACGCCTATTTTTTTTCCCCATCTCGACGTTAAAGTACCCTCCGGTTCTCTGCTTGGACCTACAAGTAATAAAAATGCGAGGATTCGAAGACGTTACTTGACAGAAAAAAAGCTAAAGCCAATAACACTGTTCCTTTTTTTTTTTACTTTACTTCATGCATCATATCAAATCACTCGCCTCGCACAGACAGCAATCAATTCAGCGAAGCATAAATACCCCCAGACCTGGCGTGGGTGTCTGAAGTTGGGAGCCCGGGCAAGCACAAAGCATTTGGGGGGGGGGGGGGGGGGGGAGATGTGCAGGAGGCGAACTTGTTGATATATATAATTGTCAATACTGTACCCGGAGATTGCAGAGTGACTGGCAAAGAGGTTCACTGGAGTTCATAAGGGCCGGGATAGAATCAAAGATACAAACGGTGTTCCCGTTCAGCGGTCATTAAGAGTTACAGTTGGGAATATTACTCCCCCCCCTTCCTTCCATCCTGTCCCCCACCCACCCACTACAAAACATCCCGCCCTCTCCGCCCCTCCTCCCACACCCGCGCTGCCTCGATCCCCCTTTCCACAATCCCCTTCACCCTCACCACGCCCCTCATCACCTCCACCACTGCTCCCCACTGCTCCCACGTCATCGGCACACTCCTCGGTCTTCCCCTGACCAATACCGTCACCCCCCCTTCTCCCAGCATATGCATCGTCCACACCTTCAAGCTCCACCCCACACACAACACACCCACAACCTGTACCCCATCCCCCGGCATGCCCGTGCCCTCCACCACAGCCCTCAGCATCCCCCTCAAGCCCCTAACCAACTTCGCGCCATCGTCGGCCTCCTTCGCCCCCACGACACCACGGCCCACCACACCACGGCTAACCTCAATAGCGCCCAGATCGTAAACGTGCCCGTCCGCCAGCACACACCGGAGAACCCCGTCGTAGCGGTGGTTCGCACTCCCTGCCGCGCTCTTGATGTCAGTCCGCGACACGGAAAGCCCGGGGATGGTATGCAGGCAGCGGTCCAGCAGCGGCGTCCACAGAGAGGCAAACCAGCCCTCACGGAGGTCAGAGGGGCCTAGCCAGGGGCAGGATGCGTAGCTGGTAAGGAGCGCGAGTCTATAGTGGAGGGGTAGGATGTTAGTGTGTGATAGTTGTAGAGCTTGGGGGGGGGGGGGGGGGGTGTACATAGAGGACGCAGCGCTATTGGCATACAGCGCCGTGGCGTGGAGGCGCTCATCGAACGCCTCCCCCGACGGCCGCGACGGCGTCTCCATTACGTCGTAGAGCTCCGCTTTGCTCTTTGGATTCTGTCACATCTTACTTAGCACGCCAAACGCCAAAAGCCAACCGCCAACCGCCACACTCCCTTCCCGCCCCCAAGGAAAGAGCTTACCGTCGGAAAGCGCCCAACCGCATATTCAAAGGCGGCATCCCTGTCCGGCAGCCCGGGCCCCCACGCTGCAATCTCCTCCCTTTCCGCAGTGTTGAACCATCGAAACACCACCGGGTCGGAGAGGTCGACGATCCATTGCAGGATCGGGTTGTTTTGCAGCCAGGGGGTGGCAGCAGGAGTGGTGCGCACATGGTGGTACACGATGTCCTCGAGGACGCGGGCGGTGGTAAAGGTGTGTTTCTGGGAGGGAGGGATGGAAAGATAGGTGGTGACGAAGAGGGGGTCGTAGGGGAAAGGGGGGAAAGAGGAGTAGGGGTCGTCCATGTAGGGGGGGTGGGGAGAGGTGGGTGATGAGGGGAGGGAGGAGGAGGGAATGGAGGAGTGGCGGCCGTGGTCAGCAGCGTGGTGGTGGTGGTGGTGGTGGTCGGCGGGGTGGTGTGGCGGGACCTCAGGGGTTCCAGAGGGCGGGGTCGAGGAGGGGGTTTGGGGAGAGGCCTGGAAATGATTAGAATTCAAGATGAAAGCGAAAGAGAGCATATGTAGTTGATATTGATGCATGGATGAGGTAACTCACAACAGCCTCTGCCTCCGCCTCCGCCTCTGCCTCCGTCTCCACCTCATCAGCCCCATTGTTCCTCTGCGCGAACCCCTCCACCGCCACTTCCTGCGCCTCCTCCACCTCCTCCGATAGCTCGTCCCTCGTCCGCCGCATCCGCCGCTTCCCCGCCGTCACGCCCTCACCCCGCTGCCCATCATCATCATCCTCCCCCCTCCGCTTCTTCGTCCCCGCCCTCTCAACCGTCACCCCCCCACTCCCACTCCCACCTGCCACGAAAACATCACTGGCAACCTCATTTATCTTCACCCCGCCCGTCTGGATGATATCCCCATTGACGATCGTCTGCTGCTGCACCGACACTGGCGGCGTGTCTGGGCGTGCACGTGTCGATCCCGCTCCCCGACCGTATCTCTTCTGCAATTCAATTAAACCATTAACCGCACACCGAGCAAAGGTACACTCCCTGCGAACGCGTCGGCCCAGGCAGACCAAGTGTCAGCACTAGCATAGCGAGAGGAGAAGAAGGCAAGTGAGGACAGCGCTGGTCCAGCTCAACTGCGGGGGGGGAGGACTAGTATAACCCTCCCTGGCCAGGAGAGCAGTACTAGCGCGGGCATACATACCCACGGTGCAGACAGGGAAGAGGGCAGGATATATGTGTAAGATACAGATAGGTAAATACATGTAGACACCATGAAGACGACTAGCCGCAGCCATCGACCCATATACGGCCCACACAAACCCAGCGTTGGGCATGAAACGGAAGGACGCACCCCACTCCCCGGGCCCCAACCCCCCACTCTGGTGCACCCCCCAAGTCGCAACTAGCCGCAGCCGAAGCTTCTCGTTGGGGGGTGCATAGGAGGCTGGATATGGCAAGGACGCACCCGCCAGGACGCACCCGACCCGGGGAGCCCCAACGCTGGGGGGGAAATTCTAAATAGAGGGGAAAGGATGGAGGGGGGAAGAGAGAAGAAGGGGGAGGGAGGGGGGGGGGGGGGGGGGGGACATACAGCACTAGACCTCGCTGCATCCAAGAGACTGCGCGCCTTCCTCCTGCGGTCGCGCGACTCCAGGCGCGACTCGGCGATGACGGAGAGGTTCTTGGCCCAGCGGAAGTTGAGGACGTCGAACTTGAGGGCACCGAGGGCGGCGGCCAAGTGGGTTGCGAAGGAGGTGTAGGACCATTCTTCGGACGGGCGCGTGAAGTAAAGGTTGCAGTGGGTTGTTAGCTGCTCGTAGGTGTGTTTTGGCGGTGGTGGTGGGGGTGGTTCTTGTGCGGGTCCCTGTGGGGGATCTTGTTGTTGTTGTTGTCCTGATGTGCGTTGGCATTGTTGGCGTTGGCGATGAGGAGTTGACATGGTGGTTGGTGATGGTGGGTGATGGTTGGTGATGGTGGGTGATGGTGGGTGATGGTGGTGATGGTGGTGGTGGTTGTGGTGGTGGTGATGGTGGGTGAAGGTGGTGATGGTGGTGGTGGTGGTGATGGTGGGTGGTGGTTGGGGAAGGAGAGAGATGAGCGAGGGAAGACAAGAGACGGAGAGACTGGCTTGGCTTGGCTTGGGTTATGGCTTGGCATCACCATTTCGCTTAGCGCTGAGTCAGCTTGGCAACATTCAGGGCTTGGCGACCATTGTACCACACCACATGTGGGTACATGATGTTCATACACCACCCACCTGAAGCAACGCCGAAATCAGCACTTATCTAATAGCGCAATTTGATCATGAGGAGAACTACTTGGCAGTCTTGAATTTAAAAATTATTTATTATAGAATTGGTGGTAGAGAACTTTACTAGGCTGTCCTCAAAAACATATGCGCCAAGATCACTGCGAATCTCAGAGTTTGTAAATTCGAAGCACATAACTTTCCACACATTTCTTGAACAGACCTACGTCTTGGAGTATATGTTATTCCATAGTTTATCTCCTTACCCATGGCAGTGGCAGTGGAGGTGGTGGTCGTGGTCGCGGGTGCTGGGTGATACTAGCAAGGTGGTACAGGCTGTGTATGTAAGGCATGTCAAAGAAGTCTATCGAGTGATACTCCATGACTCACTCGGTAGCCCTGCTTACAATGGTGACGGCGGCTTCAAGTCAGTAGGTGGAGGTGTTCAGCATTGCGTCGTAATAGGGGGGAGGGCAGAGGAGAGGGACAGCTCTGATAGGTTGAGTCGAAGGACGCGATGTGGAGCTGGAGGTGGGCGTAGGGGTGGGCGCTAGTGGAGCTACATGTAGTTAGGGGTGGAGGTGGAGGCGGAAGTGTGAACAAGTCGCTCGTTTAATAAAGGCTACTTGCTTGTGGGGGGAGGGGCGGTGTACTAGCCGACGGTGGCGGATGCGGAGTGAAGTATGCGGTCTCTGAATTATAAAACTATGTATTTCAAGCAGCTGCAGCAAGGATCTCGGCATCTGCACATCAATAACCGATTCAGCATCAGCAACAACAACTAAAAAAACCTCAGCTTCTGCGATTTTGTGTTGAAGATCATACTTTTGTTGATTGATCCTCCACCTCCCTGGAGTCGTCTCTCAATGTGAAAGGAAGGCTATGCGTGCGGACTCAGAAATAGGAGAATATCCGGATGGATCCAAAGCACGAATGGCAGAACATCTACGCACATAGGATACGGATACACGTAACCAGTAAACCTAAGAATGAGCTGTAAAATCCCAAAGGTCTTACCCAGCTTGCGCTTAGTGCCGGCAGGGCAGGGATGTTTTGCTGCACTGACGATCGAAACGAGATTCATACATGCGAGGCACATGATCCACACAGGCATCCAATTAACATGCATGCGCTTTTATCTCTCGGGGCACAAGTGCGGAATTTAAATCATGTGTATGTGTGTTTACCAGCATGTAGGTACAAGTAGTTCTTGTTTCAGCGTTATTAGCGCGCAGCCTTCTTCTTGTTATTGGAAACAGAATGGCTACTGCGACTGCGCATTTCAAACAGCACCAAGAAAATTCATGGCAAGCTATAAACATCATCATGAGCTGATGGATCAATTATATTAGTAGCACTTACCGCGGGTGGCGTCGGGAGTAATTTCACCTCCACACCTGCGAATAGAGCTTCAAGTTACTATCACATTAGCACATTAGAGGCTTTGAGCTGATCCCTGTCTTTCATTTTCAAAGTGAAAAAGAAACTCCTCCAGCCACGACTCGAGCATGTCATCGACAAACGGAGCATCGCGCATGTGCAGGCCGAAGAATACTCGAGGACGGAATATTTAGCGTTCACTATTCATGAGAATTAAAGTGACATGTCAGCTACGGAAGCAGGCGCGGCTCTAGCTGCACGGGTTTCCCTGTGACTTTGAGAAGCCTCTATTTGAATATTTGTACTCCTCCAACGAGCTGATATGCACGGCTAGTCTACACCTTTAACTAACCCCTCCCATCAATCCCTGACAAGCTAGTATTACATTGTACCTTAGTCGAGCTATGGATTTCCAGATAGATATATATATCTACGTAATTTACTATAACCTTTTCAAAGACTGGAAACATTAATTCCGATAGGTGATTGTTCCACCAATTTGAGAATGAAATAGAAAGAGAGTATATTCATATTCATTTATGAAGCATGCTTCTCACTCTTCGAGCAATCCCCACATAGGGCAACCTTCCAAGTTGATCAGCCAACTACCTAGCACTTTATTGCCTCTGTGCCGACGTTTACCCCACTGTATTTGAGGCGCGACCACACATTCAACTTGGTGCAGTAGGAGCTGAAAGCAGAAATCTAGAATCGTCATGGACCCTCAATCGCCGATTTCTGTGGAGTTGATTCCACAATTCAGATGGAAACGCCCTATTGCTGACATGACACTTGTAATGTTGCCTTACCCCTTGACCCGTCAATGTTGACCCCACCCCCCTCCCAGAATTGATCCAGAGATCCAGAGTTTATGTGTGGTATCCATATGGTAAATTGTGTAACTTGAAGCCCTTTATCCGGTAGCCTTCGGAACAGGTGTGCTATACATCAGGTCAGTATATACTGGCGATTCGGACATATTTAAGCCACCTCTCACGACTCAACTCGGCTGCAATACACAAGAGCCATCAAGCATATATCCAATTCCCAATCCTCCGGTTATATCCCACGTATTTTACACCTGAGCTTATTTCAAAATGAGTTACAACACTGGCGGCGCCGCAGGCCTCAGAGCTCGTATCGCCAAACGTGTCATTGAAGAGGATATTAAAGTCTCTCGTGGGAAACTCGGATCTTTCGTTTCTGTTCCTTCCTTAGGTCATCCGGCTCCTGGATACGAGGACTTGACTCCAGAAAAGCTTAGAGCCCCTCCCAAGGCAGGGCTTAAACCCGTCGACTTCAATGTCGGGGTTGTTGGGGGCGGAATGGCTGGTCTTTATACAGCAATGATCCTCGAGGATCTCGGTATATCCTACGAAGTCCTTGAAGGCTCAAAGGACTGCGGAGGAAGAGTCTGGACCCATTACTTCTCTGACCCCAAGAAGGAGGGGGATTACTATGACGTTGGTGCCATGCGCTTTCCCGATATCGCTATTATGAAAAGGATCTGGAAGCTGTTTAAGGAGCTAGGAATCGAAAGGGACCAGTCAGCGAATCCAGCACAGGAGGCTCTAATTCCCTACTACTTTGCAGGGCCACAAAACCCTCTGTATTACAACGACAGGTTGGTGGTTGCTCAAGGACCTGGAGAGAACGTCGACGAAACAGACGTTGATCCTTTTCGTGTGAGTGTTTCGAACGATAGATTAGTCCCAGACAGGTAACATAGCTTATATTTAAGAACTCTTTCAGGTGAAACAACTAACACCCGAGATTAGCTTTGTCAAAAAGGGCTACGAGAATATTCTCAAGGAAATAGTTGATGACTGGAAGGATGGTTTTGCGACAAATTTCGAGCAGACCTGGATCGATCTCATGAGGCAAGATGCACAATGCGCAACCGTGCGGTCATATATGGCTGACAAGCTCTCGTCTGAAAAGTACAAACCGTACGTTAATGGCCTATCCGTTTTCTTTTATGTCAGTGGCTAAATGATTGTTATTAGGAGAGATATTTACTACGTCGCCAATTGGTGCGAAACTATGGATGCGTAAGATGACCTACGACCCTAGACACATTTTTTAAAGGTAAAGAGATTGTCCTTTTACCAGGGCTACCAACCAGTACGACTCTTCATTTGTCGCCCTTCTTCTCCACTCCCTCGAATTTGACTATCCATTACACCCGGCTAGTAGCTATGACCGTTGTGGCCCTAAGGTAGACCCCGAGAAGAATATATGGTGGTGCCTCAACGGAGGAACGAGCGTTCTCACCCACCGAATGCTAAGGAAGCTCGATTCCAGTAAGATCCTTGTCAACCACCGCGTGACAGCAATCAAAGCAGATGGCCTAGACCCTGATTGCAAGCCGTCATCTTGGCTGTCACTGTCGATGATACTTCAACCGGAGCCAAGGTGCAGGTTACCAAGACCTACTCCTATCTCATCACAACATGTACCACTCCTGCGCTTCAGATAATGGATCTCCGTGAGGCACAACTGAAATACAGCCATCGTGAGGCGATTCGCGTCCTACGCTGCGACAACTCGGTGAAGGTCGGTATTAAATTCAAGTACCACTGGTGGGCCGATGATAATGGAATCATAAGAGGTGGACTCGGAAAGACACATCGCCCAACTCGAGTTATTGTCTATCCATCATATGTGCTCAATACTCCGCGTGGTCACGAAGGGGTTCTCCTGGCCTGCTACAATTGGGCCCAAGATGCCGCGTGTCTTGGTACCTATTGCGATGAGGAAATTGTGTCTCTTGTGATCGCAGATCTCCCAATCATGCACAACAAGACGGAGTCCGACCTGCGAGATGCTATGGACTGCTACCACGTGCATGACTGGAATCGTGATCCTCGCACCGGAGGAGCCTTTGAGTTATTTGGCCCCGGCCAATTCGCTACTCTATTTCCCAAAATCCAAAGGCTTACTGCAGATGGCAGACTGATATTTGCTGGCGAGTTAACCAGTATTTACCACGGCTGGATAGTGGCGTCCTTGAACAGCTCGTTCAGGGCGGTTCATCAGATGTTACTGGCGCAGTGGGGGAAGAGCACGCCTGAGGAGAAAGATTATATTGCATGTCTCATTTGGAAATTACTTGAGAACTGGGGAGGGGATGATCACGAGCCTACTGCAGGAGCGGAATATGACACATACCCACAGGGGACGGCCGGGTGGCAGGTGTTTCTGGGAACACGCAAAGCGGATATTTGATAATTAATCTATGTGATTTTCTCACTTTCATGAGTATGTAGAGCAGATATCCTCCGGGAATCATTGAATGAACGAATCTTTTAAGAGATCACTCATTTGAATACGAACGCATGCCAGTCAATGAGAACGAAAATCATAAGTCTGATTAAGAAAAAGGGGTTTACAACGTAAGTGCTTGTAAGATATCTACATGCGGAAAACTTTAGATAGAGTAAGATTTATATCACATACTAGAGGTGTAATTAAGATAGCGAGGATGAAGAGAAGATCTCAAGCGATGGTTGGAGGTCAAGAAGCTGGGGAGGGATGAAAGACACTAAATTACGACGTAATAGGACGAGTTCGCCAAGTCTGAAAGTTACCATTTTAATTTACTTTTTTCTTATCTCTTACTTTGATATTGTCATAACCGGCCTACAGGTAACGAGTTGATCACACACTATCACTCCGCTGTGAGGGTTAGGGTTACTATCTCCCTCGATTGTTGTGTTGTATGTATCGGTCGCGATCGGTCCGCGCAGCCCATTCCCAGAAATGACTCACCCAGATCAATTGGGTCTGTTTCTTGTTTACGAATTGTCTATCCCATTTATATCCGCGAACACGAATAGCGGTGATGCTCGTTTTTCGAGTCTTTCTATTGAATATCTCAAGTCCCTAAATTTCTCCTACTATGCGGTAGTCCGCCCAGAACCCACCGGTGCCCGTCGCTCATGTGTTAAACCAAACCACATTGTACATGCACTATGTCCATATGGACCAAGGTTCGCAGTACTGAACTCTCTATGAATCCATGAGGTAGGGTCTGCCGAACACTCTAGAAACCTGATTATATATAGTCCGGACGATAACCCACATTTGCTATATCAGACATAGTTACTAGCGTGTAAGAAAGGGGTTTCTCGGCCGCTAAAGATGGACCTTTTTATCCCTACTTATGCACGTTGGCCCTCTAGGTCTCTCCTGTACTAGTAGTTAGCGAATGGAAGCCCTATTGATTAATCGAGATTCCTCTTTTTTCGTTCTGAGTTAAACAATTAATTATTTGCCTATTGGAACCAAATTTCTAATCGTGTCTCATGCCAAGTTGTGAATATAGATAAAGCTATCATACCTCCACAGTCCATTACATCCCAAGACGTTAATAGAAGCAAGTATATCGTGTGCTAGGATGGCAAAGGTCGTGTAGCTACCGAGGTGGTGTGGTGCGTCGCATCGCTCGAGATCAGCTAATGAGATCTTGAGGTTTCACATCGACCGACGGTCAAATGATCTATCTAGTTTAACGGATCGCGGCTACTTGTAGTTAAAACGTTCTATTCGAGTTACAAAAAATACTCATCTATGCTTCACTACGATACGTTTAGTGATTTCAAAAACTATTTTCAGTATTTAAACATTTTAGAACCGTATGATATGAGCCAGAAAATAAATTTATACCCCTCAAAACTACGACCTTTACTAGAACGTTCGAGCAGTATACATACATCAACACACCCCGAGATCCGCCGAAGTATTCCTTCCTTCAAACTTACTGTACTTTGCGTGCTCTAAGTACTATATATCGGATGTTCAATATCTAGAAATTAACCGCTCCTTATTTACTTGACTTGATCAAATCCGCCGCCTAAAGAATGACAGAATTAGTACTGATCTCGCTATGGAAAGAACTGCCGCCCAACGTACCTTCTCCGCCACCGCGTAGATAGTGGCTTGCAAATGTGCTGCCGGAACAACCGGCACCACTCCCGCATCTATAACTCTCAACCCTGACACGCCAAATACTCTTAACTCCTCGTCTACAACTCCCCCCATTTCCTTTGGCATCATTGGGCTCGTGCAGCACACATGGGAGAAACTTGGTGACATGGTCTTTTTCAAGTAGTCCGCGATCTGCTCATCAGTTGTCAGGTTCCCGGTTGTGGTCTCGATTGCCCCCAGTTCTGTCATTGCCGGCGTTTGCATCAACCGCCTGCCAGCGCGGAAGGCGTCAATCATCAGCTGCATATCCAAGGGGTTCTCAAAAGCCCGCCAGTCGACACTGGGCGGCGAGAACGGATCCAGAGATGATGCACGGATATCACCGCGGGATAAAGCATGCGAAAGCGATATAACAAGTGGACCAGCAGAACCAACGCTGCATTCGATTGTTGCGGCGTCACTAGACTCCCATATGTCAAGCAACAAATCGCGTTGCTTCTTATAACCTGCAGTCACGCTTGACTCAACGCCTGGGCTGAGATACGTCTCATTCTGGTTGCGGCCCTCGGCCACAAGCTCTGATGTTTTATTGGTGAAGGAGTTAGTGGAGATAAACGCGAGTGCATTCCCGGCAGAGACGGTGTACGGGCCCATCTTGCTCCTATTGTAGAGCTCACGATAGTAAGCAGCTAGAGTGGCGTTTGAAGTGAGGTTCTGAGGGCTGAAGGCAAGATTTGTGACTTCTAGGGCTTAGTACACCGCGATGCTCGACAGAAAACTACCATGAAAGAATTCCTGACTTACAGCTATATGGCACAACAAGGGACGGATGATCTTGAAAATTACTCCCCACCCCCGGGAGCTCTGATACCACCTGAACGCCTAGTTCTTCGAGCAGTGTTCTTGGACCAATTCCCGAAAGTTGTAGTAGCTGTGGAGTATGGACTGCGCCGGCAGCAACGACTACCTCGACCGTGGCATTCACAGTGTACCGTGGCTGATTGCTACCAGCGGAATACTGCACCATCAAAAGAAAATATTAGTGAATAAGTTGATCCCCGCGCGCAAGAACAGGGAGGGCGGAATGGCGAACCTCAACACCATAAGCTGCTGCATCCTCTGTTAAAATCTTTGTTACCTGGTTTCCAGCCAGTAAATGATAATTCGCGCGCTCTACTGCCACGTCGTGGTCGTCAGGTCGAGTGAATGATCGTGTCATCGTCATTGGATTCAGCGAGTTCGGGAGATAGAATACACCGACTGCACTAGAAGCTTGATCGTTGGAGGTCTGGACTCCAAGCTGGTTCATGGCCTGTATAAAATTTTCTATGCGTGGGCGAGGGATGTCAGTACAGTTTACACTTAACCCCATGACGTTATATTTATGGTGGGTTCGACTTACTGGTTTGGTTGTATATGAATGGCGGATAACTCGCATGTACTAAGCCATTATAACCATGTACCGACTCATCATAGGTAATCCCAAATTCACTCACAAGCTCATCAGATGGCGGTGTGAATGTCTCGCTCTATATTTATACATGATAGAATTAGCACGCATTTTCCAAAGCATACCGCTAAAAGAAGAGCTCACGAACCTTGATGAAGTATGGCAGCAATCCTTCCCATCCCCACCCCTCGTTTCCCAGTGCCTCCCACAGATCATAATCCGCCGGCGACCCGCGATGGAATAACATCCCGTTCAAGGCGCTACTCCCGCCAACGACCTTACCGAGTGGTATGGTGATATTACCATTTACGAGAACATCCTGCGGGACAGTTGGTACCTGCCAGTCGTAAGAGGTGCCAAGAGTAGCACCGACATCCCCGGGGACATAGATGCTGTCTTCATGCTTGTCTCTGCATTTAATCGTTAACTCCAATTCAGAATTTCTATATATGTACTTTTTAATCTACTTACAGTTCACCAGCTTCAATAACAAGAACCGTCGCTACACAATCGATTAATACTTGTTCAGAAACCGAATTAAGCTAGAGAAGGTTTATAATGAATGGGAACACAGCTGAAACTTACTGGCTAGGTCCTCCGTCAGTCGATTTGCAACCACCAGCCCCGATAGTCCGCCGCCGATAATGACATAATCATATTGATCGAGAAGATCCTCGCGGCGCTCAATCAGTAAGTACGCAGAAGCCGTAGTTACGGCAATGGATAGAAGAGAGATATGACTCCACAGCATCATCGGTCCCTTAGAGAGTTCGAGGTGATGAACCCCTTTATTCGGAAAATGGCATCCTTTTTATACACCCCGGCTTCACTTGTCGCGTGTAGCTCCACATATATGAACTACATGCCAGCTCCTGCATGAACCGCACCAACCAGGTTATCAACACTTCTATCCTTACAGGTGCTGGGGTGGTCCTCCGCCTCTTATTATCATTCGTAGGCAAGTGGATCCAGATGAAATCTCGCTTCCCTGCGCGCCTTGTCTTAGCGAGATCAGGCGAATGATTAATATGCATGCTTTCAGTTAGGGCTGACACCCCAAGAGCCCTGATCCCTGTGGGAACGTTCAGGCTAAGTTAAAATGTCTCGAGACCTTATCATATATTCCGATGCTTGACTTAATAGAATACTGTAGAAATCCAGGTGAAAACCGAGTCCTCTACCCAATTCAAATAGCGGTAATGCTTGTGATGATACCGTTCAATAGCAAGGACGGTTGTCGCGATCTGTTCTGTCCCATTCGCAGTCGCTACCCATTCACTGGACTTTTTATTATAACGTAACAAGATAAGAATAGAGAACAGAGACTGATATATTGAGGTCATAAATTATTTTCCATTCGCTGATTCAGGCAACTTTATTGCTTCCGTTAATTGGATGGTAGGAGGGCGTAGGTGCAGGACTGCCGGATCCAGTCTTCTAAGCGATCCCTAGTCCAGTGTGTAAGGTACTGAAGGTACCAAACACGAGAGATTCCTTCCTCCATAGAATATCACTCGGGCTCAACTGAGACTACTGGTTCATTGATTAATTTATTAATTGATGAAGATTACCAGACGGTACGGTTTATACCTCGCCTGGTACATCAAAACTGCAATACTACTATCTTTGTTTTTTTTCATGATAACTTTCTACATATATTCCAGGGTTCGCAATGGGTCCTCCCCTACTTGGGCCGACCCGGGTCGTGATAGTACAGGTCCACTTGGTCAGGTCCTTCGAATTTGGCAATTGCTTGGGCCGGGTCCAATGAGATATTTGACCCGGGCGATCCCCACCGGTTGCAAATGTCTTTTTTACTTTATATATGATTGGAATTTGGTGTTTGACTGATATTTTATGAGCCTGAACCACCATTTATCAACAATCTCTATAAAGTTTCTGCTATATGACAGTATTTTGCGTACTTCGGTCCTGTATAACTGACCCGGGTAAAGCCGGGCAAAAGATCTTTGGTTAGGTCCTCACTTTGCTTCAGCGGGTCGGGCCAGGTCCTTGGACATCTTCGATCCGGATGGACCATTGCTAAGCCTGATATAATCTGATGTCACTAAGATGGCGCCTTCCACCGGGAATAATACTGGCAAGCCAAGCTTTAATAATGATAAGGTCTCTCCATAATCATAGTCAGCCACATAATTAACAAGATCTTTTATCTGAGAGGGAAGAAATCAATCTCGTGAGCTTTTTAGGTGTTGGAGCGTTTTCCAGGCCGTGGGGCTAATGTTAATAACATTGCATACTAGAAACCTTCCTTTCACGTGGTTTTGAACCTGAAGCTGGCAAGGCAAAGGGTAACAAGGCAATATTGGCTATCCTTTGAATCCTTAACACTTCTCCCTTTATAAGCTTCTTAATCAAAGAATAACACAGCCTTAACTTAGCTGATTAATTGTTGAAGCTTGTTGGCACTATTTTTTTACATGGAAGGCGGTACAAGACTAAGGGAAGTTGCGCCCAGTTTTAGATTCTGCCAATCAGAGATTATATATGCGTGTCGGTTAGGTATTTTTACCCAAGAGGGTTATAGAAATGACGCTAATTCTATAAGTCAAAGAGGGTCTTGGTGCAATTCTGGCGAGTCCATATATACACACCATTTCGCGTTTTAGTGATTAATTGTGAACCCTGAGATTCTTTAATTATCGGTAAGAAGTTCGATTTTTCGTAGAGATGAGTGACCAATCCGGGCTTAAATGAGCTTTAAAGCGCCGCGGTATGAGTATTGATCTCCTGTAAACGCGTTAACTCTTGCTTAATACCGCATCACGTAGTCACCTGGATTCAAAAGAGCGAGTGATATTGTATGATGCAACCTGACATCCAGCTGCTCGCACTAACGGGGCATGGAACACTCAATTGTAAAGGAGTAAATGCCCGGGGGTGTTCTGGTAGGGGTATAAACCTTTTTGGAGTTCATATCTGCGACCATTATTTCTTTAAAAGATTGATCTGTGTGCATCTGGTTGTGTAAGTGGGCAAGTTGTTCCCTTTATGATCAAAGCCGGAAAATGTCTAAGTCGGAGCAGAGAGACGGCCATGGGTTGCTTAGACAGGCTCATGAAGGGTGTTTGAAGACCTTTTGTCGAGGGAAGGGAACACATTCTATTCGGCCACCGTTGTTGTATTTTGACACACGTAAGACAGGCGTTAGGGTTAGGGCTATAATGGTATGATCAAGCGACTATGCGGCCGCGGAAACATGAACAAGCTAGTTCTGTATTGTCCGCATATTATTTGTTACCCAGCCTGGCCACGCTCACTTGACTTTTGATCGATAAAACACAGATCAAGAAGCCTATGAGAATAATGGGGAAGGTTTCAGATATGTCTAAAATAGCAGTAACACTGTACGGAAATGTGCCTTTCAAGACACTCCAGTTATATAAAGTGTATATATATCAAACCTCAAGATCATTAAGAACACCCCGCAACCCCCTTGACGAACCACATCTAATTGGACATATATGTGATGTTTCTTCTGGGATCCCGTCGTAAAACCTAGTCGTTGAAGAGTAATTGTTTTTGTTATAATCTAAACACCGAGGGCCGATTGTTTAAAAGAACAGAGGGTGTGACTTTTAGATATACAAATGCCAATAATGGATGCCTGAATGCCATGCATGGCACACTCCAATTTATTAGTCCCTGCACTTTGCGAATTATGTGAGGAATTGCCATAGATATTCCGGAATATCTTAGATACGGCAACCTTTGAAACAGCGCTTGTAGATTCATCGGCTGCAAATCTACACCAAATATCACTCGAAAGTAACGCCAGTGATAGTGATGGGCATGAGAAGCAAGGCCGGGCGAGATCTTGTAAAGTTGAATATGTAAGGTCTCGAGGCCATTTTACAAAATTCTGGAACTTTCTTTTTAGGGAGGGGTTATCTTTATTTCATTTCTGCGCAATCCCTAAATTAATAACCCTAACCCTCATTAAAGCTCCCAATCCTCAATCATCCGGATCCTCTCACTATTGAGTCGTTTTAGCTGAGAAAGACCTGTGATCACAAAGTCTTGAGACTTTGGGAGGACTAACCCATATGTATTGGGAATTACAAAACATGGATTCGAACGTTACAAGGCGAGATGGGACTATGGTTTGGTCTGGTCTTGTCCTGTAATGTGCCTATCACTAGCCAGTGATCCGCAAACTACCACCCTATCAATTGGATTGTCGCTTGCTCGGTCTCAGTCACGTCAACGGTGTAGAATGAACTTTTCTCTTTAATGACTCCCCCCCCAAAAAAAAAACCGGTCATACATACACACATGCCATAAACTCTACGGCCAACATGTCCTCCCCCGCCTTATTGATACATTCTGTCTCAGGAGGATCCAGCCGTGTGTACATGTAGCCTGGGCAACGAGAATCCCTTGGCTATAATACACATTTGACTTGCTCGATTAGAGTAAGCTCATAGATGAAGTATGCTTTTGTTTTAAATAATGGCTGCTTTGTGCTCTCTCGATGCGGGAGCCTTCAAAACAAGCGCAGAATTATTCATACCTAATTCATACTATCATCTTAGCAGGATACTACATGTAATTATACTAAGCCGATTGTGTTGATACATGTAGCCTGATCTCAATATCAACGATGAGGATGCGGGAGAGATTGTAAATGTACCTTACCGTCGAAACGGGTATTTTTTAAGTCTTATTTTAGGCTTAAATAAACATGATATTTGCCTTTTTTGACGATTAACTCTTATCTCTTTTCAAAGTCCTTGTTAGACTATGGTTTTGCTAATATTAAAATATTTTAATGCTTATTGATTTTGACCAGTCTTATTTAAGGTATTTTTGAAAAATAAGGCTGAATAATGTTTATTCGTGAGATCAGCATGATAGCCTGATAGGTATACTTTTACACTTATTCGCCATAGTGAATTTCGGAAATGAAGTCCTTATTAATACTGAATTTAATATGTACATTGATTTAAGACAATCTATTTATCTCCCCGCCTACACACCTCCCTACCTCCCCACCTGCCTACCTGCCTATTGAACTAGTTCGCTCAATTAGGTGCTCGATTAGGTGCTCGACTAGGTGCTTGATTAGCTGCTCGATTAGGTGCTTGATTTGGTGCTCTATTTGGTGCTCGATTTGGTGCTGGATTCAGTGCTTGGTTCGGTGCTGCTGCTGTTGCTGCTGCTGCTAGATTCGCTGATTAGCCTATGTTTTTGATGATTAGGAGATTGGGGGGGGGGGGGGGGTTGTGCTAGGAGAGTAGAGGGGACGGAAGTGATAGAGAGGTAGAGGTGGGGTGTTAAAGAACAGATGGAAGAACACGGTTTAATATTTGCTAAGTGCCTAACCCTAACCCAGCCTTATCACCCGTAAATGCCTATCCCTTGGACGGATGAAATCTGCAAATTCGCGACCTGGACCGTGCACGCACTTAGTAAGGCAATTGTCTTTCTTTTTACAGGTGATAACAATAATTGAGCCAACCAAAAATCAGCTCTAATGACCACATAAGGCTAGTGATAGCTGAAAGAGGGAAGTCGCGAATTTGCAGGTTTCATCCGTCCAAGGGATAATCCTGACGAATTTCCATAATGCTTATTTATTTAGTAATCCTAATACTAGTAAAGGTCTTAAAAGAGTCTTATTTGGTGGTAATATTAAGCAAATATCATGCTTTTGCCCAAAACACGCTTTTTTGAGATATATGCCTTATTTGAGGCTTTTCTACGTCATAGAGCTCAAAATCAGCCTTATTATTTTACCCGTTTCGACGGTAAGGTATGTAAAGAATATATTTAACATGAACTTTCGTAAAAACGCTTGAGATTACCACTACGCCAAGTGACAAAGTGAAAGAGAGTGAACTATAGAGAATATTAGACTATGATACCACACACGACCGCTTCAGTATCTTTCCCACACGTTTCCTAGTGCCCTGCTGTCTTTTAGATTTTGCGTTCGCTTTCGACATTTGTATCTTCTGCAAGTGTGTCTCCGGCTCCCCCGATATCTGCTTCGTACCGGAAAGGAGCTCCTCATGGGTGGTGGAATTTTCGACTCGCTCGAGGAGTTTGCTTTCGTTTACTGGTTTACCCGCGACCCCTGCCGCGGTTTTGCTGCCATTTATCTTCCCACCAAGTGATCCTCGTAGCTCAATTCTAGATGCATGCTGGTCTGTCTGACGAGTGATTGTTATGGATTGATGACTTTGCTGGATCTCTGACCGTTTCATGATGGACCTCTTGACCACTTCGATCATAGTGTAAGTGTTTCTCCCAGCAGTCGGGATACTGGGATCCTCCTTCTTAGCCCACTCGGTGGCCGGCGGTGAGCTATGGACCCTGGCGGGGGTGACAGCTTTTGTTGAATTCCCCATATCGACCCGACTGATCAATTTCTCAACAATGGTGTCGAACCCACTCGCAGCAGCCCGTTGCAGTGGTGTATACCCTCTGTCTTCTTTCGCGGTGATATCTGCTCCCCTCTCCAGTAACAATGCCACCACATTAGTGTGTCCCACCTCTGCCGCCAGGTGTAGCGCTGTGTACTCGTGGTGGCCCCTCTCTGAGATATCCGCACCCTGGTCCAACAATAGCTCCACTATCCTGTAATGACCATCGGTAGCGGACACTGTTAATGGGGTAGAATTATCGCCAGCTCTCGAACTAACATCCGCACCACCCTTCAACAGTAGCTGCACTGTCTTGTAATCCCCGGTGGAAGCGGCTGAGTGCAGGGCTGTGAATCCATAAGGACCTACACGCATCTCTAGTACTACATGTACTACTTGCGCCCAGCGTGAGATGACCGGAACGCCTGTTGATATTTTGTCTCGGTCGGTTGAGACTTCCAGCTGGTCTTCCGCATTAAGCCCGAGAATAAAAGATACCACATCCCGACGTTTGTTCTGGGATGCTACGTGCAACGCTGTAAACCCATTACTATCCGTCGCTAAAAGGTCACTTGCATCATTTAGCAGTAACTTGACCAACTCCAAGAACCCACATCGAGCCGCAAGGATAAAAGGAGTTGCCCCCCCAAACCCCTTCGCCATCTTATCTGCGCCGCGGTGAAGAAGGAAGAGAGCGATGTCTTTATGGCCGTTCTGAATGGCCCGATGTAATGCTGTGTCTCCATTTCTGTCCTTGTGAGATATATCTGCACCTCTCTCGAGCATGGATTGGACAATGTTGCTGCGTCCGTTTGCTGCACCCTCTATAAGAGCGTCCCCTCTCGATCTCACTAAAGAAAATCCCAAGGCAAGTGTCAGTATCTGAATATAACGACAAGAGAGTGCTTATAGGCGATACGTGAGCTCCTACGTTTTATTTGTTCATGCGGACTCGGTTTGATCTTTCCTCCTGACAAGGGTTTTCCTTTTATATCTGACGCAACTAGGGCTAGTTCTGGCTCAGACCTGCCGATTCCAAGTTGTAATGACTTTTCGTCACGCCCGATGCGTTGATGTTTCAGAGGTTTTATTACCTCTATTTGACCTTGCAGAGATAGCGCTCTCATATCCGGCTTTGTTGGGACGATCCAACGAGGGCGATAAATCTGGGACCTTATTGTAGCGGCGTTTGGCTGGAGGTGAGGAGGAGCCTCAATGACCTTTTCATTCTGATACGTGGGTCTTGTAGCATCCAGGTGAATCCAAGTATCTCCAGATTGTGGGCCTCCCCCTATAGGCCATGGCCATGTATCCGCACCTGGATGAAGCCACGGGTCCGTCAATGCCTCAGTGGCCGTGGGCCTATCCTGCGGGAGTGGCCGCATGAGGCTCATTATGAATCTTCTCATCCCAGCCTCCAATCCCTTGTCTGGGAACGGCGATTGCCCCGAAGTATATTGTGTTAGCCCTTGATTCCCCGGGAATGGTGCGTGCTTGGTCGCCATTGTGTACACTACGCATCCAAGTGACCATATATCGACGAGTTTTGTGTACTCATAGGTATCAGAATCAATGTTCATGGAATACAGGATCTCTGGAGCAAGATAGTCAGGAGTGCCCGTGAACGTCGTGAGAGGCGTCCCTGCCCCTGCTATCTTTGTTGTCCCGAAGTCTGCGATCTTTAAGGTCAAAGGAAACCATTTCGCAATGAGAATATTCTACCTCTCCCCTTAGAAACGGTACAGCTTGCGTGGCCTGTAGAGCACTCTCACCTTTGGTTTTAGATCTCGGTGACAGAATCCGAGGTTGTGCATGATGTCTAACCCTAAAAGTAGCTGTCTCGAAGCAGCCTTGATCTGATCTATAGTCAAGCCATGAGTGATCATGGAATGGAGGTCTCCGCATTCCATGTATTCCATAGCGATATAGTAGTTGGCCTCGTCTTCGAACCACCCAAAGAGCTGAACAAAGTGATCTGGGTGCTGTGTATCATATTAAGTTTTCCATTCCGTTAATATCTCATCGCTGAAGACTTCTAACCGATCCAACAGAGGGAGAATATCTCTCACCGAGCTCATTCTCACCAAAGTTGATAGCTCCCTAATGAATGCGGCCTCGGAATTTGTCGCCTTCTTCATAACCTTTACCGCTCTGACTGTTCCGTTCTCGCGACAGGATTCCTTATGGACCTTGCCGTTTGCGCCTTCACCAACATCCTTGACCCTACACCATGTTTCTATCCTCAACCCCCCTGGCGATGTTGAGCTGGGGATTGTGTGTATGTAGGATTTACCGTCGTCGCTGAACAAAGTACACAGTTTGTGTGAATTGAAGGCGTTGAGTTTGGACGACATTTCTGGGTGGTGCTTATAATTACTTCATATAGTTTACAGTAGTTTCTCCGTGAAAAAGAAAATGCATGTCGTTTAATAGAGAGGGAGGAGGAAGAGGAGGAGGAGGAGGAGGAGGAGGAGGAGGAGGCTTTAATTCTACACTTCATATCATCTCTCTTTGAAATATCTCTCCGCGGGTGATTAATCGAGTCCACAGAGCATAGCCGAACACCACGGAATTAAACGATGACGCTCTCTGGGACGAAGCGTACATACATGTAGGCATAGATGTGCGGTGCATGTCGGCATTGATTGTTACCTGAGGTCCATTGGACACCAAAGGCCACGCAGATAGACGTCTGATTGATGAAATGAGGAAGAGGGGGGGCCCCCGTGAGGGGGGGAGTGGGGCGGGGGCAGGAGGCAATCTCCTAAACCCAATCGCTGCTTTCTGGTCCGGCAGAACCTCCCTGAGAGAAAAAGGAAAAGAAAAAAAAAGGTACATAGATCGAGACTGCCTGGCGTGCCAAATTTTCTTGATGTGATTTGCTGTAATGTACGCGTATATCCAGTGATTTTCAAAGTCTGGGTACGTACTCTATTCTTGATTTCAGAACGAGCACATATGAGATGGACTAGCTGAGTCTTCCATTGCTCGGTAACTGAGCAAGTTCGATTGGAACCAGCAGCAAGGCTGAGGATATACTCTGCTCTTGAGTGGGGTATATGCAGTAATATGCATAACACATATGCCATGCCGACCACGGAAGCGTTGGCCACTTAAAACTCGCCTCGACCGTTACACAACCGTATTTATCCACAAGCCCCCTCAAAGAACCAGTGCGCCGGCCGTTTGAGAGCCCTTGCACCCTGCCCCCTCCCCTACCCCCAATGTAAGGTAGATAGATGATGGACTACAGTCAGAACTCGATATACCGGATTGCCAAGATTCTAAGGATTTCGTACGGGATAGCGGAAAATCCGGGATAGCAAATTGATTTTGCAGTAGGAAAAATAATATTCTCAGAGGATGTACATACAGCAAGGGATCCGGCGCATTGAGTTCCGGTATATCGAGTTGCGACTGTACCTACCTGCCTACTCTTCGGCGATAACAATAAGTTCGAGATGCCCCTCATCGAGGTTTTCTTTTCCACCTTATTCTTTCTTTTTCATCCTCATCAGGTCTCAGGGCAGTGTGGCAAGATTTCATATATGCATCCAGAAAAGGGCGGTGAATTCATGTACACCCGCAGGAAAAAAGTGAGGAAACAACGAGTGCAACCAATCAGAACCCTAACGAAAAAGTGAAAATGGAAACGAATAGAAGTAATATGACTACACAATGAGATACAGAATAGATACTACGGCCTCTGAACTATATTTACCACTTTTTATGACTTCCCTTGTTCTTTACTACTGCTGCAATTCTCTTTGGTATGCTGTCAATGATTTTATATACATTTTCCCGATCTAGCCTTTCCCACTCTTCCCTAGCTTAGGCTTCAATAACTTTTATGTTTTCATTAAGAGTAGCCTCTCTTCACTTTCCGGACTTGTCAAAAGACATGGCTAGGGAATACTCATGAGGCTGTATTACAGCTGTGGGGATGTCAAATTAGACGCACTTATTGTCACGCTACTTATTGTTTCCTCTCTTTTTTCCTGCGGGTGTACATAGTTATATATATACCCTACAGTCATGATCATGTAAACTAAGAAACCGGCTCTCTCTTTTCTCGCATAGCCTTCACTTTAGATAATCCCCCCTCGACGTAATGGAATTCCCCAGACAATTAAGTCGCATCCGACGGAATCCTCCCCCGGTTGTGAGCGAATAGGGCAGATATGCACTCATATGGACTCTTGTTGCCCATAGCGCTAGCTCTGGGCCACCTCGGTAGGAATAATACACTTTGTATAGACGTCATCATAGACGAGGACTTTTTGAAAAACTTTGGAAAGCCATGTAAGACGTACATACATACTATGTACATCTTACACTTGGAGGATTGTAGATCGCCTGGGACAGTAGGTACATGTATGTAATACTTTGTATGGACAAGCTGTGTGTACCTACACATGTACATGGACTGGTGGAAGCTAGCAACCAGCGTTCGTTTCATGTTATAGTATTTACTACGCCTATCACGTTGTAGTGGGCGAAGTTAAGGTTCTGTGAGGACAATGTCAAGGTCCACAGATGATCCAACCGCCATAGGAAAGCTATCGCCCCATCCTTCGCACTTGTAACACAATGCCTCGTCTCGAGCTCATGCAAGCAGCGAGCAGTGACTCTTGCCTATCCCGTCCACACAATCCATACTCTACCTTTATGTCAAGAGCAACTGGAGGCCATGAAGCGAGCCATGGAATACCCAGCCATTCGTGTGCATCCAACGGTAGTCTCCGAACAATTGGCTAAGGCGGTGAGATTCCCTTATCGCAGATGTCTCGAGAATTGATACCATTATGGGAGCCTTGGAGAGAATACATTCCTTTCGCCGTCACAATTCATTCTCGATCCCTCACAAAACTCCTCTCTCATCCACACCCTCACTCGCCTTACTCGCGGCTTATCCCTGCACGCTAGCTCGCTGAAATCCTTCTCTCAGGTCTTGAGGTTTCAGACGGATAAAACGCCACGAAGATACCAATCCGTGGCTGGACAATTTATTGTTCAATCCATCGCCTGTGATGGAGTACCTGATTTCTCATCATGGATGGCTGCTCTTCGCCCACTACCAACCGCGGAGAGTGATCTGCTATGAGAACATTCAATTGGCCCTTGCCGAGGCTGCGATTACCGTCTTTACCTAAATATCCCCTACCACAGGAGTGTACTCCAAGAGGCAGTGCTTACGTGCATTGCTTGTGGCCGAAGGTGAAGGTGTTGTCTAGAAATTTCCTCACAAATGTGTCGGGCAATGCCGATACATCTTCCCCCGGGTTATAGCCTAAGTACGTTTTTCAGTATTTGTGCAGCGGGAGTCACTTATCATGCGGTTCCGGATTGTTCAACGGCAAGGCTGAGCCGAATGGGCAGATGCTGGCGAGCTGAATACGGGCGCTCTTATCGGACTGAATATCGCCGCAACGATCCTTCCCCGCGATCCTTTTTGAGAATGGCAGCTAAACTCACGCTGGCTATGGTCTTGCAAAGTTACGTACGTATGGCGGCATTCCGTGCATCCGCAGTGCCGAAAACATCTAGACCTCATCCAAGAACTCTGTGAATCTGTTTAATTCTTTCTACAGACAAATGTCCCCCCGCATTTGATCGGGAACGGAATCCCGGTCGCTACGGCGCTCGCAAGCGCCACCAGTGTCGGTGGTGGTTGTTTTTCATCAATTCTCTGCTCAGCCACCATCTCTCGCTTTGTCTAGCCACTGACAATTTCTGGTTTCATGCGCGCATGTCGGGAAGGGTCGTTGTGGGTAGCCCAGACTTTTGCAGCAAGAACGTCTCAAGGTAGCAAAACGAGGGAGGTGCCGGTATATATAATAATATAATAAACTATAATATCTTGAAATGTTCATAGAATCCTAGCGTAGGTGAAGCTCGCTCAAAATCGTTCAAGGCACCGAAGAGCTACCAATTCGCCCTCTTCTAGTGTGTGCACGCCCTTGTGTTTACACCCTTGTGTTTCAAAGTCCTATGGGAGACCCCGCAAAGAATGCTTGTATGTAACATTATATAGAGTATTCCGCCGCGCTAAGCTCAAGCGGCCGTCAAACTAACACAAGCGGGGAAGAGCCCTGACCGGGCTGGCCCTGGCCCTGGCGCTTGGCAGGAAAGCTTATCATGACCACCGCGCTGAGTCTTGATACGATAGAATGATGTATGGCCAGGCCAGATGAAGATCGGTCTATCTCTCATCACCTCAACCTTCACTGGATACATGTATGTGAATACACTCATGTTCGATTGAGGTTGCCATGGTATGTGATAGGATGAGCCTCAACCCTAATCCACTATTGCCAAGAGTGTGCGCCCACATTTAATAGATCTCTCCATTGATCGACATCTAGATCTAGGTAGGTAGTACCGTGGAGGTAAGCCGCGCCTTGCGCACATCCTATTGGCCTCTAACTGATGAGCTTATACCGGAACATAGAGCTAAAGCCACAGAAATTAACATTTACCACCGTTCGCATGGTTTATGGAGACACTCTGGGAAGTCAACGCCCGAAACGACTCTTTACTGAAAGCACTCGACATTCATTTCCATTCAAACCGCATACATGTACATAGAGTTGTTGGAAACGACGTCCCGAGTTTAAATAATACCGAATAATTTTAGAGCATGATAAACAGGCTGGAGGTCCTACGATGGTCATGATTGAATAACCTGAAAGTTGAAAATGACCAAACAAGACGAAGGGGTGGGAATCATCAAAGAATTCGTGTCGCTCGGCCGCGGGAATTAATTCCTCCCAAAGTGCGACCGGGGCTCTCCTCACCTGATATATGGTGAGGGTGTTGCGAGTCTCCGTCAGGATGCCCTATACAATGAAAAGAAAAAGATGAAGACGGCAGGAGAGGGTAAAGAAGGATTAGGACACACTAAAGTAGAGAGCACACAAGAGAGAAGATAGATAGAACTACAAAAAATAGGAAGGGAGATAGAGGTGAGGGGCTTTTTTTTTCCTTCTTTTTTTTATATCAGTGTTTCATTTATTTCTGGGTACAAGAATATCGCATGGAGCTTAGGCTATGGCGTGAACAACACCCCTCCCCAACCTAACCGCCAAAAGAAAGTAAACAACAGGAAGATATAAACATGAAGCAATAACTGAAAAGAAATCCTGACATTCCCTCCGCAGAAATGCAAACTTAGAAATTCAGTCGTCCCGTTCCTCGGGCCTTATACTTTCGTATCAGCTACACAATTTTCTCTCAGGATATAGGAAAAACAGAGAGGAACAATTTGGTTGTAATGGTTGTGGTGTTTGCAGGCCTTGCAGCGTACCGCTGTTTATATTATAGCGGAGTCCGAGTTTGATGGGATCGAGGTGAGGTCGGAGTCGGATGAGAGATCGTATAGTGAAGATTTGGGGGGGCCATCTGGGGAGAAACCCTGTCTTAGTGGCTCTGATATATGAGGATAGGTCTGCGAGAGAGGTGGCAGGTAACCAGAGGTCTTCAAGTGATGTAGCAAATGGTATATAGGTGGCCCTTTGGGGGCATGTTGAGGGCAGCGGACGATGGTGTTCTCAAAGTCTTCATCTTCGAGGAGGCATCTGGGGCAGGTGGAAGGGAGGTCTGGACACATCCAGGAGGGGTGGGTAGCGAAGTAGCTTTTGTAAGTGCGCATCTGACATATACAGTACGTGATGAAGCGATCTAGGGAGAGGTGGGGGTGGGGTCAAGTGTTGATCCCAAAGGTATAGTAGTTTGGGAGGGGGTTATTTGGCTAGAGCTGGAGAGTGTCTTTCTTTATAGACAGCCCTAAGCCTAGGTGGATGGTGTTGTGGTCTTGGCTGAATGTAGGGGAGTTGGTGAAAAGGGAATTGCAGAGGTCGCCAATGGGGAGGTGGGCTACACCTCTTCTACTGGAGTTTCAGTTGAGAGGTGGATTGCATTTTCCGTGCAGGAGGTGTCGGTGAGAGGGTTCCCTGTAGTTGGAGAAGATGTGGAAGGTTTCCAGGGTGTATGCAGTGATGTGATTGTAGACTGGTGATGCGGCTTGAATCGGGCAGCATATCATAAGTGGAGGGAGGGGATGTATAAAGCGAGAGGCGGGAAGGATGCCTCTGCCTGTAGTACTGTGAGTGGTATAGATCTGAAACAGTTCGTCACCTATCTGAGGATGGAGTGCCAGGTGGTCTCAAGGCATTTAATGGCTCATGCCGTAGGTATGAAGACTGATGCGCCATAGGTGAGCATTGGGAGTATGGCCATGACTGCTAGTCTTTGGCAGTTGAGTGGTGTGATAGAGGTTGGGGGCTGTTCTATCGTATATATATGAGTTTCTGCTTACAGCTAGCCCACGTGACTTTATGGTATATTACAACCTGCACCGGCCACACATAGGTCCAAGATGGTCAAAGGGGAAGGAAAAACATAAATCTTAATTAACTCCATCGGGACCATTGCAATCGATTCTCTGGTTTTTTCCTTGTGAATTGATAGTTCAACCAGTCGAATAAGCAAAAACGGCTCCAAATCCTAGGCCTTGACTTCGCCCTTCAAAGTTATATCCTCATGGTAGGCCCCAATTACCATTCTCCGCTCAGACGGGTTCTCCGGAGGAGCCTATCGAATCTTTGAAAGATGATACTCAACACAGAATAATAATCAATTTAGGATCATATGCCGAACTTAATAAATTAGGCACGCGTGATGTGTCTATTTTTGGACGACATATTAAACGCAGTCACCCTTCCGGTGTTCCTGTGCCTTTGCGGGGAAGGATTATGTGGGGTACGAGATCATTAGAATCTTGCCCAGTCCCAGCTGCATGCAGGCATACCCGTACTCGACGCGCTAAAAATTAGCAAAACCCGAACTAGCTCTCGCGGGCTGTGTATCCTTAATCCTTTTTTCTCCTTTTTTTACCGCCGAAGACGGTTTATAATTAAGGATTGGGGGGCATTCGTATCACGATCTGAATAGGGGGAAGGGGTCATTTTACGTACCGCATCATTTCCTCAAACTCGAGGCGGTTTAATCTAAGATCTCTGCGAAAGGTACGACATGGATGGCATGATCATGATCATATGAGTTTCAGGAGAACACGAGAATAGCTATAGCTGGCAGGAAGCTTACCCAAGTATTGTGCTTTTGTCAATCGATCGCAATGAGCGCTTTCTGGAGACGTGAGAAACTCTAAACGGGGAATAGAAGATTACTCAAAAACGACTGTGGGTTCGCAATCTATTGATATCAGTTCGCACATAACACACAGCAGCAATATGCATGCTACCACTGACGGGGACTCTCGGGCCCGGTAAGGATTTTGAAACATGTAAACAGTAAAGCGACTTCTGATATCAACTGCTATATCCCTTCGAGCTACAGTAGATCACAGACGGTGCCACATTGTTTGGGTGCACGCTGCTGCCTCGTGGATCAGCTATATTAGCTTTACTGCAGTACAGGCTATGCTGATCATGGCTGCATTGGGGAGTTGAGATAAGATCTAGCTGAAACGCCGTTCAGCGTTCAGCGCGTAGGCGAATCATTATTTTAGATTTGATTTGGAGCACATTTGCCACTTTATAGTCATGCAGACGGGAATCGGCATGAACCTTGCATTTCAAAAGAATGATGTTAGATACGACAAATAACTTATGAGTTTACGAGCGGAACTCGCATCCGAGCTCTGAATAGATACCCGTTCCCCTTCCAATCAACCCATTGGGGTTATAGCTGATGGATGGCACACAAAGGCTATAGACAACTGGGAACGAAAATCAGGTTTACCCCTTCCAGAATGTTTCTCTTGAGAGTATGAGTGTCTTAACGTTAATGTGAGCTTTATTCCTTGCAAAGGTCGGTAGGTAACCGGGTAATCAACTGATGCGGTCAAGATCGGAATGTTACACCTGTTAATCACGGCCAACCATCCCGACTTAAAACTTGCTGAGCACTTGTATAGAAGGTGCTATCAGCCATAAGCTGCATATTAACACATATATTAGTAGCATAATCCTTTCCCGATCCGCTATATATTACTTTTGCCATGCTAATCTTTCACGTTGCTGCACATCAGAAATAGTGTGCATATATTTCAACTCTGAACTTCTGTTGGAGATTGAGACTATATATGTTCAACGCCTACTCTACTATAGGTCACGCACCCCGACCCACACACCCGGTACAAAGCAAGACGTTACTCTTCAACCAATGTATAGCGCGATCAGGTGGTTTTTTACCGGACTGCATGTCTACACTAACTACTTTTATTGGAGATTATCCAACTCTGGCTTGGTGGAGATCGACATATCCTTTCCCATGGCCTATGCCTGGGTCTCGGTGAAGCAGACAGACAATCCTAGTGTGTGCCAAGCCCGAGTGATATCCTATGACCGGGTGATATTCCATGAAACTCAAACCCTTCGCTCCTGGAAAGTGCCTACATCACAGGGAGTTATAGCAAACCGTGGCTAGATTCCATTCGCCTTCATCGATACTACTTCAATATCCGAACTATATATATCAAACTTCCACAAAAATCGAAGGTGGTACACTGCCTAGATAAAAACAGTCGCCCTTCGATCTGACTTCTATAGGTGAGGCCGAGTCCAGGGCGGTTAGAGCGATGCTAGCTATCAGTATTTTGTCGTAAAGTACATATGTATAGGTAGCGAAAGCCACCGAGAAATTGAGTCAGAACCAAGTCGTCGAGATCTAAACCCACATGTCCAAAAAACCAAAGCGTCCAGGGTTTGACATACCCCAATACATGTGGCTGAAATGGGGATTGTACCATATCGACGTAGTGTACTATCTGAGAGAAGAAATTTCGCACATCGAGAGTATTATCGCCTAAATACAAGTAAGCTAACCAATCAATGCTCAGAATTTATATAAACTCCATGAGATCGCACAAGGCGACCACTGGCAAACTACCGAGATTCTTAAACGGGCCGTTAAAAGCATCTCTAATATACGTATGCAGCAGCCCGTGGCATGGTCTCATGATCACTATATAAATCCCACAGAATACCATATTAGGCGCCATACTCATGTGTGTCGCACATCTGCATGAGTCCGCTCTTATATGGATCTCACTGTTCAGGGGTCAACCGATATCGAGGCAGAGAGTTTATAATTACTCACACTAAGCACATGGCAATGAGAAAAACAGCAAGATAAGTTGGTTTCTAGAAAAAGATCCCGCAATTCCCAATATTACCTGGATATCCATTCAACATTTGCTCTAGGATACTACTCTGTATTCCTCAAACCTTTCGGTAATCTTCCGCGGCCGAGTTTCTCTGTTCAAACGCCTATAACATTACTATCTCAAGCTCCTTGTAAGTTTCCCATAGTTATATCGATCAGTACTGTATACCTTCATAGTCATTGAATCGCTTTCATTCCTAAATGTCACAAAACATAATAACTTGTTAACAAGTAAGGATGCTGAATAGCGAACCTGATCCTTACTAACATTCTCACAAGATGGAGAATTTAGAAGAGAAGCCGGAAGTCGACTTCGCGTCAATGTCCAGTAATATTATTTCAGATTTCGCCCCAATCTTGGCACTTTTCGGTGAGCAGGTCGCAAAGCAATTCCTCAGCCAGTCAATGGGGTGGGGTGACCATATCATCTTCTCGATGGCTCCATTGGGGATCATAACGGCTGTTATATCGGCCATCCGTATTGGTGGGCCACAGTGGCTAAAAGCTATCGTTGGCCGAGCGAGAGAGCATCGTGCCGCTGCTGAGCTGGAACTCATGTCATCCACATCGCATGAAGTCTGCGAGTTGTGGAACGGACAGAACTTTGTGAGAACCCTGGGCGCGCCAGCTATTCAGGAGCTTGTCCTTGTTAAGAGTTCAACTCCCGGGGACACATTAGCGGAAGGAAGCGTGATGTATGAACTACACACGCTTGACAACGAAATGAGCGAACAACATTTTGAAGTGCAAGGTAAGAGAAATATAATCCGGAGCATATGAAATATATACTCAAAACCTATAATGTATTAGATGTTCGACGCGTCCGGAGTGTTGTCGCCAATCGCAATGCAGAAGCGGAGAACAATATAGAGCTGAATTCGAGTGTGTATAGCTCCTTACCCGAGACCTCTTGGAGTACAGGATGGCTGACCTTGATAAGTCCCGGAAACGCATGATATTGAGTCTACAGGCGAGACATCAGGGGTGAGACATCGAAGCACTGCGTCCACGAGACAACATACCCAGAGTTCCGCAAGGCTTCGTGATCTTCCCATTATTAGTGCACCAAATATAACCTTGAATATCAATAAGCGAGTGCCCCAAGCTGAGATCTATTGCGTTGCTGTCTCCGCTGTTTCATTACAGGTCGCTGTACTTGTATACGCGTATAATTCAACTTATAACGCCCGACTAAGAAGATCTCTGCAATTAGAATGGAATGCTGTCTGGGCCTGGTACTGTACCCTTATCGGCACGGTGCTCTTGGTAACCGGGGTGCTGGCTTGCTGCCTCATAATCGAAAAGAGCACGGTAGAAAAAAGGTATCGTCTGAAGAGCGGTGAGGGAAGGTTGTTATGGCTCCAAAAAGGACAGACTGTCAGCGATCAGGTCTTTAGCTCCAGTGCAATCCTCGCCAAAGACTCGACGTCTACCATCCTGACATCCAGAAGAAACGATGATTTAAGTGATTTGTTCCATCCAACATCATATGCGATCAGGTATGGAACAATCGGAGCAGTCATATTAAGCATCAGCGGTTTTATCATTCAATTCATGGGTTTGCGAGGTATGCACTGGTCGGTCTCCGTTGCCCAATTCGTATCGACAGCAGTAATGAGCGTCTTGAGGGCTGTACTTCGCCGAGGCCTATCAGATTGTCCAGAACACCATCAACTCCCCAGGGATCATGAGATTGATTGGCTATCCGTTCGATTCTCCGAGAAAGATGGTGGCTTGAGCCTTTGGGATAGACAACCCACAGTAAAAGACCCGGAGCCTTCAAGGAGATGGCTGAGAGCCTTGTTCCGGGTCAGTGCAAAACCAGTATATGCAGACGCAATGGATTCTCTTGGGCCACCGGGAGACCAACAATTCAAGTGGAACATGGTTAGTGAGGCATTAAACAGCGGTTATGACCTTCCTAACGCCCCTCTACCTGGCACCAATAGAGCGCAGTTTGTGGTCAACTCTCGCGAGCGGCTTGGATATCTCACCCGATGGCCGAGTGTGTACTCAGACCAGGCGACCTCACTTGTAGCCGGTATAGAATGTATCATGAACTTCCCCGGCTTGTACAATGGAACCGAACCTTTTGTCTGGTGGATGCGAGCAACTACTGGTGGAGGGACCTCGCCCGCGGCCGAGGTAATCGAATTTCGTATCAATCGGGTCGAGGACCGGTGGGTGGTAAATCTTGGCCAAATAGAGGCAGTATTATCGCTTTGGATGTATTCAGTAAAGCAGAGCGAGAGTATCTTGGATGATGTAGGCGATGCATGGCTGCGTAGCGGTAAGGTAAATAGGAAGCCTACGACCCGACTTCTCGGACGAAGCACACCATTATTACGACGAGATCTCAGATGGTGGATGGGGATGGACGCACAGAGTATCATGGACACAGATATGAGCGCGCAAAACTTAACAGGGCGAGAGCCTCTGGCAGTTCGTATCAAGCAACATGAATATCGAGTGGTTGGTTCTGCAGGAAGGGTCATTGAGAACGATGAGGTCCACAAATACTTACCCATGTCTTTTGTCGATCGTGACGAGATAAAAGAGGGTGATCCGGTAAGGTGCCAACTACCATTTGCAGCATACAATCAATGGAGTACTCATCTGTACTAACTGCGATACGCAGTGTCCAGGTTTTCTCTTTTCATTCACTCAGTCTTCTTTGCAATCAACCTTTGCACTTGAGATATTCACTGCCTTCATATGGGCCTTTGCTGCATCACCTGGCTTATGCCCAATCGGTGTCGAAAGTGGGGCTGGTGGTCGAACAAAGTTGGATGAATACTCGCTGTCCCAGTCGAAAATCTCACAAATTATGAATTGGGACACGATCAGACTTCAGAGCCCTACATTATCGAATATCATATCAGAACTCGAAAAAACTGGGTTGGGAAACTCCTCTCAGTTATTCCTGAGTATTGTCCCACCTTTGAGCCTGCATCGAAAGCTTCCTGATACATATATCGTGGTTGAAAACATACACCACAAGACTAAGGATTTTCAGCGCCGCGGGCAATGGGGAGAGGTATTTAATATGTATTACTGGCTTCTGCATTGTTTCCTTGAGGTTCCCAACCATACTAAAATGCCTACTGGAAGTAATGCTGGCTTGGAGGCAAGGTCATGGGTCATGGCCATAGCAGTATCAATGGAATTTCTCTGGAGCCTCGGAGAGGAAATTCAAAAGCATAAGAATGAAAGCTTGGTGTTGGATAACCAGTTAGTAAGAGACCACAAGCATTTACGAGCTTTATTAACGAACTCGAAATTTCGCTCGTTGACTAAAGAAGTTCTCCTCGGGCTCGCAAACCTATATGATATACAAGAGCGGAAAATAACATGGGAACCACTACGTTCTTTCTACAACTCTCACCTACGGGACTCCCTCATTCCGCGCGTCACTGACTTGCACCACAAAATCATCAAAGGAGAGTATAAGGGTGATCCCATCGCTGATGTGGATCAAAAAGACGACCTAGGGTGGACTGCATTACACTACATGGCTAAGGAGGGTAGAGTCAATATCATATCGCATCTTGTGGAAAACGGCCGCGATTTAGCCCCGGGCGACCATGCTGATTGGAGGGCCATCAATCTCTTAGGTTGGACACCTCTACACTATGCTGCGCTCAACAGCTCACTTAAGCTAGATTGGGCGCATAAAATGGACAAACAAAAATTCGATGTGAACATTCAAGGACGGGACGGAGTATCGCCGCTACATTGTGCAGGAAGAAGTAATAATATTCATATGGCAACACATCTGATAAGGCTCGGGGCAAATCTCGGCGCTCGGGATAACAGTAGAAAAACACCTCTCCATTGGTCGGCCTATCACTGTTCAACAGAAACCTTCGAGCTCATGTTGGCATCCGGTGCTGAATTCAGGTCCCCAGACGAATATGGGAGGACATGTTTACATCTTGCAGGGATGGCAGGCTCTATGGAAATTGTTACTGCTTTGCTGAAGGTCATGAATGTCGCGGAGATCAATTTGAAGGAGAGAGGTGGGCGTACAGCACTAGTGATGGCATGTATCTTTGGGCATGAGAATGTCCTAGAGACTCTCAGAGGGCACAGCAATGATATCATCCCTGATGGATTGCTCTATGTGGCGAGTAAAAAAGGCCTTTCGAATACTGTGAAGTCTCTGCTTCAGCAACCCACGAACAAATCCCCAACGAGAGAGGAATGCGAACGTTCACTTTATATAGCCAGTAAGCATGGTCATGTTGAGATAGTTAGGTTGTTATTGGAAAACAGAGAGGGTGTTGGATCCGGTATCACTAGTGGCGATAGGAGTCCGCTATTCGCGGCAAGCAAATATTATCACCTGGAGACAATAAAGTTGCTCCTCGGCGAAGGATTTAGGATGACCGGAGATAGGAAGAAATGGGAGATGCTGTTGGCTGAGGAACCTATGCGGGAGGAAAACGAGATTGTCGAGTTACTTTCGAACATGTTAAATGAAGGTAACGATGCACTTAGTGGAGGATCGAAATATCATAATACCATCTCTGAATTAGATGACTCCGACGAGTCATCGCCAGATTCTGACGGGGGAAGCTAGTACAACGCCCGACTCGGGTGCGTGATTCGTGGTAATAGGAGGGAAATTTCTTACTTCTCTTGGAAAGTGATTAGGTTTCTACACAATGTAATATCTCTAGTAGCAAACTATGAGTGACTTTGCCGTTTAGTCATGTATAACCCATATATATCGTCAGTTAGTGCTGAATTACCAATTAAGCAAGCAGTCGTTTAAAATCGTCGTTTATGTGACTACACTTGATAAATAACGCAGTCATTTAGAAGTAAACGATCTTTTTCCTCTATTATTAGTATTATTTTACTTTAGAATTATATTATTTACTATAGCTACGGTATATCTCTAGCTCTATCCGTCGTTACCTCTACCGTATTACTGCTACTGCTACTACTCCACCGCTGCTGTTACCACGGCTGCTGCTACCACTACACCACTGCTGCCGCTGCTGCTTCCGCTACACCTATTAGTGATAGCTATGTCAATTAGCACGATGAATCCGACTTACCTTCGTAGGTACCGGTGATGATGGTGATGGTGATGATGAAAGAGAAGAGGGGCGCTCGTGGTGCTGGCTTTATAGTACTGGGAGCACGGAAATAGGGTTCAGTGTCAAGGGCAGACATACGTAATTCAGGTCATTTAGGAGGTAGGAAGGTCATTTAGTAAAGATCATTTAGCTGGGGGTGCCACCCACCCAAAGATCATTTATCGGGCTTAGTAAACGACAAATTCATTCAAGGCTACATGTTACATGTACTTATGTATCCCCTAGAGAATGCATCGATATCTGTTTACTTTTGAAGTAATATAATGGGCCTTATTATAGTGGTTACCGAAATTAATGCACCGATTGGAACGCAAGTAAAACAGCCACCGCGTTTTCGTGTTAAAGAGAAACATATATGTATATTACGTACGTTGAACAACACCTGCCTAACACAATGAAGGTAAACCCAAGTGCAGGTCGAGGCAAGATGTGAACACAGTAAGATGGGGAGGACGAGAAGACGGGAAGACACTTAGCTACATGCATATATAGGCGATAAATGATCTAGGATGTGAACTGCCGCTGTCGAAAGCTGGACCGCATTTACGAAAGCTTCGATTCATCCAGACATTTACTCAGAGCAGGGGACGTTTGATATGAAAGCCATTTGATGTACTTTCAACAGTTAATAAGTTTAGATTATGCTGGATTCTTTGGAGCGGTCTAGTAGGGTTTGGCCTGGCTAGTAATATCACATTGAATGCGACGGAAAGAACTCTGAAAAACGAAATTTAATGAAGCTCTATAGAAATGAAAAATTGCACCTCTAATGTTTAGTGGAATAGAATATCCTTAACTTGAAAGACCGATCCTAGCTTTCTTCCTAGTTGGGGCAGCCATTACCTTTACATTCTATCGGCCTTAGAACCTTTTCTTCAATGACCCACCTCACACTCTTTTCTCCCAACTGATCCTATTCCTTCACCCTATTACCTGGACTATTATCCCCAGCTGCAGTAGCTATAGGCCATGCGCTACATTAAATTAACTCGTTAGCAATCTCGAATCCATACTAGACATTTAAGTATATCAATAATATCAATGTAATCAAGTGCGAAATACTCACAATTTCTCTTCCAAATCATTAACTCTATTCAGTATCTCCCCAAGCTCCTCCTTCCGGTTCGCGTAATCAGCAGATTTCTTCCTCCTGTCATCGTCGAACTCCTTGTTCCCAACCCCTCCCAAGAGATTGTTTTTTACCCGTGTGTACCTATCTTCCGCTTCCTGATACTGCAAAAGCAGTTTAACCAGCGCTTCGCTGGGCTCAATAAGGGTACCGTCTTTCTCTTTGCGGCCCTTCCTTTCCTCCTTCATCCTAGCCAAAAGAGTCTTCGCGGCATCCAGGTACGCAGTGAGCTCTGTAAAGCATTTGTCCCCATTGTCCTGTGACTGTGAATCCGAGGCCATCTCAGCACCTGTAGATGGTGCCGCCATATCGCTCCGGCCGCTTTGGATCTCGATTTAGGGTGATGGAGCACCGATTTGGTATCTCGATTAAGTGATAGAGCAGTGATTCTGGGGCTCAGTCTAGGGTGATTGAGCTTTTGGATATTTGTTGGCCTGTTGAGATGAGCAGGTAGGATTGGCGATCTCTGGCGACTATATATTTATGGCTCGATCCTGCTAGCTAGCTAGCTAGCTCTGTCGTGGGAAACAAAGGCGAGCCCCCTCATCGTGCCGTTTGACGCTAGCTGTAGTCTCTCTCTCTCTCTGGACGCAGAGAATGTGGTGGAGAGTACGCTGGATGGTACTAGTATTGTCCCCGTTGGGATAGTGTTGATGGGCCCCCCGGCCTTTGCAACTGGGAGAATGCATCCGTGGTATTGAGACAAGCAGTGGTTCTTGTCTGTGCTGGGAGTCTTTGTCGATGGAGATCTGGGGACCGACTGAAGCAAACGGTTAGTATATTGTTTCTGAGTATCTTCATGACAACGCCGGCATTCATTTTCGAACATTCTTCAAGAGAGGGAAAACGAACCTGGCCGCACTCCATTTCCGCCCAGAACTATCCGACTTGGTCCTCTGGTTTTCCAACTACTCCTGATGTGTTTGCCGCCCCCTCTCACCCCGTCTTCCACCACCGTCTAGAACCATCCGACCTGGTTCTCTGGTTTCCCAACTACTCCCGGTATATTTACCGCCCCCTCTCACCCCGTCTTCTACCACCGTCTAGAACCATCCGACCTGGTTCTCTGGTTTCCCAACTACACCTGATGTGTTTTTCCCATTCCCGCAAACGAACGTAGACTCTTTAGCCACCACTTTTGACTATTCTTACATTTGAAAGCGTTAGCACCCATCACAGATCTTTATATGATAGAACTCAAAGGAAATCATATACATACGACTCTTTCAAGCAGTAGCAGTCTCCGGCCTGGGTGTCATCTTTGTCCCCACCGGTGTCCGCCGTAATCGTGGAGCGATAGTATCTTTCAAGCAGTAAGAGTCCTCGCAGGGCGCAGTGATAATCCATGATCCAAGGAACCCGATAAAGGGTTCCTGGTGGTATCAAACACTGAGAGCGTCCGCCTTCTCTCCCTCATTCGACGGGGCTGCGCAGCGGTGCTGATGGGTCGATGGCATGATGGCGGGCGGACGGAGAAGTGGTATTTGTTTATCGCTGGAACTTGCGGTTGCGGGATGGTGCTGGGATAGAAGGAGATCAAGTAAAATATGAATAGAAAGCGCGATCAGGGTTCCGCTGGTATAAAGTGAAGAAAGGTATAGCTATTCTTTCTCTTTTACCTCGTGAATATACCAAAGCCATGCATTTTCTTTCTATGGTAGATATGCTAATGATCGTAAGGTGATAAGCCCGCTCTTGCGGGTGGCTGGAGTCTTGTGTTGGTGGTGCAACGAGAATTGAGCCATCATTGCAGGGATAGGGTAGTCATTCTATGAAGCCATGCAGCGACTGTTTTCATCATCCTATATATGATTTCATCGCGACAGTAACCCGAAGGCGGAGATATAAACATGAATCCCTCACCTACCACCCATATGCGGTGACAGGACGTGAGATACGCGCCAAGCGGGAGTGTTTTCAGGCTCCTGAATAGGTGTTCACCATCCACCCACCATCTATCACTATCATTCAACGCTCAGTATGTCCTACAAAAGTTGTCCCGCAAAGTGAAAACCACCCGGAACACACAGGCCCCGCCGAAACGTGGATAAACTCATCCGAGTGATATCTCATGAGCGAGTGAGCAATCATGTTCGGGCCCTCACACGTTTTCCCCGGGCCGATAGAGCAAACAGACACCCGTCGGTAGAGTCTAGGAGAGTACGTCTACCGCATGAACCGCTACGACCGGCCCGGTGGAGAGTAGAGTCATTGAGATGGAGGTAGAACGTGACGCGTCACAGTATATCACTCGTCGGCTATAAAGATTCAGAAAACGCAGTCTTCCGTCAAAGGAGTTGATACTGTCATTCAGAAGAATGGACCTTGGATAACACACAAGATGAACTGCCCGTGATGCAGATTCGCATGAGACGCGGCACGCACGGGACCGGGGACGGCAAGTCCCGCCCGATACGCATCATGAAACAAGGAGAGTTCTTTAATTCCGCGTGTCCTCTGCGGCCCCCGGCCCCTCTACTCATATGGTATTCCCATAGTGGGCCTTTCTCTCTTCTTCTTCCTTTCACCCCGTTGTCTGCGCGGTGACTCGCCTAGAGTTAGTATGCACCATCTAGGCCGGCCTCTCCGGCTTTGTCATAGTTTGTCACTCGGACGTTTCAGGAAAGGCACTGGGCGGTTTGATCGGTAATTCATTGTCTTTTCTTTATTTCAATTCCCCAGAAGGGGAAACGTACGCACTAAGTATATAGAGCACCCCCCCGCGGGCACAACGCGCAGCTAAACGTTTCAGCTCTTGTTCTCCATAACCGACGTAGGCACGAACAGGCCATGCGCAAAAAAAGAGGAATAAACAAAATTAGAAGACGGTCGCGATCGGGGAACTAGAAAACATAGCTTATCTTAGCGTGAGGAAGCGCACTCAGCTGCATACATAAAGTTGTTGTTTCCGCTACAAAAGACAATGAAACGTTCGTTAGATGTGTCGACCTTTGCGGACAAGGACCATCGCCCGAAGCTAAGCTAGTCTTCAACACCCGAAATTAACCGGACCTCCATGGATGTCCAAAGAACAGAGCGGTAAGAGACGTGCTGATAGAATCAAGAAGTGTCAAGAACATACGCGATGCTGGGAAGGTATGCTCGAACCCCACTCAACAAACTCGTTCTTTCTAGCTAGCTCCACCCCCGCTTGTAAAATACGGCTAGCTAGTAGTAGTTCCAATTAAATGAGCCCGTACCTATAGGAAAAATAACGACGTTACGATGCTAGTCAATATATGCTCTTAAGTACAGTATGGGACTAATCCCAATTATTCGTCAATAATGGTGCGTATGGAGAATCATAATATCACACGAGAGGATCGGGCCAAGGTTTTCGGCGTAGTGTGGTCGACGAGCCGGCTCGAGACGAGCAGGAAGAAAAGCTGGACTTGACTCGTGATAGCAGCTGCTCGACTTGTCTCGAATTGTAAAAGCTCGAGTGGCTCGAGCTGAGCTCGGGCTTTTTAGTGGCCCCATATAGGAGTTCCAGAAGTTATTCTAGATCTCTTTGTGTAAACATATGTTGTTAGGGTTAGGGTTGAATACCTCAAGATTTTATAAATCAAATGGCGGAAGGATAATATGGGCATATCAAGTATGGTTTCAAGGCGGGAATATGCAGAAAGATAACACCCAAAAGCTCGAGCTCTTCAAGTCGAGCAGTGAAAAAAGCTCGAGCCAACTCGACTCGTAAGGGTAGCTGCTCGTGGCGGCTCGAGCTTTGGGCCCGAGTCGAGGACTCGAGTTAACTCGTCTCGTCGACCACACTATTTCGGCGTCAAGATCGCTAAGTGTAAATATCAGCTGAAGATATAACGTCGAAACCGAGCAAGCCCACTTTAGCCCCTAAGTCTTCGACTCCACTGCCCATGTGTCTTAGAGATCTCTTACCTCACTGTTAGCCAAGGCTTGTGGCGGGGAGGACAAGCAGCTTAGTTAGCATGTATTTAGCCGGTCTGACCCGACCACCCCTTCAATAGACCATCATTACGTGCAGGTCTAACACTCACCCACCCAGAAACACTAGACAAGATGATACTCCCAAATCATAAATTATCACTCGCACGTCATATCTTATCACTCGTACTGTTTACACTCTGCAAAGAGCTGGAATGTAGGTGAGTTGAGAGGTTGACATGGGGAATATTATAAACGATTGTTAAGACCAAAGTCGCGGCAGGCGACACGTGCTGCTAGGGCTCGTACCGAGAGCCGCAATCGGTACGGGACAACCTGTATCGGTTTCTTCTTGTGCACCCTGACTCTCGGCTCCACATCCTGCCCGCGCCCGCACCCTGAACCCCACATCTGACCTCCTACTCAGCTTCCGCACCCCACAGACCACAAGGCCCACTCCATACGAGAATCAGTTCACTGAGTGTGATTATCAAAATTCTTCTGCGCTATTAAAACGAAGCGAGAACCGATCAAGATCGATTTGGCGCAGCTAGATGGCGACGTCTTCGTACACAATTTGTCACAGAACATGGGTCTCAAATGGAGAGGTAGTCGCTTTAAGGATCGATCGTGCGGGATATGTCACTCTTACGGAAAAGGTAGGCAGTCACAATTACATGAGCTGAGATTGATTTCAGCATGGAGAGTCGAGCTGGGGCTTTTGAGTAAGATGGGTTCGGGAATAGGACATATCACACAACAGTCTCACACCATCCGAGTACTACGAATATCATGGCAACTCAGAGAGGCACAAATCAAGCACCAAGAACACAGCACAAAGACGAACACACAGACAGAAAACAACAACAACCCCTCCATTTCTATAAATCATTAAAAGTGCCCCCACGGGAGTCTGACACTTTGAGCCCACGCGACCCCCAGTGCCACGTTTGGCCAGGCCCCTCCACCCCCGACTATCCTCGCTGCAACTATTAAAACTGGTTTCCCCAACTACACCCGAGAATCGGGAGATCGTCATGGCTCCCCGGTGGGGGGGGCAGCGGCAGTGGTTGTAGTGACTGCCACTTCCACCCCCCCAGGTGTACCTGACTCATTCTCTTCTAGATATCACACTGTTAGCTGGTTACAAACAAAAGAAGAAACAATTCGGGAATGACTTACTCCGCCACCCCTTATTCCGCTGGTAAGTTGACCAGCCAGCCAACCAGGCCCCCATGAACCCTCCCCAACAATCTCACCCAAGTGGACGGCAAGAGCAGGGGCAGGAACATGCCTCAGAGAGGTTGCTGCAATATGTCAGTGCATGTGCGATAAAAGACATATAGTGAGAGAGAAAAATACCGCAGGCCTGGTCGGTGGCTTCCTGGCGGTAAGTGACCCAGGTATATCTTTACCAAAGGTACTTGACCGGAGGGGTGCCGAAGCGTACCAACCTATGCCCCACCCAGGAGGATGATTTCCTAGGAGCTGAGAGCTCTAGTCTAGATCAACTGTTAGCATAAAATACACGAGATGGAGAAATAGATAGAGAGGGGAGCGGTACTGTGCGTGCCCAAAGGGCAGGACCCCCAGAGCAAGCCCGAGTCGGGCGTTCACAACCACCAGGCCACCGATAAGAGCAGTAGAGACTATTTCAGTTATCAGCATCAGTCAGAAATATTAACAGAGATGGAGCCAACATACTCCCTGAGCATACTGGCGGCGCCCACCGCATCTGCCGCTGCGGCAGGGCAGGGAGCCGGGGGAATACACCCCCAGCTGCAACGACACAGATGGCGATTGGGGTCTAGAGGTTCCTCCGGATGGATGAGGAGAACGTGGAACTCCTCGGCCCACATGTTGTTGCTGTTGTTGGCGTTAGTGATTTTTGGGAGTGGGAGGTTCCTCCAGTGGAGGGGCGGAAACAGCGACGGAGATGGTGAGGGAGATGGAAAGGGTGCTGGGAGGATAAGATGATGGCATTTCTGAATTTCTGCCTGTGGTGGGTGGAATGGGTGTTGTGCGGGAGGATGGAGGGGATGGAATATGATTGTGGGCTTGTGGGGTATTATTTGTGGGCTCTCAGGGTATTCTTTGAGGGCTTGTGACTGTCCTGCATGATTACTGTTCGGGAGTAGAAAAGAAAGGCGGGAGACTGCAGTGGGATGTGCCGGTGTAGATAGGGATTGTGGGTTTGCGTCGTCATGTTCAAGGGTTGCATAACGCGTAAGGGGGGTGGTTACATGTTGGTAATGTGGAGTAGCACTCTTTAAACATCCGTCTTAACATGAGACAGGAGGTTTCAGACAATTCCCCTTATACATGAAGTTTGGTCCCGGTGATGATATTTAATGACTGACCCTCCTTCGATCTTGATTCCTCTAGTGCTAGATGATTTCTCACCTTCAGCCTCGGAGTCGACTCATGACATGGTATTCTCAACGCTAAGATCCCAGTGCTGCAGCCATATACATCCCAGTCATCAAGCTGCTCAACAAGAGCCAAAGTCGGCACACTTCCTAATCCCAGCTAGCTATGTAGGTAACCGGCCAATGACCAACGTCTCAATTGATTACATGTACGACGAAGCAACGTAGCTCTAGATCACCCACACCACCAGCAAAAAAGCATGCATGTACCCATCTAGTAGAGAGCTGTATTGAAGGGCCATCTTTCTGTATCCCGGAAACTCATGCCTCGATGACAGAGGCCGAGCTGCACGCTCTAGTGCGCGCCAAGAACACCGAGTGATATTACATGTTTTGCAATTTCTCATGGATCGCGTTTATCCCGCGTCCAGATATTGAAACATGTGTTTACCTAAGAGAGATATGTCTACACAGACCCATGCCCAGTCAAGAGAAACCTCCCTAACCACCACGGTGGAACGACATCATGTCTAATCTGATTCATGATATCACCGTCTCGGCTCGGACCTAAGTACGTAACACCCAACCCTAACCCTGAACTCCTTCTTGCAACACTGACCGCTGTGCCCAGAGGTGTTATGACAGCGCTGGTAGTGAGATGTACTGAATGACCTTTACATAATACCAGCCCACCCCCGGGGGTGTTACTGACAAGCGAGTACAAAGGGTGAGTCACCATGTATCACTCGCATCTCTCGGCCCTACTTACGAAAAGAGCGGGGAGAGCGGCGAGTGAGAGAGCTGTGACTTTAAATTCAACCATATAAGCCATATGTATTCTATTAAGATTAACAAGACATTCAACCCAACTGGGGACTAGTCGACTACCTCCGCTGCGCATGATGTATAATCATCCTCGACCACGAGCCAGAAAATGCCTTCAAATCAGTTTCTCGGTAGGGGTTTTTTATACCTGTAGAAGTTACATATTCGTGATAAGGGATCGCTTCTCCTAATATTTGAATGCTCTCTTTCAGGCACATATGGTTATGTCGGGGTTGGGGGCGACGTACACCAGTACTGACGTTGTTGGTAGACCGACCATCACCATCACCATCACCGTCACTGGTTTTGGCAGCTGTATCGCGGGGATAAGAACTTCACCACGCGTCAAGTGCCCGTAATAACCACAGCTGCAAGCGTGGTGAGGAAGACGCTCAACCCATACCCCGGAATTATAACTCTCCCCTAGGCCTCCCTCGGCCTTAGTTCCCCGAGATGCTGTTCGTTGGATATATGCAGCACTTGCTAGCTAGTTACATACAACCTCCCTGGTTTGTGTAATCCCAGGGACACCGTAGGCTTCTACAATATCGGCTAGTGCGTTACATTCACATCGATATCTGAAGCACCCACTGACTGCGAGATGTATTAGTTGGTGGTAACATGTCAAGTGTCAACAGCCAATCCATGCCAAGACTTCCCCACGCATTCGGTGGGGAAGCTTGGCAGGGACGGACCCTGACCTGCATGGGGGCTGAAAGCAAGTGTTACCCCAGACTGTGACGTTATCATGCAGGTAGAATATACAGCACCAAAAAAGCAGGTGGGCCCATGGCCAGCACCACACCTAGCAGAATACTGCAAAGCTACAGTATTGCTACGGTATTGCTACGGTATAATGTTTAGGATTCCGATTTAATTCTGAAGTTTTGCACAATTTCGTATTGGTACAGTAGCTATTACATCCCTTTTTTTGGTACTGTAGATACATGTAGCTACAATACCAAAAATGGGGCAGGGATTAGTATGGTAGTGCTACGGTAGTCTTGCTATAATGCGGTATTTTCGGGACTGCTGCATCATTTCGGCATTTCAAGGAGTATATTTTTCATAGAATGCCGTAGCAATACCATAGCAATACCGTAGCACTACCACAGCAATATAGACACATTTTAGCGTTGTGACCAGCACCAGGTCCAGCGCGCCAGCACCATGTCCAGTGTGCCAGCACCAGGTCTAGCGTGCCAGTACGCCAGGTCCATGACCAGGACCACACCTACATGTAGGCTTGTCGACACTATGTTACAAGACTAGACCACACCTATACGACTTCATCATCATCATCATCATCACCATCATCATCATCATCATCATCACCAACATGAGCGTATCATAATCGAATAGTAGACGCAACTTCTAATTAAAATGATGTGTATATGTATGCCTAAGAGCCCAAAATTTATTTTTCAAAAGTATATCCCAATTGTTTAAACCCCATCCTAGGATGATAAGAATTGATGGATCGGTGGATGAAACAATATCTGGTCTTTGATTCTGAAATGCTTCATCACCAAATATGATATTCCAGGGTTAGGGGAATGGCATTGTCCTAAATACCACAAGAATGCCATATTTTAGGAAATGAGGAAGTACTAGGGCAGTATAAATATACCACCCACACTGCGAAATCCAGGGAATATATAGATTATATAATACAGTATTGATACGGCATTGATAGAGCATTTGCTGAAAGGCGGCTTTACTCGCTCGACAACCGGAGTGCTACCCGATTTTATGGGATGGCGTAGTACTACCGTACTAACCCCCACCCGTTTTTTGGTACTGTATAGACTCGCCACAACAAACGAGACTACAACATCAACACCAACTCGAAAGAAAGCCTCACCTCCGCTGGTTGTTTGTGTATACCCTCCTGCCCCTCTGTGAACCTTTTGCTTACCGTCACCCCGCCGCCATCTGTTTTTTCACACCTCAGGGTGCATGTATCTCCACGAGCTTGCAATTGCTTCAAACGCGCAAAATGGCAATGGGTCAACAGAAAGTCGATTTCATATATAGATGTCTAGCTAACACGTCTCTATAGTACACTACACTAGTTTTACGTACAGCCACTCAGCAAAAGTGTTCGTGATTTAGTTTTAATGTCAGTGCGCAGTGCGGCGCGCTCACCCATGACGTTGATGTTATTAATGTAGAGATTTAAAAAAACGAAAAATATATAATATAGTTCGTGACTTTATATAAAAGAAGATAGGTCATTGATCTTATTCTTCATTGATTCCGGGCTCCATTGGTGACTAGGAAGGTTTTCTCTTGGGGGGTTTTTAGTGGTCTGCCAGAGCTACATATATAGAGAAATGTCTCACTCCAAAATCGGAATCACGAACACTTTTGCAGATGGCTATATCTCATCCACAAATTCATTTACGCACCCCAAAGGAATGAGGGCATCTAAATTAAAGATATTCGTACGAGATCACGCCTTCATTGACTGCAATTTGCCAATCACGTACTCTCCCGCTTGGCCCGGGCCCCGAGACAACGCGCCAGAGGAAGGATACCCCCCTTTCTCTACACTTCACATCTTATCAGCAGCTCAAAGAGTTGACACCATGATATAGTAAGATGAATTCCCCAGGAGATTCAAATGAAGTATGCGTTCCAAATAACAACAGGAAAACTACGAAAAAAATATAAACTAATACACGTGCACCTGACCAATGCTAAAATCTTCCATATCCCATTTGCAGTGCACATAACTGATCCAGCCCACCTCATTACATCAAGTCCGTTTCAGTACTCAATAGCGTGATAATCCACGTGTTCTTGTGCTTAATAGCCTGATCTCTTACAGTTTCTCCCTTGTGATTCTTTGCATTAAGGTTTGCTCCAGCCTTTACCAACCTTTCGACCATTCCCGGTGAATATTTGGATGTCAGGTGCGGCGGGGTTTCCCCCTCCGAGGTTTCCGGTGAAGATTTGGATGCCAGGTGCAGCGGGGTTTCCCCCTCCGAGGTTCTTGCGTCGATATTAGCGCCTTTATCTAGTAGTAGGCAGGCAAATTTAACGTAACCGTGTTTGGCCGCTAGATGCAATGGTGTATACTCGTCCGCGGCCTTTGCGTTGATGTTGGCACCGCGATCTAGCAGTAGACTTACAGCTGTATAGTAACTGTGACCGCACGTGACCGCCACATGCAATGGTGTATACTCGTCCGCAGCTTTTGCTTCGATATTGGCACCTCTATCTAACAATAGACCGATAGCCCCAAAACCGTATTTGACCGCCAGATGCAGTGGTGTATACTCGTCCGCGGCCTTTGCGTTGATATTGGCACCTTTATCTAGTAACAGACGGGCAACCTCAAGACGAGTGTGTTTGGCTGCGAGATGCAATGGCGTATACTTGTCCTCAGCCTTTGCTTCGATATTGGCACCTCTGTCTAGCAATAGACTGATAACCCCAAAGCCGTATTTGACGGCTAGATGCAATGGTGTATCCTCGTCCGCGGCCTTTGCGTTGATATTAGCACCTCTATCTAGTAATAGACGGGCAACCTCAAGACGAGCGTGTTTGGCTGCGAGATGCAATGGCGTATACCCGTACGCAGCCTTTGCTTCGATATTGGCGCCTTTATCTAGTAATAGACGGGCAGCCTCAAGACTAGCGTTTTTGGCTGCGAGATGCAATGGCGTATACTCGTCCGCAGCCTTTGCTTCGATATTGGCACCTCTGTCTAGCAATAGACTGATAACCCCAAAACCGTATTTGACCGCCAGATGCAATGGTGTATCCTCGTCCGCGGCCTTTGCGTTGATATTGGCACCTGTATCTAGTAATAGACTAATAGTTGTATTGTGACCCTGTTCAGCCGCCAGATGCAATGGTGTATACTCGTACGCGTCCTTTGCGTCTATATTGGCACCTCCACCTAGTAATAGACTAACAGCTTCATTGTGACCCTCTTCGGCCGCCAGATGCAATGGTGTATACCCGTCCACGGCCTTTGCTTCGATATTGGCACCTCTATCTAGCAATAGACTGACAACTTCATGAAAAGCGTGTCTGGCTGCCAGATGCAGTGGTGTATAACTATTTACTAGCTCCCTTGCTTCCAGATCAGCCCCTTTATCTAGAAGCATTTGAATGAGGGCAATGGACCGTCCCACCACCGCTCGGTGTAATGCCCTATATCCACCGTAACTTGAATTCGTGTCCGCGCCTTTTTCCAATAACATCTGAGCAATTTCCACATGCCCATATTCTGCAGCTAGATCTAGTGCATTGTATCCATCTTGAGTCCTTGCATCTTTGGGTGTTGAGGAATCTAATAGGAATAGAAATACTACCGTTGTCAATCCTTTGTAAACAGCTTTTAACAATAAGGATCCGCCCAGGTTTGGGGGACTAGGCGCTGACCAGGTCGTTCTCTCGTCTACCGTAAGGAACCCATATAGCCTAGAAGGGTCCGAATAGAAGTTTGTGCACCAATTGGAGTCATGCAGGATTTTCGCAGGTATGGCTAAGTGTATCTGTGAGATGGGCGGTGCTTCTGCAAGACTGATACCCGATGTTGTGTTGACGGAGACTGGCAAAGAGAAAACGGAATACTTCGAGTCACCAGCATCTAAAGTCCAGTTTCCTCCACGGCGTTTGGATGTCGCCACGGATATAATCGACTCACTACTACTTCTATTCCGATACGGCCGACTGGAGAATAACGTAGACTGTAGGGATGGTAGAATAGATTGAGAACGAATTGAAGACCCTGTTGTTGTCCTGATAGAACTCGCATCGTTGTCCAAAGAGGACCCTGTAATATCATGATACGTTGAAGGTCTAAAATCTGAGTCCGGTTTTATTGATCTTTTTGGCAGCGGAACAACCCCCTGAGCCACTATGGCATGAAAATCTTGCACAAGTCCCTTTACATCGCCGATTGCTTCGCTAGGAAAGGCCATATGGGTTAGTCGAGTCAAAAAGCACTCGATGCCTTCTCCAAACAAAAGAAGACTAGACCAGATGGAGCCATACGTAATCAATATGGACAGAAGTAACCCCAAACTGTTCTTGTGATTCTGAATCCGCGAAATCATTGTGGACATTGTTTGCTCCACGAAATTCCATTTCATGCGATGCCAAACGCCCAGCTTCTTTCCCTCCAGATTTAATTCATCGAGCTTCATTCGTTTCAATTCCTTCTCTAGCTCGGAGAATGTGCACACACATTGAACGAGGGTGAAAGAAATTGGTCCGGTATCAATTAATGAGGCTTTAGCGTTATCGAGAGGTTCTAGCTCTGTGCTAGACACAATATTCTGCAACTTTTGAAGTACTATGCGAAACTCATTAACCTCTTGATAAATACTGTGAGCAGCGGCTGGGGCGTTCGTGCAGCCGGAGATGAAGCGATGCAAGGCGGCACTAATCTGCGCACCCGCTACGATCAGCCCAACTATAGCCGCCCCTACTTCCATAGCGGTGATGAGGAGATGGAGTATGTATATATGGTTGAGGGATAAGCAGTTCTGAACACACCGGCGCTGTAGCCTAGAATCCGAAGGGTTTCTACCACAAATATGTCTCCTGGCCCAGGCGGGGAAGGATACCAGTTGGCGGCTGAATGATTAGGTAATCTGCATGATATCGATGAAGCTTCCTCAGATAAAATACATACATAATTAATACAACAGACCCTTGGATCTATATGATTAACAAGTACATGTAGCCTATCAGGTGAGGAGAGCTATATTGTTTAACTGTCGTTCGCCATCTAAACAGTATAGTCTTCATCGGCGTGGTCAGGAACATTTATGATTGGTTGAATAATCTGCATATATACCACAAAGAACTGCTACCGATAGCCGGGAAGGGAAGGGAGTTGATATATTAGAAAGGGCAAACGGCAGGTAGTCTTATATATATCAACCTTGAACCATCTCGAGGAGAGTAAAACTACATATATCTTCTTGTGAGCTACATATTAATACATGGTTAAAGCCCTTTATTGAGAAGAAAGAACTGATATATATATCATAGACAATTGACTTCGTAGATAGACTGTACAGTATTATTTCACTCTCTCGGGCTTTAGCAAATCTAGGTGGGCAACTTGAGACTGACATTGTATTAGAATTATAGTGAACTCTGGAATCCTATTTACTCACTACATGCATATTGCGGCCGGAGGTCGCACTACACTTGTACCAAATTAAGATAATGAACCGAAATAAAAAGGATCAGCCAAGAAATTTGCTCGCCTGCGCCGGTGCATGCAGTCAGATGAAAGCAAAACGTAAATTCTACAATGTCCAACCCTCATGCTTCTACCTACGCCGTGAACCCACTTTTACGGTTTATAACGGCATATGTGTCCGTCCTGGGTTGGATGTGCAATACCACGAAGCCTACTCCATTCCTGTGAGACTCACAGGCGCACTACGGGGCAGAATAAGTCTCATAGAGCTACGGGAACTTTTGTAACGAGCTAGGACTCCCCAGTACGGATGTGGCAGGTGATGGACTTGGATGGTTGTGCACGTGATCGAGTGAATCATGATGGCTCACTCTTAGAATTAGTACTAAGACGCGAAGGTTTGACTACTCCTTACATGTTTTGGGCAGTTTGAAACTACTGGTTTTATACTATCTATCGCCATGTGAAAACTGACGGCTCAATCTACGAGTTGCACCAGGTCTTATTTCTCAACTCCACATGAAAATTAGATTTTTCTCCCGCCAAGCGTTTAGAATCAGTTCTGACTATGCAGCTAACACTAATCAATTAACCAAATTCCCGATCTAGCGCTAAGACCTTACAATTTAAAAGCCTCAACGCTCCTACCACCACTCGCTAAATAATAAATGGCACCGTCCCCTCCACAAGTCCATGAGCTACCATGAATGAAGGTCAGCTTCTGATAAACACGCCCATGGAGAAGAAATAAGATACTGACCAGCTCCCAGAACTATTGCCCAGGGTGGCAAGTACGTTACCACCTCATTGAATGCCGGAATCTCATCCCCGTTCGTATCACTCCACAAGCATACGATCCTTCCCTCCAACCCTCCGGCAACTACACGTTTCAACTCCTTCCCCTTCTTGAATACCTCAACCTCTTCATCCTCTTTAAAGTTATCTGTTGACCTGTCCCACGTCAACTCAATTCGCCAGATTCTACCGGGCTCTCGACTCCAGAGTCGTAGCTGCTTTGTCCCCGATACCGGAAGAGTCGAGCCAAAGCCCTGGATGGCGAATCGAGGATATCAATACTCGTGACATTCTTGTTATCGAAGAATAGCCGACAGGCGCGGGTATTCTTCCCCTGGAACGCAATCCGGGCCTTTCCATCCGCTAGCTTTTCGATGCTGTGTTCGACCCACGATGAAACCTTGCTTGTATCGCTTGTGACATTTGGAGCTAGCCCAGTCCAAGTACAATGCACCAGCCCTGAAAGAGGGGTTCCGGGCGCCTCTTTACCGCATTCTACAGGATTGTTGAAGGTGCTGGGCAGGTGCAGTATGACTGAGTTGATGATTCCGGTATTCCCGGTTAGCTTTACTCGGTTTTGGCTGGTAGTGAGATCGATACTCTGGATGAATTGAGTTTTGAACCTGGCATCTGCGGTAAACGGAAATGCGTAGAGGTTGTAAATGCCTGTGGTGACAAAGATCAGGAGTACGGGTAGAGCGACACTACACCATATGCGGTGTAAGAAGGGTCCGAGGGGAAGCAGAATAAAGATAGATATCAAGGCAAGAAATATATACGCTCTTGTTGTATCTCCACCGTCGCAGAGGGTTTGTTTAAGTGTTGCAGTAGCAAGGAGTGCTACTTGCAAAGTGAACAGTACTGACATTGGTGCCATAAGGAGGAATTGGGCCAACCAAGTCCAATTTGGCATAAGGGCGCTCCAGGATTCTTCCTCATTTTGGCCATCGATTTTCTGTGCAACTGTCTGTAGATTGGCTTGTTGCAAATCCGGAGATTCGTTGGAAGCAGATGTATTAATTTCTCCTTCCTGTAGGTCATTCTTAAAACCACCTTTATCACGCACAATAAATAGCTCATAAAGGGAAATACAGCACCCTAGGAAGGCACCGACGTATAACGCCATCATGAAATATCCACCACCAGCACCTACTTCAGGAGATCTAAGATAAGCGACTCCAAGCATCACAAGTCACATAAAAACCCACACCTCAGCAAAAGCCCAACCTCTTGCTAACGCAGTCGGATTTCTTAGATCAGCACGCTTTATCACACCCCAGGCCACAAGAAACCAAGTACTCAGTAGCGTTGCCCACACCGTCTCCAAGGATGAGAACATAATCAGCGGGTTCACAGCGTGTATCCTCATCGCAACTATAACTGTAGATGCGCTCGCCAAGGAAAATGCGAGAGGAAAGCGGCATATACCTTTTTTCCAGCCGGGGAATCCACCAAGACAAGATATTGCTATACTTAGAGCGATCGCTGGAACGATAAGTAGCGTCAAGGACCAGGCAAAGAGTGTATTCAATTCGTAAAATGTCCAGATACGATTAAAAACTATCAACAGTTATTCATCAAGTCTATCGTATACGACAAAAGATAATAAGCATGGATATTTACAATCAAAATAAACCGCAGGCTTTCCCGGCCGATTTTCGTTGTAGTCGAGACTTGTATCGGTGGTCATTGCATTGACCGTGTACAGGGCAGTCAGGAGCATATGAGATATTGATCTTTTACTAGCTTGTCAGAGTCAGCAACGGATAGGACGCGGGGAGAGCAAGCAAGGCAATTACCATATGGCATATCATCATCAGGCGTGTGGTAGCGACTCCGATGCATGTAAAATGCAACATCAAGACCTCTCATATGAAGAGCGTCTCTGAAGATATCGTAATCTGTTGCGCTCCTAAAGCGCGTAAAAAAATAAACATACGATCCCACTCCGAGATTGAGAATAGCTGGTATTGGTGGACAAACTTGAGTGCGCCCAGTTTGTACGCATCAGTGAGAAACGTACTTCCTAGTGGCCTTGGAACCTTCTGATAGAAACCGTTGACAGCAGTGTCATTCGCGCGGAAAAGTATCGCCCGGCCACCGGTACCACCGCCTTCAAGATTTAAGAAAATGTCCAACAAGGAGCGAGGTCTAATATTAGCGCTGAATGTAGATGGTGCAAATACAAATGTGCAGATTCAAAATAGATAAGGGTCACGAGTAATCGTGTATGTGTTAGCTGATTGTCAAACCATAGATTATCACTCGTGATGCATGCATAAAGCAACGGGGGAGAATTAGGACCGCAGGCTCTAGTTCCTTGTAGTAGACGAAAGAAAGTCTTACGGGGGAGCCCAGACAAGCTATGAGTCCCGAACGCCCTTGCGCCGTTCTAGCACACACGCGCATGGTTAGTGCTCAGCACAAGGGTAATAAACACATTCGTTGCGTACCAAACCGTCCTCCTCCCCACAGTTCATCAGCAGTATGAGTCCCCTCTGGGGTCTGCTGCCGCTCCTTGTGAGGGATTTAATCAGTTGGAGTATTGTCACCACTCCTACCCCGTCATCACTCACGCCTAGACTTTAGGGTGTGTTAATCCATAGACTTGGTCAATTCAATCTTATCCTCATGGGGAGGAGTGCAAACCATGTGATGTAGAAACACTGTCGTAGTGCGCGTTCACAAGCGCAGGTGATAAACCCATGTCGGTGCCATGAATGTACACCATGATATTCCTCCCTTCAAAGTAGACCTTTACCCCCCAACCACAGCCGAGAGATTAGACTAGACCCGCAATTGCACTAGTGGACCAAGCAAATATGTACATGTACATGTATGTAAATGAAGCGAAACACTAACCGCAATCCCATCCGACGGTCTCACCCATGTCGCATTCAGCCCTACACCAGTCACGTCATCACCGAACAGCTCCACCCCCCCGCTCCCCCGCTCCCCCATCCCCTCCCCCTCCCCCTCCCCGATGATCTGCTCCAACCTCGCAACTAGCCACCTCCCAACAACATCAATCTGCGCGCTATTGTACGGATGTGACTTTTTTGTCAGAGCTACCAGATCTGCATATGCCTCCTCCACGCTCACGCCCCATGACTCCTGCTCCGCCAGGGACACGACGTCGGGGACGGTGCCATCGAGATGCAGTATGTAGCCCCAGATCAGAAAATAAGTTCCCAGGGTGACAATGGTCACCGGCAGCACCTTGAACCCCGTCAGGGCATCAAGTTTGGCTCTCCGGTGAAGGAATTGAAGGATGAGATGGCGGAGGTAGGCAATGATCCGGGCGACCCATGGCCGTTGATGTATGCGGATATTGCGGATGCGGTAGTAGTCAAAGAAGGGTATTCTGTAAGAATGATCTGGCTTTATGAACTTGTGTGGTGCAGCGGTATCGGGGTGTATCCGGCTATTATCCTCCTCGTCTCTGCAGCTCCTCGCTGTCGGTCTCGCTGCAGCGGGGAAGAGGGATTGGACATAAAGAATTGAGGTTGAGGAACCCATTTATGACCCCTGTTTAAAAATTGTTAATACATGTATTGAATGGTAGGGCCGGAGGGGATGGAGTCATCCCATGAGTGACACACATTTTGTGCCAAAGAAGCACCACATATATAACTCGCGGGCAACGACCCTGATGCGGCAGACCAACTTTAATCTAGCGAGTGGTGCCACAGAACTCCAACTGACTACATATCCCTACTACGACTGCTTTGCTCTGACGTTGATCCATCGGGACACCGATCTCTGCTGATTCGGCCTATATCAACACATGACGTAGGTCCCTCATATACAGGATGCCAAAAAAGCTGACTATATAAGTAGCTCTCTAACAGCCTAGAATGCCGCATTCCGTCAGTGTACTACAGTGATACCGCCGCTTAGACGGTGAGGTTACTCAGATCATAGGAGATCAGCTAGGCCAGCGGCCAAGCAATCTTCAGTTAGAAGCTTTTCCACTAGGCCAGGAGATACAGAGAAGAGGTCGTGAGAACCAAAAAACTCAACCTATGTCAGTACACACAATTCTCATCTGGATCCTAATTTGGGCACATGGAATCTGCGTGTTGGTGATACTACGGCTCGTCGGAGTCTAGACCCCTTCTTGTGCTTCCATCGTGAAATGAGCGATATAAAGGCTGCTTCAAAGTGTGTAGATGTTATATACGAGCACTACATCTATATGTTCATGCAACACGATCAAGAATCCCAGCATAGGCGTAGTACAGCCAAACATTCGCCACACGATATACAGAAAGCATCCGAACACTCTTCCATTCCGGACACTCTTCCAACTCGAACACTCTTCCAATACAATTACCTTTTTAATCCAAACACACGAGGTTTATTGAGCACATATACAATATTCAGAGCACATCAAAGGTTCCAAGTGCGACCCCTTTGCCGAAGCAGCCCACCCAGATCTCCCTAATATCTACAAGAGCTAGAGATGCAGCCCTTTCCTTTTACCATGTACAAAGATAAGTATAGTTTACATCCCTAGAAGGCCACTACAGTGAGCTCCATAACGCCGAGCGGTATGGGGCCACTAGTGGGCTCGATGTCACTCGGCCTGTGACACCATGACGCAAGGCCACAGTGTAACCTCCAGGACCATTCAAATTCCTCCTGTTACAGATAGATGCTCCCCTTGAGCTGTCTAACCCGTGGATCGGACTCACCCGGTAGTTTTCCCAAAGTCCGCTACGTGTAGGATCATACGACATCACTCGCATATGCCAAGAACTCGAGTTCAGGGTTAGGGGTCACTCGCCCATTGGTGTGAAAATGAATTTCGTCGCCAGGGGCAGGCGGAGGCTCGGCACGCGTGGAGAGGTGCTATACACCTGGTTGGCCTCGGTATTGAACTTCGGATACCTGGCCCCGGCCAGTGTTGTGTCCTAGAGTACTCCGGGAGCGTTCGAGTTGAAATTAATATATCAATATCGGGCATACGTACGACTACTGCCTCTGCAATATTCTCCACGACATGACGTCTTCTAAACTCTGCTGGCCTCAAGAGCACTGTTCCGATCGATTGGAGGTCGGTTTTCTTTGCTCTCGAGAGTAGTCCGAAGATAGCCTATGTCTCACGGTTTCATCGAATGAATTATCAATCAATTGATCAACGGTTTCATAGAGGTTAGAAACAGGCTACTGCATGATATGAGGACTCATTCACAACCAGGCACTCAAGATGCGCCCAGTACAATTTATCTTAAAATACCAAAGTCTTTGCTGCCCAAGAAATTCTGTTGGAATTTGGCTTATACCCACTCACTCGAATTCTCAAGAGTGACCCGAGAGCCGAGTCACGTGGAGAATACCAAGAACTAGCTCAAGCACACGGCATATCCCGAGCTTTTGCTATAGCTGAATCTATAAATGGATACTCAATTAAAATATCCAGAAGCGGATGATTCCTCCCGGGCACGATTTGATCCCCCCCCTCGTCTTCGATATTGCTACACTTGGAATCAATACTAATTCGGGTTTATATACTATCAAAAGTTCTTCCTGATACCCTCCAGGTCTAGCCGTGGGCCTGAAGCTTTGTGACCTGAATTTACCCCTCTCTCAGGAATTCTGACTTACTGACTGGGCTGATCGATAGCTCTAAGGGGCTACCGCAGTATTGATACTATCAATTAACTAAATCCTTGTGACAAGGCGCGGATAGATCGCGAGCCCTCTCTTGATCATCACATGCCTTACCCCGCGCAAAACAAATAAGTCTCCATATGTTGAAAATAGTTTCAAAATACAGGACAAAAATACAATACAGTCTCAATATCTTTCCCCTCCATAATAACTATTACTTAATGATGAATCGATCAATCAACACGCTCCAAAAAGTGAAATTCTGTTCGTCAAGCTGCAGCTCATGGCTCGGTGTCAATTGAGATACTCACAAAACCAATATGTGCTTGGCTTCTACGCGCTTTCTTGGTCCGGGCAATAATGGAGACCGATTGGAGAGTCATACCAGTGTGGCGGATAATTCGTCAAATGCAATGGTTTCAGGCCCTATGACCTCTTTTTTCTTTCTAACTTCTCCACTCTATCTTATAGCGAATGAAGTATCCCAAGTCGACTTGGCCCTTCACACAAGTGTGCCTGGTCTAGACCAACACTTTCATTCATCCGAGTCTTTGGGTATTCTTTGCTTATTCCCAGTGCTCTGCACAGTATCAACTGCGGGTAAGTAATATTAACTCTTATATGGGAAGGCTGAAATTCATCACCAATATCTAGGTTGCTATTGAGCTGATCATTGCGTGAGTCATCAATACGAGATAATCGTGTTCAGCTCACTCACGCATGGGTTTTGCCTTTTCCAGTGTTCTTTGACGAACCATTGACAATTTCAGTTGGATATATCCCGCCATTGCACTTTAATATGTACCATAGCCATTATTCTAAAAGCTGCTGAAAAGAAAACTGATAAGGCCGTATCCAGAAGAGGAGGACTTTCCGCTCATCAGCTCATTGCAATTGGGTATACTTCCGCATTAATATCACTCACCTCGTCAACCTACTAATTGTAGGCCAACTCGAGCATATCCGTACGCGCCGAGACCGATATCATGCTCCCTATTCTCCTCCCAAACAAATAGTTCACCATTTAGCTCCAACAAGCCTCCTCTGTCGCTCTCCGTATCAGGTGCAGTCTGATAATTGTATTTTGTTTTGTTGTCTATGCTCAAAACGCCCTAGAACTAGACACCAACATATAAGAAGCCACGATCATGGAGGAGAATGATGTTGCACTTAATATGAACCAGGTTTCCAACTATAAAATGATTGTCAAAATGCTGCGCGCAGTGCGCAATGCCTTGCGCTGAATTCGTTGTCACCCGCCAAACCTTAAGGACCTGAGGACCAATTGACTGGAGAAACAAAATCGACTGGGTCGCACATTTCCAGGATCATCTATGTCCACACCATATGCAGTATAGTCTCTTCATAGCCACTTATCTCAAATTCAATTCAATGCAGCAGATCAGTCCCTTACTTTTTTCATATTTCTATGTTGTATTCACTTCTTCTCACCCCTATCGATATATATATCACTGGCCACGTTACGGATCTGCATATTATATAGTTCTGATATTGGATTCCTTCGATTTCGACACTCTTTGTAATTTCAATTGGTTGTTTAATTACTGGTATCGATGGAACGGAGTTTCAAAGGATGTAAAGTACATGTCGTTGATAAAAGAACCCCTGCGGCTCTCGAATGGCCATGTGGTAACTGAAGCCGAAGCCCAAGGTCTACACAAGTTTTGTTCTTCATTTTATGGTATGTAACTTGTCTCGATTAGTATTAGTATTTCTGGAGTACGTGTACCTTGTACGTTACCAAATGGTACTTTCTTGACCTAATTTATTTGTTAGACCCCGCAATGAACTTTTAACATGATCCAAATATGTCCATGCTTTCTTTTCATTGAGAGCGCTAGCCCCCCAAAGTGCATAAATCTACGGTAGATCTTCATCAGAAATTCCCATTTGATACCGGGGATCACTCAGATAGCCGATAGGTATTATTCTCCGATATAGGTCATATTACTCTACTCTACTCCTGGCAAAAATCCCTCGGTCACAAGAATTAAAAAAAATCCGCAAGCTACGCACAAAACTACAATATTTGAAACACACGGGACAAATAATACTCTTGGCAGAGCTTCCGACCCATCATTTTTTCAAGAAGTGACCCTGTGGAACCTAATATGTAGATATACTCTATTAGAAGATCTTCATGTGGAGGTGTCGGGAATTTGGTTGGTGAATTATATTTCCTAATTCTGTATTATGGTATCAATTGCAAGAACTCAAATAGCTCGGATTTGAAAGGCTCATAATAGCGGTTCACTAGAAATGATTCAACTGGTAACTCAGTACTCAGCACCACAATATAACCTTTTTAAGATTGACAAACCTCACAAATAGATCAATATCCTCCACAGCACACCCAGAATTAGCAGTCATAAAGTTTTCTCAAGTAACTAGCATCTTTCACGATCTTTACCAAATCTCTTTTGCGTTGTGTTGATATTGACTCACTCCGTGCTTCACTCTCTAGATCTACCCCGCTCTCTTCGTCACCTATCCTCCCTCTCAAGCTAAGAAGATGGAATCCCCTTCATTTCTTATGAATGACCTTAGACGTCGTATTACTGAAGAAACACTCCTGGATCTCTTTCAGCCACTAATCCCCGTGATCAATATTGAGCCTTCTCTCCTTGATATCAGCCTCAAGGTCACAACGGTCACTTTTGACGAAAGCTCAGGATGGCTCCGCCACATACAATCTCACGCACCGCTCAAGACCACTTTCGGTACCTTATGGAAAGGCGTCGATGTCAACTCCAAAAGCGATGAATTTATCCGAGCAGTCAAAGACGGCGATCTCGAGCGGGCCGAAATGCTAGCAGAGTTCGGGGATACTGATGTCAACAAGACAGACGACAAAGGCAGAACGGCGCTACATTGGGCGTGTATCAAGAATCTCCCGGAGGTGGCTGCCCTATGTCTTTTGTTGGCGCGGATAGATACGAGCATTGAGTATGAGGGAAGGACTGCGTTTGATATTGCTTGTCAGCTGGACACCAGGGTACAAATTTGCTTGTGTTAGTAACACAATTCGTATGTGTCGTGTTATGGTGTTAGTAACACAACCAAAATGCATTAAAACACCGGGCTTTTGTGCAATTACGTGCTGTGTCGAAAATGTGCCAGTAATGTGTCGAAAATGTGCTGGAACTGTGTCTATAGCACCATTTCGATGTGTTAAAAATGTGTTAAAAATGTGTTAAAAATGTGTTAAAAATGTGTAAAAAAAAAACAATTCTTGTGTGTTGGAATTGTGTTCTTGACACATGTAAACTGTGGTTATACTGTGTTTTTGACACTATAGACTTGAGTTTTTAACACTATAGACTTGTGTTACTGGCATAAAACCGAATAAAATGTAAAAATGACTTTGGACAGAATTGAACATCTGACCTTATTGGGATGAGTATACTACTGTGTGTGAATTAACAACTGAGCTATACAACAATTTACATATTATTCTAAGTGATTGAGCATTAGAAACCCGTCAGATAAGGCAAAAATATTAAAAAAAATAATAAAAAATAAAAGAGAGAAATAAATATAAATAAAAATAATAAAAAATAAAAGATAGAAATAAATATAAATAAAGATCGATTTTTAAAAAAGAGGTTTATTGAAATATTGCGAACACAATAGAACTGTGTAACTGATTGACAAAGATCTCAAAATTTCTAAGTCAGAGATTTACACATTTTCATTGCGTCTCGAAATTTCTCCACACTTTTTATGTGTTATTGACACAATAGGACTCCATAAAAAGGCGATTTACACAATTAATGAAGACTTCACACAGCTAATCTGTGTTACTTACACAATCTGCACCAAAATTTTGTACCACGGTGTGGAAAAGAGTATAATTCCACCGCTATTCTATACGAGCACCTTTGAGATAGACAAAATCGACCCTCAGGGTGCCTTACTGCAACTTATCAATCTCACAGCGGAGCCAGACCTCGATCGAACCGAGTTCCCTGGTGAAGCCCTGTTTGATCCAGCAAAGGACGGGAACGAGCGTCTATGTGCTGCACTGTTCAAGAAGAGAAAAGTCAACGTCTTGGCAAGGAACGAGGACTGTAACACTGCGCTGCACATTGCGGCTATGAATGGACACGGTTCCATAGCAAGAATCTTTGTTAATAATGGATCTGATGTCAATGCAGTGGGTAAGGATCTCTTTACACCATTGCACTGCGCAGCACAGCGAGGAGACTGGGAGACTGTGAAGATACTGTTGGAGCTCAAGGCAGATAAAGATGCAAAAGATAAAAATGGAAAGACGGCACTTGACTGGGCCATGGAGAACGGTCACCGTGGAACACAAGACCTCTTGGAGGATAAAGAGGATTAGGAGGAGAGCGGAGACGAATCTGAGGAGTCGAGAACTGAGTTACACAGGGCAGCCAAGCGGCGAGATAGAGCGGCGGTTAAGCAGTTACTGAGAGGGGGGCTCAATATTGAGGAGAGAAACGCGAGGGGGCAGACACCATTGAATGTTGCGGCTGAAAGCGGGTGGGAGGATATTATACTGGTACTGCTGGACAAGAGCGCAATGATTGAAGCAGGAGACCTCAGAAATAAGACATTGCTCCACGGCGCAGCACGAGCCGGCGATCTGGAAACATTAAACTTACTTCTGGAACGCAATACCTACGAAGATGCGAGGGATTCGAATAGAAGAACTCCGTTGCACTACGCCGTTGCTCACCCTGCGCTTGTCAGAAGGCTTCTTGATGGAGGGGCCACTGTTGGACCGAAAAACAAACTAAACCAAACTCCGCTATATGCCGCAGCCTCCATAGGAAATGCAGAGTCAGTTCGGACCTTACTTGAGAGAGGGGCTAGTCCGCGTGTGAGGGATTCAAGCGGAAAGACCGCATCTGATATTGCATTGGAGAACGGACACAACAATATTGTTGAAATGCTTTCACAAAATGTTTAGGTTGGCTCCCCTCTTCTCCATACCCATACTCTTAATCTTATGTATTGAAAAAAAATAGGGCCTATAGTTATGTATATACGGAGGGTTTAGATATGTGGTGTTCTTGTAGCAGAAGGCTCATATTTACGGAGACTGGGATTATTCGTGTCACGATAAAGCTATTTAGGTTTTATCGGCCAGTTGAAGATATACGTATATGTGCGGTCAATAATGAGTACTACGAGAATTTAACGCTATATGTTCTCTATTACACTCCCTCATTTCTTTAGACTCACTCGTTCCTTTGCTCGTATATATATTGTAGACGTTGAATCTTATTATTGTTAGCTATATGAATAAATCGGAATCCTGTACTAGTTGGTGGAACGTTCGAGTGCTGTCTTCAATTACATTAGGTTCTCACTCATGTGAATGGAAACCTGACTTACTTCCTATCTATGTACTGCATATCGGAAAATATAGTCTCCAGCGAGCACTAAACGCCTGTTTATTTGGGCCGTAAACATTTAATGGACACAGTACAGAACACGATGATACTTGAGGATATTTTATCTTTTCTCGTGGGTTACAGAAGGAGATCTCGGAGTTGACAATACTTGAGCCCTGTACATATTATTCAAAATTTCGAGACTTAGAGTTAGAGTCATCTGATTGATCATAATCTTTCACATCAATTCAAGGTTTCAATACTAGTATCTAGTTCATAAACAATCACTCGCATGTTTCTAAAATTCTCGAGACTAGTCTTTTTCTGTTTTGTCTCGTATTGTTTTCTCTCCCGATCCCCCCGCCCATGTTTTGTTTAAGTTATTAGGCGCGAGGCTGATTGAAATGTCCTACCTATTATGGGATCAATGGCCATGTCCGTCATGATCAGAGGTCGGCATATATGTCAGGTTTTGGGGCTCCTTCACATATAAAAAAGGATCACTAAGCGGCCTCTACATTATAGCTGAGCAAATCAATTAATAGAGCCGGATCTTCGCCATTTCTATTCTTTTATTCTCAACACGTTTTTCTCTCTCTCACATCCAGGGACAAAGAAAGCCTCGAGACCTTTTGTCTTGTGCCCATTACTAGTTACTAGCCATAAAATCATAAGAAGCAATAGGCTTACCTACCTATCCGGTGATTCACTCAATAAATAAATTAAACTTCAAATTCGCTCCAAACTTCACTGGTATTGAAACCGAGTGATATATCATGATTTAGGATCACACCTCCATATCTCCAGAAAAACCTCTTCCGGAAGAACTCTGAAGCACGTAACACACTTAGGAGATATCTATCCTGAGTGTACCCTAGCTTTCGGGAGTCTCACATACTTTTCATTCCGTGAAAAAAATGTGGGTCTTTTGCGTATGCGAGTGATCTTTTGTGATTTACATCGGAACAATCATATGGCTGAGGAGTTCAAAAACTGAACTTCTAGGTGGGACTTAAGGCTCATGAGATGTCTCAGACCCGGGATAATCGAGGCAGGAATTACTTTCATCCGTTTATTTACATCTCTCTAGCCCTTCCTCTTCATGACTCATATTATAAATTAAAGCCAGGTTTATATCGGACGAAATGGCCAAAAAAAGAAATAAACATCTATTACCTGACACATACCCCTGAGTAGAGGTCTACGGGATACGGGTTGCGGTGATTAACGTTTGCGAATATATCTAGGGGACCCTTGAATCTTTTAAACAACTACTCTATTAAATTGAATTGAGATATATCAAGCAACTACGACAAATGAAACCCCGAGTACGGGGAAGCCTTCACAGATCAGTACAAAATTAAAAACAAACATAGTATATCTGACCCTCCAACCTCTATCCTTCCGTCACTACCAGCTCTTCTCGGGTGATGGTGCGTAATCATAACAGAGTGTCTCTCCCATAATATCCATGGTGTCCCCAATCGTCACGGTCTTTGAAATCTCGCGGAAGGGCATTTCGAATTCCAAGGTAACATTACCCCTTGAGGTTGCGTTTCCGTAGGGGAAGTCGAATGGGTAGATCGGGTTAGAGATATCGTACAACCTGGCGGGAAGATCCTTCTTCTGCCATTCCCACCACAGGCGGTCCATGTTGGTATGGTGAAGATAGAATAGTGGATCTGCAAACCGCCTCATTAATAACTTGCGCGATCAGGAGGAAGAGGTGCAACTTACCACCAGCACTGCTCCACACATCCGCCAGCTGTAAGCAGCAAAAGAAGAGTCAGCATCCCGTCAGTTTGTCCTAAGACGCGATGACAACTACATACCGTTCCGAGCTCTCCTCCAATCGCAAGATGGCCACCACCGTGATATCTGTATGTATAGACATTCTGAATCTTGCCCTGTGCCTTGACGTCAAACCACCCAAAGGTGGTCTGGTCCAATGTATCCTTCACCAACTGGGCGGACAAGAATGTAGTAGCGATCCAAGGGCTGAAATCCCTCGTCAGGCATCTTGGATTCGATTGGATGTTCTCCCTCGGTCCTAGGCGTACAACCAAGTCCTTGAAAGGGCCGTCTTGAACACATCCTCCACCTGTACGTCCCGGGGCGGGAGGGAAGGGATCGATACTCTCGGCAATCCAGGGACCGTTTCCGCCGAAACCAAGTGGGCCGGGATCAAAGATGGGAGAGGCGAGGAAATCTTCTTCTCTTGCAGAGTCGAGCGTGAAGTCCCAGTATCTTGAAAAACCATTGCATTAGTTTGGTCTCAACTTGAAAACTATGATATTGGAAAGCTCACGGTTGACCGCCAGTATAGTTGCATTCATTGATCATTGCGCGTTCGTATTCCGCAACAAAGTATCTATGCCTGGGAAAGGTTAGATATATCGCTCCATTACTTGGAAAATCAATTCAATCATACCATGGGAGCGTGTGTCCCTGTGTGAGTTAGTAAAATGCTCAACCTTTCTCTGAACGAGTGAAACATACCACAAAATGGATAGTATTTGCGTCTCTAACGTGTAGCCCCACGAAGTCGTCGTACCTCGATACGGCGCCTGGAACAGCATTGGTGCTAACCGCTGGTAGTTCTTGCAAACACTTGACAGCTGTGATATAATCTGACTTTTCCTGGTCCGACAAGGTACGCCTTGTGCAGAAAGTCAGCTTGATGCTACCATGCGAGGATCACTGTAACTAACCATTCCTTGCGGAGAGGCGGGTTGGTGCATGTTTTCGTATCCTGTGGATCCGGAGAGGGTGACGGCAGCGCGAAAGCCGCTGTGAAAAGAAAGCTACACACGAATGGAATCAACTTCATGGCTGTCGAGATTGTCTTTGCGTGTCTGGTGGTGTATCTGGACGGATGAGTAGTGAAGAGTAGTGGATATAGTTCGAGGAACTCAATGTCTTTTATATCTCAATCTCCATGATCAGTTCATTTAGCAAGCGGTCAATGAGCAGAAGATAATTGTCATTCGAGACATGCTGTACGGATTGAACGCGCGAAGGCGTATCTGAAAGGCTACACCGAGTAACTGTAGTATATTCGTCTTCTAGAGTAAGAACAAGGCATACGAGCATCTGCTGAGTAGTGATTCTCTGTAGCGTGAGCTCAGGCACGGGTAGTAGTGGAATGTCGGATAGTACTAGAGTAGCATAGATACGGATCCGATCAAAGACACTTCTATCAAAGTACTCTACCACTGATCTAGAACGAATAAAGAAAACCCTCTGTTACCACGCCTGCGGAACACCTGCAGGCGCTCAGATATTCCTAGTGCAGCGATGAACCAACGCTCAAGAGTCTCTCCGGAAATGTGGTTTTTGCATATCAATATGCAACTATGAACTGTCATAAGATAGTACAACTGGTGATGGTTAGGATCGACAAATATTCTATTAATATACATGTATGGTGTGCTTATACTCGAGCTCTACTCTACTCTACTCGGGTATGGGGGTAAGAACTAGAAATAGGGTTATTTGTATGGCAGAGCGGCGCCACTCCATACGAATAATCACTTGATGTCACCTCTTCACCAGATCGGTGCTCCCGACCCCATCCAGTTGAGAACGGATGGATTGGGAAGTACATATCCACTAGATGTGTACTGATCAGTATTCGATGGAATGTGTAAAAATAAGTATTACCTATGTAGATAAGGACGCGATGCAAGCCTTGCAAACCAAAAGCCTGGTCTTGTGTCCAAGTGCTTAATTCATCGCCTGATGCGTATGATGGTAGTATGATGGATGGTCCCAAGTGGTCACTACGTGGTGGGCCATGTTTTCTTTTGCTAGGACCGAGTAATATTTCATGTTGTCGATTAATTCTGCCGGATTGAGGTACTGTGGGTTGACATCGGTTGGATTATGCACCGCTTCCCGAGAGCTTGGCATGTATGGTTAACCATAGTATCGGGTTGCATGGGAATCTTGTGTTCATGTAGCTTATTTGGAAGCCAAAGCTTAGAGTGAGATTATTAATGGGATCACAACAAAGTTAAAAACGCTTTTCCTGATCACTAAGATAATTTAAGGTTGAGGCTCAAGGGGATTCGCCGGCAGGGATCACAGCCGCTATCGCTACCGCTACCTACTCGATTGGTGAGGGCCCTCGTAGGTATTTTCGCGGAGAGACGATCCCTGCCTGCCCGTGCTGCATGCAACCCCATACGCACGAGCGGGTGATGCACTATGATTTGCTGATCTCAATCGTCACTGCCCCAGGAACCTTTCAGCCGCACTAGCATTCCATCGTGGCGCTCATGAGACCTTTTTTTGTTTTTTCTTCTGTCACAGGTATGTAGGTAAATACATATGTTGGTACCTTATACTACATGTAGTATCATCCTCAAGTTACTCGAGTTCCCTCTAGTTGATCATGAACGATCATGTAAATAGGTCTAGAGTATCCGTGTAATCTACAAATACATATATTCATCTACCCCCCCCCCCCCCCCCCCAAAGTCAGGAGGATCGATGACTAGAAAGAAGAAGAAGAGGTAAAAGTTAGCGAAATCTATTTCAGACTCAACAAGCGTCGGGCTGAAGGTTTGTGTCGCTCCTGTCGGCCTATGAACTCAGAATCCACTACATACGTGTACATGCCTCAGGTACCTCTCTGTGTGAAAAGCGAATACATGTAGGTAGTATCCTCTTCATTCCGATTACAGCCGGCTGAGTTGAAGGTGGCCTTAGGTAGTGTGTGGATTTTGCAATTTGAGGTGCCACGAGGCTAGGTCTCCCTCACTCGGTTTTCCTTGCGGACATCAACTGTGCGACTCTAGAATACTACATAGGAAGAGGAGGTACATGTAGGATGTAGGTAGGGAAAAATAGTACTACATCACTACCCCACCTCAATTAGCACACCCCCGGGGGCTGGGGGCTGGGGGCCGGTAGATGCCGACCAACCCTTGCGATGAGCCTTAACTTTCGATTTTACACAAGGAATGTGTGCGAATGCTGGACAAGTATCCATCTACTCTACACTGTCATAGGCGACAGGAATATGGCAACTACCGCGATACATTGCAATCTCTCGATCTCCATCCCAAATCCACAAGCGAGAAACTACCAAATAGTTAGGCCAGCAAGAACCCGAAGCCAATCCAGCTGAGTCGGATAGTTATTCCGGCCGTCGATGCCTCAGAGCCCAAGTCGCTTTTGCGGACCGGCAACATCGGATTCACCAGCGCCTTTTACTGTGCGCCAAAGACCATCCATACCTTTGTGGACCAGGACCAAGCCAGCTCAGTCTAGAGTACCCGGAGGAACCTCTATCCTCTTCTCCCAACTCATACAGCCAGCACAGAATGCTCCCTCTACCATCATGATCAAGGCGCCGCAGTTCCACTCTTGTTCGGAATTTAAAACTACATCTTCTTCACCACCCTCAGGTTATTGTGTCCATCCCCAGCTTTAAAATCCTCCAGCTCACCAGTGCGATAAAATCTTCCATACTCAACTTACTAGCTCATACAGATACGTTTGGACTGAACCGCAAAACCTTGAATTCTGTGGTATTTGGGTATGTACAATGGCGGCGCCCCAGAAGTTCGGAGCCGGCAGACATGGCCTCGCTGTGTTATGAGGTCAAACGTTCTTTACCCCTTGAGTTCTTAGAATAAGAGGGACACACGCGGATATGCGCGAGCTAGACGCGCTCTATATTATTCTGTATAGTCTACGGTTTACTTACCATAATATCACGTGCACAGGAATGGTAGCGCTCTCTACAGCACCGTAGGTAAAGTGCGATATGTAGAGTAGCTACGTCCACTGGAGTTCTATATGCACATGCGTCTCTCGTAGTCAGGGTCCCTACATGAACAGGCGACACTCTAACCGAAATACTAAAACGATTTCTACAGGACGAGAGAGTGGGATTGAAAAGCCATATAAGAGGCCTAACCCAAACATAAAACCTCCTTTTGAAGATCCACTCAGTCATGGCTATGCGTACTCACAGTGATACAGCGTTGTGTATCTACTTAGTTGGGAGTAGGATCGGTGAAATAAGCCTTCGACAACAGCCATGAGAGTTGTCGCAAAATAAATCGAACCAATGATATGTCCAGGTCGCTCATGCCGCTAAACCACTTTCTTCCCAGGATCAATATGGCTCGTCAAGCTATCCATACTCTTTAGCGATATCCTATAGCGACAATGCTCGTATTTTTGGGATTTGATGGTGAAAAAGAGCGCTGTGCCCGGCGAATATGCTCCTAACATGATATCGTGACTTTGAGAAGAGGGTTTAAGCTTTGGATACTATACTAGATTCTACCCCAAAGCTACTTGTGGGTACTTATATACATATAGCTAGGTAATATAGCTAGATCTACAGAGGAGCTAGATTGGTGTTGATTGAAGAAACCTCTTTGATTTTATCAACATTCAAGTAAGCTTTAGAGGTTGCTGTCTAAGATTTTGACTCGATCTTCGTGTCTGATCACTCGTTACCGATTGGTTCTACGTATCGAACCCTGATTGAATGTTGTTTAGCTACATACACAATGTGTGACGCCTCACTGCGCGTTTGTTCATTAATTGATGTTATGTTTTGTGAAAATTCCGAAATTTACCTAAATTAACTAGGTACATGATTGAATAACTGGTTTTACATATGTACGTAGTGGATAACCGTTTCTGCGGGTAGATATCTTTCAGGAAATTTGAACCGGCCATGTGCGTTTGCATATTTCTAGAACCAATTGTCTCTACATAACTGTATCTCGAAGTTTCATAGGCTCCTGCGCAGTGTTGTGTACTCTACATACATAGGTACACGCGTATAATATTGCGCAGAATTTTCTCACGGCATGGATTATGGAGGACAGCTCTTAATTTCAACACTCACAAGCCTTTACAATATACATTCACACCTGCTATTCAGAAGTTGGCCGAAAGGTATGGGACCTAGCTCAGCCATTCTCACTCTCTCGCCAAGTACTAATACTACATTGCCTACATAGCTGGTTCCGCGTTTGTTTAAATTACCTTGCTCGCTTCTATTCGATTTCAATTTTGGGCCGTAAACAAGGTGTGAAAATCCTTTAATTATAATAATCGGGTCTGATATGTTCTACATTCTCATACTGACACTTACCAAGGTTTTGTGTTCCCGTGGATTTCTCTTATCAGGGTAGCCCTTTGCATCTGAAATAGATATTTCAGCGGGTATGCGTAGGAGGAAGGGCACCCATCCAGAGGAAGCCGGGAATAATGGTATGCTTATATCATTCCTATCCCAATGAATTAATAGCTGATAATATTTATGAAAATAAGATCAAAGAGAAGTAGACATAAAGTTTGATTCTTCAGCTGCGAATGCTCCTGGACCCAAGAACCCGCAGGAGCAAGCCACCTCGGAGGCTAGTCGCCTATCTACGTCGCCTACTGTGAAGAGGACATCGCTTTGGCAGTACATGATACCCTTCTCACCAAGGCTCTTCGGCGCATCTATTTTCGCGGCACGCATCCCATTTGTAAGGGCTGCGGATGCTGGAGATGAGTTCACTAATAATTTCGTTACAGATTTAGCGCCTCTCCTTGCATTGTTTGGCGAGAGAGTTGCAACGCAATTCATGAGCGAGGCTTTCACAATTGCCGACAGTATCATCTTTGCTGTTGCTCCATTGGGTGTCATGACGGCCATGGTTGGGGCTATTAGGGTTGGAGGCCCTAACGAATTGAGGGCTATCATTGGGCGTGCAAAGGAGAGCCGCTCTACAGTTGAGCTGGAGTCTTTGGAGTATAAGTACTCAGGCTCATTCTCGCCCTTCAGTCCTGTTCTCTCCATTCTTCATCAGAAGGAAAAAATCAAGTTCTTATCGGTAGCAGAGCCCTTAAAGATTATTGAATAATCTGCAATCTGATTGTCTATCTTGCACGGCCGTCTCTATTCTATCTTATTCTATTTCTCTTAGAAGAGACCCCCGTTACAACGACGTCCAGAGCAAAAGAACCTAACAGACAGAACCATGCCCAAAAAAGAATGAGCATCTCTGATAGAAAGAATCCGGCGAATGGAAAGATGACAAGATCTCTCCTTAACAGAAAAAGATAATCAGTGTTCTTGGAGAGACCATGCAGTAAATGTGCAATCAAAGGGAACACAGGACAATACTTTACATTTGAATGTGTGGAAGATAACGCAATCAAAGCTTTCAATTCAAGAAATGAACCTCGGATCGGAGGCTTCTTACCCTCCCCAATTTTAGGAAACCAGACGTTGTAAGTATTTAAGGGAGACCATTTGGCATATGCCAACGCCATAATAAGGTTTGACAATGGTTATAGTACCAGAGAAGAAGAGAATATCGGAGACTTAGGAAACGAGTATGGAAGCGAGTAGAAGAGGTTACTAGCTCCCAAAAACTGAATCCTCAACAAATCCAACAGAAACACGGACCTGGAACAAAGAAAGTACGCAACAAGCCTGTTATTTGTTTTTCGGCACAGTTAGAGGAGTTGGATAAGGTAGAAAAAATGGAACCAGACCCAAGAGAGGGGAGAGGTTCGAAAGAGTTGGAAGAAGAAGATGGTAATATAGTAGAGAAGAAGAAGGAAAATATCATACTGGAGACAGACATATCTCTTTCCCTTGCAATTGACAATGAATACGGCCGTAAGTCTTGCAGCTGTCTGATTTCAGGGTACACTGATGAACATCACTCCAAAATTCAAGGAACTGATTTAGAGGCTAACCAGTCAATGAAGTACCTAAAAATACCGAGACCAAGGCACCTTCGAAGGGACGGAAAATACTTCCTCCGATGCGCGCTAATGTCGACAAAAAGCAGACTGGAGCCAACTGGAGATCAACACTAGGCCCTTACGGATTTTTGCTCAAACTCGGGCCTGATGGACAAAGAGGTTTTCGCAGGTACAATGGATTGGAGAAAGTGCTGCCCGAGAGGTCAAAACTAGTCGGGATTGGAACCGGCCAGACTCTAGGCTCAGCAGTTATACTGATATGGATAGACTGTAAAGACAAGAAAGGGTGACCGATAAGGGCAGAAATGGAAATAGAATTTGAAATAGTTAGGGACTTCTTGGCAAAGATTTTACTGATACTAGATGCTATAATGGATTACAGAATCGGAATCTCAATACAAGATCAAGAAGGGGCTCTCGGAAATTTAACATTCAAACATTTCTGTGGTTACTCGGCGTCCAAAGTGATAAAGGTGAAATCAAGTGAAGAAGTGATAATCCCTGCCAGAACGGTGAATGCAATCTCGGTGAAGGATAGTCTTGCTGAAGGCATCGACTACAGATTTGGAGCAGTGATAACTCACGCACAGGTTTCCCCCTGACACCACAACTAACTCACGCAGTAATCGACAGTGAAACAAATATAATGATGTTCGCAAATCATTCCGAACACACTATAAAGATTGATAAGAATATGCTGATCGGGGAAGCTCACTCAGTGAGTTTTGAAGCCCAGGTGTCAGACACGAGAGAGATGATAGATTGGGAAGATCTGATAAGCGAAAAACCAAATGGAGCATCGGTCAACAGAGAAATGGGGACGAGCCCTCAAAGCGTCATCAAAGATAACGAAAGGTTTGACTTGAACAACGGAGTGCAGAAAAGAGAGGCCGAGGAGGTGAAAGCATTCACTTCAGGGATAGAGAGTTTGCGTCCTCCGAGATCAATCTCAGAAGAGAAGGTGAAGGTGATGATGGAGGGCTCGAAGAAGAGAATGTCAGGAGAAAGGTTCCCATCAGAGGACGACCACGAGCAAGCTCCAGAAGCCCCATCTCGGTCACCAGACTCTGAGCTATCAATCTGCGAGGAGATAATGGACGAGAAGAGCTCACAACCCCTCAATCTACTGTCCGAGTTCAATGATTCTTTTACTAAAGGATCAACAATTGGAAAATAGATCCGAAACTTTCAAAGCAACGATAGAAACTACATCACAAATTCCACCACCCCAGCAGAACAGACCAGTGGGGCGAGTCAAATGAAAGGCCATCGACTAGAAAATCGAAGACCTGCTCTCTTGAGATGTATTGGAGCCATCCACCAGCCGGACAGTGTCGGTAGTAGTGCTAGTTTGGCAGAAGCAGAAATGGAGATTCTACGCCGACTTCAGGGCACTAAACAGGATGACGAAAGGCGATGGGTACCATATGCTACGATCAGACTACGTATTCTCATGACTGGCAGTCAAAAGGTTCCTCACCAGTATAGACGCTGTTAAGAGATACTATCAACTGGAAATAGATGAACCCGACGGGTGGAAGATAGCCTTCATATCGCACTTCCATGGATCGATTAGTTAACACACTGGGTTACGAGGAATTGGATTGGTCAGAAAGATTCTATTGAGTTCTATCGGGTTCTGTCGGTCACAAAGGTATGAGTAACTTGGATTTGTTATCGCTGAGATTTCCTTGGGTATATTAGGAGGTTTTGTCCTTGTTTCTGTTCTCTTTCTCTTCTTTCTTTCCTTACGCAACATCATCTGTACCTACGTTGTTTATTACTGTAACGGGGGTCCTTTCTAAGAGAAATAGAATTGGATAGAATAGAGACGGCCGTGCAAGATAGACAATCAGGTTGCAGATTATTCAAAGATACTATCGCTAGAACTCAATAATCTTTAAGGGCTCTGCTACCGATAAGAACTTGGTTTTCTTTCTCATGAAGACTCGAGAGAACAGGACTGAAGGGCGAGAATGAACCTGAGTACTTATACTCCGAAGGTCTCTGTTCTCTGCTCCTAACTCCTTTACTAAGTTCCGGTGGGCCTTCCCTCAGTACCGGAAACAATACCACCGCTACCCCGCTTTTCTCTAAGCGTCAGCAGGTGTTTCCGATACCCAAGGCAACCACCCTTAGTCAAAGCCTTTGTAACACCTGCAGTCTTGGTTGCCACACAACCGAGGACCTGCATGAATGAGCGGCCGCTCAGGTGTAAGCTTAATCATTGCTGTAGAGCTTTCGCTTATTGTAGACTTCCCTAGCATAGTCCCTGTCCTTCGGCGGACTTACAATGCTCAGAGGATACAGTGGATCACCGGACAATCAGAGCTTCACTCTGGCCGGTCTTCTAGACACTGGCGAGGCATAGACTCGTCAGTCATTGCTCCCATGAATAGATCCCCTTCCTAGCGCCCGGAATGTAGTTACTCTAACAGCTGGTAGCTAACCACACTGCCGGTACTTGCATATCACCGTGCAACTGGCTTCTAACAATAACTCTCAGCATGTAACCGGGCCCTGTGTGTACTCATACACCAGACAGTTGAAATGGCTCCGTTACACCACTCCCCTCTTCCAGGATCTTGGTCTCCGAGATCTATAACCATTCTATTACCATTCATTCTATATGACAAGAAACTTCGTGATATGCAAGGAAATGAAAACCCGAAAGGAAAATAGTCTATACCCCAACAATCCGCTTGTCCTTGGGTTTCTTAGGATACCTCATATGGAAATCCCGAAGGGCTTCTTCAGCACTCTTCTTGAGATGCTCCCAAGGTTCCCATGTAGCATCCTCGTTTTCATAACCTTCCCACAGCACTAAGTATTCCACTCGTCTTCTCTTCTTATTGACCCGGCTATCAGCTACCTCTCGGACAACCCAGTTCTGTTCTCCTTCAATCTCTTCGGGCTCCGGTACAGGAACTCTTCTCTCAGGATCTACCGGTGCTCGGTAAGGTTCCAGAAGAGAGACATGAAAGACCGGGTGGATTCCCATTTGGGGGGGAAGAGAGAGCTTGTAGGCACGGGTACCAATAGCTTCTAAGACCTTAAAAGGTCCCATCTTCTTCTGATCCAGTTTTCCCAAAGGCCGCTTTGTTTGCACATTGCGCCGGTCCAACATAACTTCATCTCCTGGCTTGATTTCAGGCGATGCCAGGGCATGAGCATCATACCACCGGGCCATCCTTAATCTAGCTTTACCCAACCTGGCATTCATAGCCTGCCAGATAGATTCCCATTGAGATATCATGACCTCGCTCGCTGGATTGTTCCATTCTACTCCTTCCTTTGGGGCCGGCCAGTTGGTCCTAGGTTCATAACCATAGTTGGCATAGAAAGCCAATACTTTGGTAGACTCAGAGACCGCCGAGTTATATGCATACTCTGCCAAAGGCAAGAGCTCTGCCCAGTCATCCTGTTGATATGAACAATAACTCCGCAAGTAATGTTCCAGGGTCTGGTTAACTCTTTCTGTTTGACCGTCCGTTTGGGGATGGAAAGATGTGGACATCTTCAGCTTCACATTGAGGAGGCTCATGAGAGATTGCCAAAAGTGAGAAATGAATCTGCTGTCTCTGTCCGAGACTATGTCATCAGGTAAACCATGGAGTCTCCAAACTTCCTTCAAGAACAATTTAGCCAAATCTTCCGTTTTATTGAGGGTAGGAAGAGGGATGTAGTGTGCCATCTTCGAAAAGCGGTCCACTATTACCCAGATCTTTGTAAACCCACTAGATTCCGGTAGTCCCACAATGAAGTCCATAGAGATGGAAGTCCATGGCCGATAGGGTATCTCCAACGGTTGGAGCATACCAAACTTCTTGTGTCTTGAGGTCTTATTCCTCTGGCAGCTGTCACAGCTCCGGACATATTCCTCAACATCCTTATCCATGTTGGGCCAAAAGAAGTTATTTTTCACCCGCTCTAGTGTCTTAAATTGGCCAAAATGACCAGCCACCTTAGAGTCATGGGTATCGGACAGTATTTCCATCTGAAGCTTCTTGTCTTTGGGTATATACTATCTATTCTTGTAGAAGATGAGACCGTTCTTGACCGACAAGTTCTGGTCCAAATTTGGTTTCCTTTCAACCAGAGAGCGGTGCAGTTCCTGCCAGAAACTATCCTCTTTAGCGGCCGCATATAGGCGCTCTAAGAATGTATTCTGCAATTGATTCACCCTGACAGCCGCTAGCTTTGCAGGATCCAAAACCAATTGACCTGGCCTAAAAAAGGTCTGTGGCTCCGGCTGCAGAGTTTCACCTCCCTCTCCAAGGCGGTGATCCCAGCGCCTAGATAGCACATCAGTCTTGCCATTCTTTTCTCCCGGTCTGTAGACAACTTTAAAATTGTAGCCTGCGAGGTCTTCAGACCATCTAGCTTGCCGCCTAGTGAGAACCTTGGTAGAATTAAAGTACTCCAAGTTCTTGTGGTCTGTAAAAACCGTGATCTCTTGCTCACAAGATTTGAGCATGTGTTCCCATTCCCGGAAAGAGGCTACAATAGCTCTCATTTCCTTATCATGAATGTCATAGTTGATCTCAGCAGGGGAGAACTTCTTAGAATAGAATGCCACCGGATGTAGCTTCCCATCATCCCCATACTGAGAGAGCACCGCTCCCTTGGCAAAATCACTGGCATCTGTCTCGACCACCGTTCTCCTACTAGGGTCAAAATGAAGGAGGATTGGAGCGCTTGTGAACAGCCTCTTGAGTTCTTCAAAGGCCTGCTCATGTGCTGCCGTCCAATACCATTTCTTGTCTTTTTGCAGGAGGTCAGTTAATGGTTTGCAAACTTTACTGAAGCCTTCAATAAAGCGGCGATAGAAGTTTGCAAATCCGAGGAATGCCTGTACTGCCTTGATATTCTCAGGGACCGGCCATTCCTTAACTGCCTCCACCTTGTCTTCTGACATAGAAACTCCTTCTTCCGAGATGTGATAGCCTAGGTATTCTACTTCTCGGACATGGAAGGATGTTTTACTGATCGAGGCACAGAGCTTAGCTTCCCTAAGCTTCTGTAGTACCTTCTTGACCAATAGCTCATGCTCTTTCTCAGTCTCCGAGTAGATGAGGATGTCATCAATATAGACAACTACTCCTTCATCCAGTAGTTCCTTGAGCACATCATTGATCATTGCCTGGAAAGCGGAGGGAGCATTGCATAGACCAAATGGCATCACATTATACTGATACAGTCCATAGCGGGTTCTGAAAGCGGTTTTCCACTCATCACCTTCTGCTATCCTGATCAGATTGAAGCCGTTCTTCAGGTCTATCTTTGTGAAGATCTTGGCCTTGAACAACCTGTCTCTGAGTTCACTCATGATAGGCAGCGGGTACTTGTCTTTGACAGTGACCTTGTTCAATCCTCTGTAGTCCACACAAATCCGCAATGTCCCATCCTTCTTAGGAATGAACAGTATGGGCGCCGCAGCAGGGCTGTTAGATCTAGAGATCTTTCCTGAAGACAATTCTTTGTCCAGGTACTCTCGGAGGGCCTTCAACTCTGGAGCGGAACATAGGTACAGCGGGCCAAATGGGGGAGCGGTGCCAGGCAAGAGTTTGATCTTCAAATCATGGTGGGAATGCGGCGGCATTTCCTCAATTTTCTCCTGACTGAACACATCAGCCCAATCCCGGTATAGGTGGTGTATTTTCTCAGCAATATCACCTCCATCCTCATCATACCATACTGAACCAACCAATTGATAGACTGTCTCTTCTTCTTCCAACATTTGGTATGGAGAGATCAATTCAATCTTGGTGGCCGCTGGGAGACAATTCTGCTTGCAGTAGTCACTCCTCCAGCTCATGGTGTTGAGTTCCCAGTTGATGTCCGGGTTATGCTTCCTAGCCCAACTAATTGGCAGGTAACCGGTCATCCCTTCTTCCAAAGTAGCCACTTCCCATCGGAGTGTCTCCTTATGATCTCCCATAATCATGCGGACTGGGTGAGTGTAATACTCGCCTCCTCCCATCATGACATCTCCTTGAGCATCAAACATTGTCAGAGGTTGATCCCGCCGCACTAAGGGAATTCCATGTTTCCTGACAAAACTCTGGTTGAGGATTGCTCCTGTACAACCGGTGTCAAACAAGAAAGACCCTTGGGCGCCTTCATCCTTTCCTTTGACGATCCATGACAGTCCTGCCTTCAGTATAGGTCTTTTTCCATGTACTGGTAAGGAGGGAAGTCTCTGTTCCAACCTTCTTTGCTTAACAGCGGGTTCTGAACTTGTTTCTCTTTGTCTTTTCAACATAGCTAATAGCTTCGGGCACTACTAAGATCAAAAGATCCTTTGGTTCTATTCCCAAGCGTTAATATAGCAGATGTATTGTGTAGTAGTCTTTTTAGCAGCGGTTTGGAAGTGTCTTATTAGCAAATGTAACTTTGGTAGAGCACTGACAGACCAGCTGTTTCGGGTCTTAAACCCATCCTCAGAGTGCTTGGAGCAATCAAGTAGGCGGAAAACACAATCATAATTTATTCAAGAAAAACACAAAAACCAAGAAACCCATATAAAGGAAAACTAGTAAACATAGACCCAAACAGACACTTTTCTACCAGATGATTTCATTGTCCGAGTCTTGGTCAGGCTGAAAAACAAAATCTTCTGTAACCTCTGGGAGTACAACTAGTGGATCTTCTGCTACTACAGCAGCCACTTTAGCCTTCTTCTGAGAGTTGGACTTGCCATTCCCTCTTTTCCGCTTTTGTACTCTCACTGCTGCCACTCGGACAACAGTAGGTTCCTTGGACCAACAATCGGTCCATTTGTGTCTGGGCTTGCCGCACTATTGCACAAGTCAGTCTATGCACTCTACCAATAGGGAGTACCGGAAGGTTATACCTTCAAGCATACTTCTGCTTTCCTTCTTTCTTCTAGAATATCCCCCGGGATACCCTTCAGTTCCACCGCTTTGTCTTTAGGTCCAGGAGTCTTCTGAGGTCCGGAGGAGCTCGCAGCTTCTCTTTTCCTCTTAGGCTGCTGGTCCTTCTGAGCAGGAGGATCCTTCTTGGTCCGAGGGGACGCTTTCTCGGCTGCCATCCCTTGGTACCTCTCATGTGTGTGCCCTAACTCTCTAAGAGCAGCTATCCGCTCCATCAAGGACTTTGGCTTGGGATTGAAAAGAGCCCAACTCATGCCTAGGTCCGCAAGGAGGGAATTGTTGATCTTATCATCCACCAACTGACCCTCATAGCCAGTCTTCCACATCAGCTGAATAATAGTATTCAGGAAGAGATCTATTCCTCCTCGGGCTGTGTGGGTAAGGGTGTTCCATTGGGCTACAGCATCATCTCGAGAGATGGTTTCACCGAAGGCTGCTCTAAAAGCATCCACAAATGAATCCCAGCGCTTCCATCTCAAATCCAAAGTCACCGGCATTCCAGCAAGGCGGTTGGCGGAGGCTTGATCAATTGAGTTGTGGTATGCCTCATACCATCTGATCGCTGCCTCTCCTTCCATCAAGTTGCCTGCATATCGGATTTTAACCTCCTCAGAGGTAAATGACAGGCTCTCAATGGAGAACACATTCTCACATTGCCGGATGAAGGTCTCCACTTGCTCTGCCTTGCCCTAAAACTTGGAGGGTGGTGGTGCCTTTGGTTCTCGAGCTCTGGTGGAAGTAGAAGGGTGAGAGGTGGCCGGAGGTTGATACTGCTGGGACATAATAGCAAACAAATCTTTCTGTTGTTTCTCCAACTTCTTCTTAAGGTATCTCTGCCAGCCTTTTCTATTACCACCTTCTGGTTCCGAGTCTGAACTATCAGAACTGTCGGAATCACCTGGAGGGGGAGCGCGGGCCGCCGGAGGTGGAGGGTTCTGGTTTCCACCGCTTCCACCCTGCACATCAGCTGGCGGGGGAGCGGCGAACTGAGCAGGAGGGGCCACAGGTGCCACTGGTGCCGGATTGCTGGCCAATGGTGAGGTTGCTGCTGGTTGAGCGGCCCCAGACATGGTGAACCTTCCCGGGTTCCTGGCTAGCGGACTGGGAGGTCCTCGGCCTGCACCTGAGAAGAACTCTCCTTCATAGTCAAAGGATCGGTCAGCTCCTCTAAGGAGTGGGTGTGATCCACCGAAGCGGCTAGGTGGTAAGGGTGAGGCTCCCACCGCTGGCTGTACAATAGGGATAACTCTCCTAGTGGATCTGACCGGAAATGCTGCAAAGGGACTGGTCCTCCGCTGCATTGTCCTGGTAGCTGTTCTGGAAGAGGACCTGGAGACTGGATTTAGTGCCGGAGTTGCTGGTCTGGCCACTACCAGTCTTCCTTCATCAAGGGCTCTCTGTATCTCGGCAACAAAGTCTGGTGGAGTAGCCGGGTTTGTCCACTCAATCTCCATGGCATCGGCATTCAGTTCATCTCTCTCCACATACTTCCGGAGTTCTTCCTGAACAGAGTTGACCTCCATCCTCATGTACTCAAGAGCTTCTGCCATCAGAGCGTTCTGTGCTGCCTGGTGCTCTTGTACAATGAGTAGGGCCTGACTGCCCCGGGTCAACTGATTCTGCAGGCTATGCTGGAGGTAGGTCTGGAGCTCTGTGAAGAACTGTTGGACCGAAATCTCATCGGTATCCTGCCAGGCAGGCTCACAGCCGGGAATGTAGGTCTGTAGAGCGGTCCTGGGCTTCTTGACAAGCTGTGTCTGCCCGGTGGCATCAAGCTGGAGGGGCACCGGCTGCCATTCAATCTGCAGGGGCGCATCCGGAGCGGGGAGGGCGGACATTTTGTATAGAGGAAGAAATAATCTGAAGGTGACTTGAGCCTTAAAGATTATCTGTAACGGGGGTCCTTTCTAAGAGAAATAGAATTGGATAGAATAGAGACGGCCGTGCAAGATAGACAATCAGGTTGCAGATTATTCAAAGATACTATCGCTAGAACTCAATAATCTTTAAGGGCTCTGCTACCGATAAGAACTTGGTTTTCTTTCTCATGAAGACTCGAGAGAACAGGACTGAAGGGCGAGAATGAACCTGAGTACTTATACTCCGAAGGTCTCTGTTCTCTGCTCCTAACTCCTTTACTAAGTTCCGGTGGTCCTTCCCTCAGTACCGGAAACAATACCACCGCTACCCCGCTTTTCTCTAAGCGTCAGCAGGTGTTTCCGATACCCAAGGCAACCACCCTTAGTCAAAGCCTTTGTAACACCTGCAGTCTTGGTTGCCACACAACCGAGGACCTGCATGAATGAGCGGCCGCTCAGGTGTAAGCTTAATCATTGCTGTAGAGCTTTCGCTTATTGTAGACTTCCCTAGCATAGTCCCTGTCCTTCGGCGGACTTACAATGCTCAGAGGATACAGTGGATCACCGGACAATCAGAGCTTCACTCTGGCCGGTCTTCTAGACACTGGCGAGGCATAGACTCGTCAGTCATTGCTCCCATGAATAGATCCCCTTCCTAGCGCCCGGAATGTAGTTACTCTAACAGCTGGTAGCTAACCACACTGCCGGTACTTGCATATCACCATGCAACTGGCTTCTAACAATAACTCTCAGCATGTAACCGGGCCCTGTGTGTACTCATACACCAGACAGTTGAAATGGCTCCGTTACAATTACTATATAATATTATTTCCTCTTCTTTACTCAAGAAGACCACCGTGCCACTGCTTCCCTTATCCTGTTGACCCTTACCAACGCTCGAATCTCTCAGGACCCCTATTGCAGCCTCCCCCACCGACCTCTACTACCTCCTTTGTACCCTGCGGAGTACTCGTTACTCACCCCCTTGAGATTACGTTGCATCGTCATCCATACCGTACAACATGTCCACCCCCGACCCACCTACATGGGTCCCACCCAATGATATAGAAAAATTTAAGCGGCAGTATGAGAACAATGCTGCTGCCTTATTCACCACATCACTGTCCTCATCCAACATATCCACCACGAGAGGGAAATCGCTCGTACACAACTCGCCACCGCCCGCAAAACCATCGACATGCTTGAAGAGCAGGTAGCCCAGATCAACCTCGATCTCAATGTCACTCGCGCTGCCCCCACCTCCACCGTCCCTGTCCCCATTGTCGCTGCTCCCCCACCTACTACCGTCTCCACCTTCAGGTTCGAAAAGTTTTCAGATCCTGAAAAATTTGATGGCACCCATACCAAGCTCCCCGGATTCACCATCCAACTCTGAATGAAACTTGAGGTCAACCATGATCGGTTCCGCAATGAGGCAGCAAAAGTTATATATGCCGTTAGCCGTTTGGCAGAAAGGGTCCCCGATCAGGTCATTCCACTCATTAATGGTAAGTCTGCTGCTCCCTTTGACTCCATCACCACCTTCATTGCCCACCTGAAAGCCTCGTTTGGAGACCTAGATCCCCGGGGTACCACTCGCGGCCAACTCGTCACCCTGAAGCAAGGCAAAAGAGACTTCGCCACCTATTACTCACAGTTCCTCTGTATTGTAACCTACTTAAACTACAACAAAGGAGCCAAGATTGACGTCCTGGCTGAAGGACTATCGGAAGATCTGAAGGACACCATGACATACTGGATAGACAGGACTAACATTATAGAAGCATACGCGACTATATTCATGACAATCGACAACCAGATTCGGAGCCGTAAGGCTAAACAACGGGCCATCCGTAACACGATGGGACAATTTACTGCCCGCGCCGCTGTTGCACACCCATCCCATACTGCCGGAGATCTCCCCCCAATGGATCTCTCCGTCCTCCAAACCTGTTCTGCTCAATGCCCTGCCGACGAACAACAATACACATTCGTCAATGGACAACGCAAGACCTCCACCACTGACCCCGCTATACCGCCGATTGCTAGTTCCGCCTCCTCCGATCGCTAGTTCCACCTCCTCCGATCGCTAGTTCCGCCTCCTCCGATCGGTAGTTCCACCTCCTCCGATCGCTAGTTCCACCTCCTCCGATCGCTAGTTCCTCCTCCTCCGATCGCTAGTTCCGCCTCCTCCGATCGCTAGTTCCGCCTCCTCCGATCGCTAGTTCGGCCTCCTCCGAGTCCGGTTTTCAGTAGTCCCAGGCCTGATCAATGGCTCCAGCCTGGGACCTCCTAATGTTTCTCCTTTGTATGTGTTTTCTATCTCTGGCTTCTCAGTACCTATCATCTGTGGAGGATAAATTGGATGGGGATCATTTTGTTGCTTGTTGTAAAATTGTAAACAATAAAATATCAATTCAAACCCACGCATTGATTGATACCGGTTCCTCCGGGTTCGCATTCATTGATGAAACATTCGTGCACCACAACAACATCTCATTACTCTCCCTGAAATCGCCCCGCACTCTTGATGTCATCGACGGACGGCCCATATCTTCCGCACAGATCACCCACTTGTGCTACATGCCACTGTCAATTGACTCCCACCATGAAACTATCCCCTTCTTTGTCACCAAACTCGGCTCCTACCCACTCGTACTCGGGATCCCTTGTCTTCAACTACACGATGCCACACTGCGGTTTAAAGACATTAGCATACTATTCGACTCCTAATACTGCAAGTGCAAGTGCAACTCCTCCATAAAACCCATTCCTATTAAAGGAATTGCACCACCAGCCCGCTTCCACCTCATCATTTCAGCTATCCTATGCCGCTTTGCTAGAAGAGACAAACTCCAAATCTTCAGTACAACTATAGAAGAAATCAACCAAGCCATGGGCAAGGCCCCCAAGGAAGACTGGAGAAACTGAGTCCCAATCCGGTACAAGAGGTTTCATAAGATGATGGACGAGAAGTTTGCTAATGAAATGCCAACACGCCATGCCTATGACCACAAGATACCGCACAAGGAAGGAAAAAAAACCCCGTTCGGACTCACTTTATAGTATGTCTCGTGAGTAACTCATCGTGCTCAAGCAATATATACAGGATAACCTTGAAAAGGGGTTCATACAGGTCAGCTCTTCCCCTGCTAATGCTCCCGTCCTATTCATTAAAAAGGTCCATGGAATACTCCGTCTTTGCGTCGATTATTATGTGTCATGGCCCAACCGCCCCCACCTGCTCTGCCGATGAGAAGGCTACGGAATCGGATTGTTAGGTGAAGGATTAGGATGGCTTCGGTTAGATTAGATATGTTGTGAAGGTGTTCGGAGGATACAGTAAGCGTTAGGCGCTTCGGGTTAGGTCGTAAGGAAAAGGATCGGGATCGGTTGTGGCATGTTATTATATTTGTTTGATATTTCTTTAAGTATGTTGGCGAGGATTAGTTATTAGGTTATTCTTTGGGGTTTATATTTGAGGCTTCGTTTCTGTTATTTGTAATTTCCTTCTTTCTTCTTTACGCAACGTTTTCATTTTGTTTGATAGTAAAATTTTATTCTGTTTCAATCGGTATTCAGGCCAGTCCCCTGTCCTGATCCTAGAACGTATCCAAGTCGATTCTTGCCTCGGTACCTGCCCATGTCCTTGGTATAGAACCCCGCCCCGTTAGATCACGGCCTTAATGAACCTACCGTAAAAAACCGCTATCCGCTGCTGCTTATCTGGGAAACTCTCGACCGAGTCTCCAAAGCCAAGTGGTATACTAAACTCGACATTCACCAAGGGTATAAGCTGATCTGAATAGCTGAGGGTGAGGAATGGAAAACAACCTTTCGTAAGCATTCCAAGCATTTCGAATATACTGTAATGCCTTTCGGCCTCACCAACGTGCCAACCACCTTCCAACATTTTATCAACGATTGTGTCCGTGACTACCTCGACATGTTCTGTACGGCTTACCTTGACGATATTCTCATCTATATTGACACCCTCGAAGAACATCAGGTACATGTCGAAAAAGTCCTGTAAGCCCTACAAAGAAACGGAGTACTGCTGAAACCAGAGAAATGCGAGTTTCATACACATAGTACCACCTACCTCGCCCTCATTATCGAAACCAAGGGCATTAAAATGGATCCAAAGAAAGTGGATACAGTGAAATACTGTACCGTCCTCAAAACAGTTAAGGATTTGCAAGCATTCCTAGGGCTCGCCAACATTTACTGCCGAGTCATATGTGGGTTCTCGGAACTGGCTTCTCCCCTTACCAGACTGACATGCAAGGATATATTGTTTGAATGGACATCCGAAGCCCAAGATACATTCAATGCCCTGAAGAAAGCCTTTACAACCGCTCTTATCCTCGCCAATTTTGACCCCAAGAAGGAAATTTCTGTGGAAACCGATGAATCTGACTACGTATCTGTCGATGTACTGTCCCAATACGATGATAATAGTACCCTTCAACCCGTCGCATACTTCTTAAAGAAGCACTCCCCTGCCGAATAAAACTGCAAGATTTATGACAAAGAATTACTGGCGATCATTCGATACTTTGAAAAGTGGCGACCGGAACTTGAAGGGGCTGCATACTCAATCGCCATCATATCCGATCATAAGAATCTCAAATACATTATGAGTACTAAACAACTCAACTAGAGACAAGCACGCTGGATGGAATACTTCTCACAGTTCAATTCTGTCATTAAGTAAAGTCTAGGGAAACAAGGAGGAAAACCGGACGCATTGACAAGGAGGTCAGAAGATCTCCCTAGAGAGGGGGATGAAAGGCAATTACATCAGAGTCAAGTCATATTGAAAAAGGAGAATCTTGAAGCAAAGCTAAGTTTATTGGTGGGTTCTTTGTCAAATGAACCCGCTGAAAAGAACGCCTCACTGAGTACACTATTTGATGAAGGATATAATGTTGACCCATTGCCACAAAGAATACTGGACATGCGGAACAAAGATGAATCACAATCAAAGGATATATTACTCGCTGAGTGCACTACGGTTGAAGGCCGATTGCTCTACCGAGATAGCATATATGTACTCTTGAAATAGTACGCTCAGCACATTTCATAGTATTGGAGGATTCTTATTTGTTATTATAAGTCACGGGTTTTTGACTCATTCTTTCCTTGGTATTTATTAGTCATGTATTTCTATTACTTATACGGTTATGATTCATTATGTTTTGTGTTACCTTTCTTTAGTATAAATATAGGGTATTTCCCCCTCTCTAGTTAGTTTGAATAACACGCTCAATTGCTACACTTCTCTACATACATTTCTCTAGGTTATCAGCCCGGAGACCATCTACGCTTAAAAAACACTCTAAACCATTTTTACTATCAAAGTACACTCTATCGTTTCACTTTAAACATGTCAAACAACAGCATAAAAATTCCTGCTTTACCATACATGCTGTCTGGCCAAGGCCACTTCACTGTTTGGAGGGACCTCGCTTGTCGCATGTTAAAAGTTTACGATTTGTGGAATCTAGTCAATGGTATGAGTAAGCGTCCTGCATTCACCACTACGGTTACAGCGGCACCACCTGCAGAACAACCAGCAGAAGGTGCAGCAGCAGCAACACCAGCAGAAGAGGACGAAGAAGAAACCACAGACAACGCCGAAGAAATTAGTGAATGGGATAAGAAAGATAACCTCGCGGTCGTCTTCCTTCAATCCAACATCGAATTTGAAGTCATCCTCACACTCACTCCGGCCGATACCGCTCACCACCTCTGGACTCAACTCGAGGACAGATTTGATCGGAAAACTGTATCTTCCCTCCACTCGCTTCATGCCAACGTTGTAACCCTACAGTATACGCCTGACAAAGGCATCAAGGAACATCTAACCCAGTTCAATACTCTTTGGTCATCCCTCCTCACTAGAACTAGTAACTCTACGGACAAAACTAAAGACCCACTCGGTTACCACCTCCACCAACTCGCATCAGTCTCAGAAGTGAAAGCATCCTTCCTACTTCTCTCACTCCGGCACGAATCCCTCAAATCAGTCGTTGACAACCTGCAAACTAAGCCCAATATCACCTTCGATGACGTCTATGAAAAGCAGTTGGATCTGGACTCACGGCGCAACAACGATGGACAAGCGACTGGAGAAGCCTACAACATCAGGCGAGGAAACCCAGGACACGGAAACAACAAAGTTGGTAAGGCACGGAACAACAAAAAGGACAAAAAGGATCTTACATGCACATGATGCACCAAGAACGGCGAATTTGCAAAAGGCCACATGCACAAAGACTGCCAGAAACTCAAAGCTTTCAGAGACAAAGAGAAGTCCGCTGCATCTGGCAATCTCAACGTCGCGTCCGGTACTGCATTTCACACAAAACTAGATCTTTCTTGGATTCCTGACCTCTCTGACCTCCCCGTACTCGAAGAAGCTGATGTATTTACTATGCCGGTTTCCTTCGACTTTACCACTTTCTCAGATACCTCGGATGTAACAATGGAAGACTACTTTAGCTTCGTTGAAGGACCTTCCACATCTGACAACAAGGCATGGATCTTTGACCCTGGTGCAACTAATCACATGACCGCAACTCAGGTTACCAACCCCTCACCTCACAGTGGAACAGTCACTGTTGGCGGCGGGCGAAAGCTACAGATAACCGGAATTAGAAATGTTACCATCAACAGATTACATGACCCTATCACTCTGCAGAATGTATTCTTAATCCCAGAACTCGGCAACACCAACCTAATGTCTTGGTCATGTATTGCCAAAAAAGGATTCACAATGACAGGGACTGAAAACGGCTTTACCATTTACAAACCAAACAGCAAGGAAATCATTGGGATCGCTAACGCAAATAGTACTGGTCTTTATATCTTTGAAACCAAGGAATTTTGCGCACATATCTCCATCGCTACCAGCTTCTATGACTGGCACCAACGACTCGAACATCTCCCCGCTTCCTCACTCTCACGGTTACGTAACATGGTCGCCGACCCAAAGTCTCTCCCCACAACAGGTTACATGGAAACATGCAACACATGCGAACTCGCTAAATCCACCAAATCACACCTCGCTCCCCTTACCGAACCACGATCCAAAGAACCACTAGAACTAATCCACTCAGATCTGAGCGGCAAGTTTTCCGCTCCTTCTCTTGGCGGTTTTAGTTACTATATTACTTTCATCGACGATTACTCCAGGTACACTCACCTCTACTTCCTTAAAAAGAAGTCAGATGCAGCAGCTGTCACACAACGGTACATCGCATACATGGAAAATCAATTGGACAAAACGGTTAAACGGTTCCGAAGCGACAATGGTGGCGAGTACATCTCCAATGACCTTCAACAATTCTTTGCCTCTAAAGGCATAAAGCATGAATTCACTGTACCCTACTCTCATGAGTCAAACGGAATAGCAGAACGCTTTAACAGAACAATAGCAACAATGGCACAATCTACCTTGCTCGACCACGATCTTCCATGGAATCTATGGGCAGAAGCAATCAATACAATGGTACACGTCAAGAATCGCCTCCCGCATAAAGCACTCCCGAACATGACACCATATGAAGCACTCACCGGCAAGAAACCCTTCATTGGGTATCTCCGATCCTTCGGTGAAACAATGTTCATTCACATACCTGTCGAAGCACGACCAGCTGGAACAAAGTTGGATGCTAGGGCAATTACAGGACAATTCTGTGGCTATGGAGACTCTGATAAAATCTGCCGTGTTTATATACCATCACAAAGGAAAGTAGTTCTCTCTCCTCATTTTAGGTTTAAAGGTCCGTCGATAGGGGAAGAAATCGAAACAATGAGAACCGACACACCCCCTAAACCAAAACAAATCGAGATCAAACAAGAACCTCTCTCACGTCCACCAACACCACCTGCAAAACTCTCAGGTTCCGATATCGAAGACTTGTTCAACCAACAAATGCTTCGAGAAACCATGGAACAAATTTCCAACGATGAATCAGAAGAAGAAGAAGAAGAAGAAGCCGCTCGTGAATGTACCCCGCATAATGATGTTGACACAAATACTGATCAACCGAGACGTAACCCACCACGAGAACGGAAACCTCCGGTCAGATACGGATACAATATTCAGCATGATACCACCATTGCAGAACCAACAAACTATCACCACGCGATCAATAGTCCTGACTCCGAAAAATGGCAAAAGGCTATGGAAGTTGAACTCGACTCACTCGCTAGGAATAATACATGGAATCTGGTTGACACACCAGATCACCGAAAATTGGTAGACTGCAAATGGGTATATAAAATCAAACTCTATCACGGGGACTATAGGCGATAGACTGTGGTGCCAAGGAATACAACCTAGGTAGTGACGTGGACGTGGACGTAGACGTAAAGGTATACTTTGACTATGGACTATGGGGTGGCTCTACCTGGTATGATAAACCGGTTGGAGCCCTATGACGTAGTGCGGACAAAGAATAGTATTCGTGGAATAAATACAGAGGTTGCGTAAAGAGGAAAGGAAAGAAAAGAAAACAGAAGAAAGCTGAAACAACACCCCTTTATATATCCAAACCTCAACCCACGATGACTCATCTTCTCGCGTAACAGAAACAGAAAGAACATAATAGAAACTCGCTTAACAAATCCCACACATACTACACAATCCCTCCTTTACATACTCTGACACTTCATATAGCCGAAACGTATAACTGCCGTTACAAACTCGGGCCCGATGGCAACCCCATTCGGTACAAAGCCCGACTTGTCGCAAAAGGTTTCTCACAGGTACCTGGTCAAGACTTTAATCAGACTTATGCCCCCGTCACCCGATATGAATCCATCAGACTACTCCTTGCTCGCTGCCTTCAAACCGGTGGCCAATGCGACCAGATGGACGTTACCAGCGCTTTCCTATACGGCGAACTCCAGGAAGAAATCTACATGAAATCTCCACCTGGCTACCCTACTCCTGGCAAAGCATGCAGGCTTATCAAATGCATCTACGGCCTTAAACAATCGTCTCGGGAATGGTATGCTCGTCTCTCCAAAACGCTAATCAAAATGAGATTCAGAAAAGCGGACTTCGACCCTTGTGCTTTTATTCACAAAACAGGGGAAGTTGTCATCGCTATCTACGTGGATGATATTCTCATCTTCTATTGGTCCGTTGAACGCAAAAACCGCGTCAGCCTCCAACTCCACGCAGAATTCGAAATGACGGAAACTGGTACAGCCAACTGGGCACTCGGTTTCCACTTGATCTACACTAAGACTGGCGTGATCCTATCACAGGAAGCCTATCTCAAGCGTGTACTCATCAAATACGGTTTCGATGAATCTAGACCCATGGCAACACCTATCGACAACAATGTTCACCTACAAAAGGGAACAGAAGCGGAGAAAATCGACGATCTAACTATCTATCAGTCGATAATCGGTTCATTAATGTATGCAGTAATCGGTACCAGACCGGACCTCGCCTACACCGTCACCATGCTCTCGCAATTTTCCTCCTGCCATACTAAAGCTCACCTGGCTGCAGTCAATCGCGTCCTTCGTTACCTCAAGGGTACCATCGATTGGTCACTCTTCTACGCAAAAACGCCACTCACTGCACTCATCGGCTTCAGTGACGCAAGCTATGCCTCTGACATCGACGATCGCCGCTCATTCACTGGCCACTGCTTTATGCTAGAGGAAGCTCTCATCTCCTGGCGCTCTTATAAGCAGCGCTCCATCGCCACCTCTACTACTGAGGCAGAATACATGGCTCTCTCGGATACTAGTCGACAACTGATCTGGTTAAGAAATGCGATACATGAGTTGGAACGGAAACCGAAACTTTCTTTTATTATTCGTGGCGATAATAATGGTTCTTTATCCTTGGTTAAGAATCCTGTCTTTCATAAAAGGTCTAAACTTATTGATGTGCATTTTCATTTTGTTCGGGAACGATACGAGGATAAATTGTTTGAGTTGGAATATATCTCTACAAACGAAAACGTGGCAGATTTACTTACAAAAGGATTGGATAAGGGCAAGCATGTTTTATTTTCTTCTACTATTCACTGTGGTTCACGAGGGGAAGTCTTGAAATAGTACGCTCAGCACATTTCATAGTATTGGAGGATTCTTATTTGTTATTATGAGTCACGGGTTTTTGACTCATTCTTTCCTTGGTATTTATTAGTCATGTATTTCTATTACTTATACGGTTATGATTCATTATGTTTTGTGTTACCTTTCTTTAGTATAAATATGGGGTATTTCCCCCTCTCTAGTTAGTTTGAATAACACGCTCAATTACTACACTTCTCTACATACATTTCTCTATGTACCTGACTACGACCCTCTTAAACTACGGATCCTCAAACTGTACTACAACGCTATATCCGCTGGACACCCTGGACGTGAAAAAACATTTGAACTCATTAGTCAAGACTACTACTGGCCCTTTATACGCAATTATCTTGCCCGCTATGTTCGAGATTTTCACACCTGTTAACGAAGTAAATCCAACACCCATGAAAAACTCAGTGTACTTCGATCTTTACTGATCCCCGAACAACCATGACAAGAGGTATCAATGAACTTCATTACTGGCCTACTGGAGAGTGAAGGGTACGATACAATCATGGCAATTGTTGACCGGTTAACAAAGATGCGACATCTTACACCCTACAATACCACCGTCAACTCTGAGAACTTCACACAGTTATACCTGCGAAATATATAGAAACTTTGCGGTCTACCCACACATGTCACCTCCGACCGCGGCACGCAATTTACAGCCAAATTCTGGAAAGCTCTCTGTAAATACCTCAGCATTGAAGCAAGAATGTCAACCGCTTTCCAACCGGAGACTGACGGTCAAACTGAAAGACTGAAAGCCGTAATGGAACAATACCTACATGGATACGTCTCATACCAACAGGATGATTGGGTAAAATAGCTCCATATGGCAGAATTCTCCATCAACAACTAGGTTTCCACATCCACTAAAGCTACACCATTCTTCGCGAACTATGGCTTCCACCCTCGGTTTACAGTAACGATTAAACCACTTGACAGGACCCAACTGAGCCTCAATGCTAGAGACTTCGCTTCAATGAAAGAGCTCTATGACCACCTACGTTCCAACACCCGCACAGCGCAAGACCAACAAGAACAAGCCGTTAATACCAAACAAATGCCGACCAGCGCTACGATGTCAACAATATGGTGTTTGTTTCAGCAAAAAATATCCGAACCACTGGTAACTCTCGAAAGTTAGATTGGAAGAAGCTGGAACCATTCCCTGTCAAAGAAATTATATCACCATATGCGTACCAAATCGACCTGCCCAGGAGCATGAAAATGCATCCAGTCTCCCATGTATCGCTGCTAGACTCCGCTGCGAATGATCCCATTCCTAGGCAAATCCAACCACCACTCTCATCTATCATCGTTGAACAGGAAGAGGAGTATGCGGTCGAAGAAGTCCTGAACTTACGGGAAACAAAAAATAACAGCATGCAATTTTTTGTTAAATAGACAAGCTACACCGACCCCACCTGAGAAGCCACCACATACGATGACAATACCACCACCGTTGATATTTTCCATACACGTTACCCCGATAAACCTGGACTGTTGGAAGAAAAGTTAAGGTTAAGGCTCGCAGGAGCTCGGTCTTGAAGGAAGTAGCTACTTTCATGGATCGATTAGTTAATACATTGGGTTACGAGGAGTTGGATTGGTCAGAAACATTCTATTGAGTTCTATCGGGTTCTGTCGGTCGCAAGGGTATGAGTCACTTTCGATTTGTTATCGCTGAGATTTCCTTGTGTATATTAGGAGGTTTTTGTCCTCGGTTCTGTTTTTATTTTATTTTTTCTTTTGATACTCAATGTCTTCTATACCTACGCTATCTATTACTATATAATATTATCTCCTCTTCTTTCCTCAAGAAGACCACCGCACTACCAATTCCCTTGTCCTGTTAAACCTTTACCAATGTTAGAGTCCCTCAGGACCCCTATTGCAGGCTCCCCCCACAGATCCCCACTAAATTCTTCGTACCTTACAGAATACTCGCTACGTGTCCCCTTGAGAGACACCCTAGTATATCAAAATAGAACCATTGGGGAAAGCTTTTCATGAGGCCTCTCAAAATTACTTCCTACCAGTTGCAAAAGTGTCCATTGATGAAATGATGATTCAATTTACCAGTCGATCTGTTCATAACGTAAAGATAAAGAGTTAGCCAATCAAGCAAAGATATAAACTTTTTGCTCTCTATTGGTATGAGTTTACATATTCTTTTCTTTACTATTCCAGGCTTAAGAAAATAGATGGGGTTAAGAAGCTGCTTGATTACTCGTTAACTTCCTCTGCGGTAATTCAACTTGCAAAGATACAACCTTACATTGAGTACCGTTTCAATATTTACATAGATAATCATTTTACCAACATACCTCTTCTCTCTTATTTACGATCTCTGGGTATCGGTGAGTGTCGAACTACTCGACCCGGTTCAAAATCATTTCCTTCTGTGTTTTGCCAGAAAGAAAAAAGGGAAAGGTATAAGACTCATCTGGAATACTTTGGAAGGAGAGATAGTTGATGATGTTTTTGTACTTATTTGGATGGATAATAATTATGTTCTTCTTCTTACTACTATCCACTGTGTTAGAGATTTGAATAATTATGTATTGGCTATCAGATGAAGACTTGGGGAATCAAGTACAAATGCTAAGATTGTGAGGCCTATATTCGGAGACAAAACTACCTGTTCACTACTTATTCCTATTATTATCAATATGTACAATTTCTTTATGGGGGCGTAGATATTGCTGATCAGAGACGGAGTTACTGGCCTACCCAGTTGATTGTGTCACGCAATTGGTTAACTTTGGTTTTTTGGTGTCTCGATACAATTATTATCAACGCTTTCCTTCTGTATCGGATCACTAATGTACAAGCAGGAGAGCTCGCAAAAACCTACTAGACCATCGGCAGTTTAGGGAAACGCTTTACCAACAACTCCTCGAAGCTAGTTCTTCCCCAGCAGCGGGTTCTTCCTCAGCAGCGGGTTCTTCCTCAGCAGCGGGTGTTGCTCAAAGCCTATCCAGGCGCAAAGTCAAAGAGTTACCTAAGATCAGATTAGAACCCGGAGATCATCAAAAGATCAAGCTACCTACTGATATAGGAAAGCGAGCCTACTGTGTTTACTGTCTATGGGTTCGTCAAAAGGCAAAGGAGTCCGGGAATCTGAGAGAATTTGGTACTCCTATTAGCGGGAACAAAGGAAAGCGGGCTGCGAACGGATTTGGTAAAAGAGCAAAACAGGCCCGGACATATTGTACACTTTGTAAAACCTCTATATGCGATGCTTTCTTTGATTTGTATCATAGGGAATAGTACAGCGCATGGTCGATTACCAGTGCCATAGTCATTGACATGTCGTTGCCAAACTACCTGAGACATCCGCCGAGCCCTTCTGGGTATTTCGGTCCCCAAGGAAAATGGTCAGCCTGCCAGACGAAGGGATAAGGGTACCCCCTATAAGAATAATCGCCCTATAAGGAGTGCGGTGTAGGGGCCCATTTGTTTTGTATAGTAAATTAAGGGTAAAGCGCTGTATTCTTGCTATAAGAATACCCTTATGACTTTGAGATTGTTTTTGGTGCTGTACCCTTGTAGAGAAATGAGGGTAAGGGGTTATTTTGGTGAAAATGGTCTGCTACAGAGGGCAAAATCCAACTCCCGTACGCAAAACACTGTGTTATATCATATCCGTTAAGTTTATAGGTTACATCCTACCCAACAGGCAGACTATTTTACCCCCAGAACTCTCGAAAATCTCGAAAACCGACCTAAGCCCGAACATAAACCCTAACCCTTATAAACCTATAAGGGTACCTGTCCTATAAGGGTACCATCTTACGGTGCCATCGTACCCTTATAGGGAGATCCGACTATAATACAATTAATTCAAATCCTGCTTACACCTCTTGATAACCTCCCTCTGGGTGACCAGATATCATTCGATAGGTGTTTGGTGGATCAGCTACTGTCTTAGACCAAACTGGAACGTTTCAAGATGTCCAATACCATCGACGTCACGGTAGTAGAACATACGCATCCGAATCAGAGACATTTGGAGATCGAAGTATTGAGCTTGCTTAGATGTGAGAGCTCACTCGAGCATAGGTTCAGTTAATGTCACAGGGCCCCTAGAGTACTGAGACTTGCTTGTGGTGCTTTGGAGTTTGGAAGGTCTCCTTCTGTATAAGATGGGTTGCGAGGCATCTTAAATTAATGAGTTGTCAATAGCGGGGAGGTCTCAGAAGACGTACACTTCATAGTCCCTTCACATTCCACCTGAATATTACTGATCCCCGGGCCCAGGTCAAGCAATCCAGAGCCTATATTTTTAGTCTCCTTATCACCCTCGGGTGCGGCGTAAAAGCTTCCCACAATCTCCATCCTTTTCGAAATTGGGTAGCGGCATTTGATCAGTTTAATCCTCGTCTCATAGTCCATCAACGGCAAATGTAAAATACTGAATATCCCGGCCCCATGAAAAGCGCGTAGCTTGGACACCGTAGACAGGGTGGATTCCTTTTTTGGCTTCGATTTTGAGAACAGAGCTTCGTGGTATTAGCGCGGCGAAGAACAGAGAGGGGGATGGCGGTTCGGAAAGAGTCGTGACCGGATATGCTATCATCTGTTATCACTGGCCGTGAGAAATCTTGATGTATGAAGGATGAAGAGCATACGCTAAAGGGGAGATTTTGAACGAACTCTTCTCGCAAGTCAAGCTTTAGGTACCCCAAACAAGTGCTTTCCTTGGCCATCGTAGTATTCCACCCCGAAATAGGCTTGTTGACCCATCGACGGACGTATCGTTCTCCAAAATCTCGAATCAGATCGTTTCCAGCCTTTTCATGCCCGTACCACCGGCGATGCAGAATGATATCTCGAAATTCGGCACCACCGCAATTAGGACCCTCGATTTCAGATGAAGATCGTAGAGTGTTCCAGCGGAGCGATGATGAGCTTTCGTAGGTACCTACATACATGTAGATACCCACCTACTCTAGATACATGTACCCAATATCTACTCTATCTGAGATAACACACCCCGCCTTCCACACACACATCATGCATGCTGATCGTTTTCCTGTTTCTCGTTCTGCCTCTCTTTTACGTAACCCAGATGGACCTATATCCGCTGCGCCTGTGTATGGAGAGTTTGCGGACCACTAAATGTGCATAGCTGCACCCAAGCTCCCGGTCCGGGCAGCATCCTGTCCGGGCGGAGACCGTCCAGTTAGAGTAGAGTAGCCGCAGGGCGGGAAAAGTGACACCGTGACAAGGCGCTAAACGAGACATGTATGGCCGTCTCGATTCCCGGGCCGGGTTTAAGGTTTTTTGCTCGCTCATGTGTAAAAGCACAAATAGATACTCTACCTACATGTAGGAACCTATTGGTTATGCTCTTATTAACCTCGAGTCTCGGGGGTCGCCCCGCATGCTAGCCTATGTATCGAGAGTGGGTGGGTGAAAAGAATATTGATAGGGCGGTGATCAAGTTGGCAGCAATCGAGTGGACAGTTTGAGATCGAGATGGTTTTTGTTGTTCTACTCGTAGTGAGCTAACGTTTGTGGACGCGACTGATATTGCATGCCATACAAAAAATACGCCAAGCTCATGATTTTGGGTGTATGCAATAATGGCCCGGTTTAAAAACGTCAGCTCCCTACGAGTAGTGGGTACATATGTACCTGTACCGTACATGCTCTGGAGTATGTATTCGGGGCAGGCAATAAGAACCTGAAAATGCAAGCTGCAAGCAGGGGCTCAATTTGGTGTAGCTTTTCGCCAGCTGCGAATCAGAGGTCGTTACCATAAAAAGCCATTTTCAGGTTCTTCTTGCCTGCCCCGAGTACATCTCTTCCTTGCTGTCATGTAGGTACTCTTGACTCTTAAGAGGACACTTCGGGCTCCGTGTAATGTGCCACATCGCATACGGTCCGTGCAGGGCAGAAGGGTCCCAAGACACTTGTAACACAGCATGCATGTACTCTACCTACATGTACATACATGTACTCTAGGTACTCTACATACTCTACTCTACCCACCGGTGCACCATGATCTTGAAGAACAAGAACCCATGCATGTACAACACCAAAGAGACCGGTCGACCGGTAGTGCCGCACATCAGAATTAAGCTTCAATACCTACTAGAGGTATCTACACTTTTCTGCATACCTATGTATTCCTACGTAGGGAGAGAGCTTTTGTTCAGGTGCCATGGGGTCGGACTGTCAGACAGCAATATCACCAATCACATCCTCCACCCCAATTACTACACGAATAAACTACATGTACTGCTTTCTTTCTCTCATGACATTGTACAAATGAAATACATTCGAAAGTGTAATCTAAAGAAGGGAAAAAAAAATCTAACTATATGTGGGAAATCGGTAGAAAGACATTCCGGTCCAGCCAAATCCTTCTCTCCATCAATCATCCCTACAGCCGTGTCGTTAAGTGTAGGGCTCAAATCTACCCAGAGTGCAATAAACAAATAACCGCCCAGAAAAAAAAACAGTACCCACCCAGTTAACCATAAAATCCTATCTTTCACACCCTTAGTTTCATAATATTTACAATAATGCCTGTCATTAGGGCGTACCGTTAGCACACTCAATTCCAAAGGTTGTTGTTGAACACAGGGATGGAAAACATATAGGTTATTCCACTTACATGAAATTGCTTCATGAGTTCCCTACTTTACTAGAAGTCCTCGAGGCATCCCGCCGCAATCCCCCAGACATCGACATACTTCCCCTATGCCCTCGGCCATCATCAGGTACTGGCATCTCCGGCTTTATACCCAATGCACTCCCTGATGTCGATGCCCTCTTTTGCTGGGTCAAAGCCTCGGGCTCCCCTTGTAAATCTCCAGAAGTCCCTGACGATTTCTCTCGCTTCATTCCCATCTTCACTCTCATTCCTATCCGGTGTCTTCTGCCATCGAGGGCTCCCCCCGGCAACAATTGTCCTCTCTCAATCTGCATGGTGGGAGGATTTTCGATCTCCTCGATTCCCTCCTTCGTGGGATGTTCATCGACCGTTATAGGTATAGTATCGAGAATGGCTCCTTTCTCGATAAGCAGCTGAGCAATATCCGCGAACCCACGTTCTTTCGCGATTTGGAGAGCTGTACGACGATCACTTGTTGACGGAGTGTTGACATTTGCTCCCATATGCAGTAATATCTTGACGATACCCATATGACCTCCTTCAACACAAGCTGTCAATGCTGTCTGCCCATCATATGTTGCCGGCATGGCGTCCACATCTGCCTTATTTTCCAGTAGGAAGTTAAAAATCTCCATGTTTCCCTTCTCTGAAGCAATCTGTAAGGCTGTTCGTCCCCCCATCTCTGCTGCCGCGGCATTGATGGCAGCCCCTTTGTCTATTAGCAGTTGTATGATGCCCATGTAACCGCCTTTTACAGCGGCTTGCAAAGCTGTTAATCCACCCTTTGCTGCTGGCGCTGCATTGATATCTGCTCCCTTTTCTAGCAGCAATTGTACAATCGCAAGATGCCCTTCTATTGCACTAGCCTGCAATGCTGTGAGCCCGTATGCTGCCGGCGCGGCGTTTACATTGGCCTTCTTCTCGATCAACAATTTGACTAGTTTTTGATCTCCACATTTTGCTGCGATTTGGAGTGCGGTGAACCCTTTCTCATCTGCCGGCGCCGCGTGCACGTTTGCACCGTTACTGATCAATAGATCAACAGTCTCCCTATTCCCTCCTTCAATAGCCGCTTGTAACGCTGTACGCCCGTTGTTTGCTGAAGGTACTTCGTTAACCTCAGCACCCTCCCTAATCAAGAGCTCAACAGTTGCTTTGTATCCCCCTTCTGCGGCCGCCTGGAGCGCCGTCCGACCATTTACTATCGCCGATGCTGCGTTGACGTCTGCTCCCTCATTGATCAACTGCATCACCAGTCTTGTCTTTCCACTCCCTGCAGCAATTTGTAATGCAGTACGACCGTTTCGTGGTGCTGGTGCGGCGTTAATCTCGGCCTTCTTGCTGATCAATAGCTCGATCGTTTCAATATTTCCACCTTCCACTGCTGCCTGGAGAGCGGTCCGTCCGCCGTTGGTTGCTGGTAAGTCGTTGACAACACTGATGGTAGCTCCCTCCTTAATCAAAAACTCAATTATCTCATTGTGCCCGCCTTCCGCGGCTGCCTGGATTGCTGTGCGGCCCCCTTCTAGCGCGGCTGGTGTGTTTACCTTCGCTCCTTTTTGTATCAGTATTTGCATTGTTTCTTTCTGTGCTTTCCCGGCCGCCATTTGAAGTGCTGTACGTCCGTTTACTCCGATCTGATCTATATCGGCTTCCTGTTTTATCAAGAGGGATATAATGTCCTCCTGTTTCTTCATGGCTGCTAATAGAAGGGCGTCCGGTAGGTCGTAGGAATTTTCGTTTTTCTCCATCAGTAACTTAACAATCCCACGATGTCCTTTTTCTATGGCTGCCATAAATGCTGTATTTACTCCACCCATTGCAGTTGAAGTTGCAGTAATATCAGCCCCCTTGCTAATTAACAGCTCAACCACATGCTGATGCCCCTCATGGGCTGCGGCTTGTAAGACATTACCGCATCCCAAGTAGTTGATTGGAGCTTGGTTACTGATCAATATCTCGACGATTTCGTGGTGGCCTCCACTTGCGGCTGCTTGTAATGCTGCTGAGCCTTCCTCCTCTGTCACCTTGGCTTTATAGCTGATCAAAAGCTTAACAATCTCCTCATGTCCATTTCTTGCTGCTCCCTGTAGTGCTGTACACCCTTTTTCTTTAGATGGAGCTGCGTTAGGATCGGCCCCAGACTCGAGTAAGAGCTGTACCACATTTAAATAGCCTCCTTCAGCCGATGCTTGTAATGATGTACGACCGTCCACGGGTGCTGGCTGCTCGTTGCAATCAACCTCATGATTGAGAAGTATATTGACAATCTCCAAGTGCCCCCTTCCTGCTGCCGCCTGTAGTGCTGTGCGTCCATTCGTGTGGGCCGGGGCTGCGTTGAAGTCGGCCTCAATTCTCAACAATTGCTTGAACATTTCCAGATTTCCACCCTCGGCAGCTGCCTGAATGGCTGTACGTCCTCCATGCTTCCCAGGCGCTGCGTTTACACGAGCTCCCGAATCAACGAGTCTCCTAGCAATATCAACCCACCCATTCTCTGCTGCGGCTTGTAATGCCGTTCGTCCATTGAACTCTGCGGGAGCTATGTTGCACTCCGCCCCATTGTTAAGTAGCGTTTCAACTATCTCCAAATGTCCTCCCCCTGCTGCCCCTTGTAAAGCGGTTCGTCCACCAACCATCCCTGCTGCCGCATTTACATTGGCCCTGTACTGAATAAGTAGCACAACAACATGTATATGCCCTTTCTCTGCCGCCGCTTGTAGGGCCGTACGACCGTCATTGTTGGCTGGTGGCGCGTTGACATCTTGTTTAAGCTCGAGTAAGCGGGTAACAGTTCCTATACTACCGCTTGCTGCCGCTGCTTGCAAAGGTGTTCGTCCGCTCGTCGGTGCCGTGGTACTATCTCGGTGTTCGATGAATCGCTCTGCTCCCTCACAGTGTCCTCGTACTAATGCTCGAACTGGCATATTTGTATTTTTATTAGTACGAGCCAACAACTCCTTTATTAGATCCCCATCACCAGCGTCAATTGCCGCAATCAATTGTTCATCTCTCCCATTCGCAAATCCTTGCTCCAAGTCATACACTTTCTCTCGGACAAATAGACTTTTTCGGACGGCCTTTACAGGAGCAATCATTTTATTGACCTTTTTGCGGGTTATCAAAAGGTTGTGCCAGGTTTGGGGGTCCCGTAAGCTTTTCCAATGCTTCAAGAACGCAACTGCAATCATGATGAAGAAAAACATCGGTATCGCAATTTCTAGATAATAAAACCAGCCTGGGTTGTTTTCTAATATGTTGATGTTCATTCCGAACAAACTCTGTCAAATCGTAAGTATGTAATATTAAGAGTATATCTTCTTGTATAATAAATGAGAGCTTACCGCAACAAATAAGAGTGGTAAGAATATAAACTTGAACAGGTATTTGTTAGATCAGCCTTATTCAGATATATGGATAGCTAGGACCCACAGTTATCCAACTCAATCTTTTGACACTTTCATTCATATCTCTTGACCTGTAAGCCTCGTCGATGGATATAATATTATGTGTCTAAACATCCTACGTCAGTATTTCGAGAAAAATGGAGGATTTTATACAAATTACTCTTTCGATAAGATCCCGAGTCTCTCTGAGGAGTTGGTCTTCGATAGTCTTTCCAATCTTGTCGAACTTGAACAGAATCTTCTCCATGTCCTTGATCTGTTTGAGCTTTTTTCGTGGTTGTTGCGGATGCTGTTGCTCAGTTAATGTAGGAGGACTTAGAGAAGAGAAATCGGCTACAGTAAAATCTGTGGGTTTTCGCGATTGGTTTCCTTGTTGACTTCTGGGGGGGATAGGCTCTGTAGGAGGCCGACTGATGTCGAACCAAATTTCATTCTCTGAAAGGTTTGAAATCATATCATGCAATGCTTCCGATTGTTGTTGGTAGACGCGATGGAGCTGCTCAAAGGTTTTGGCATATTTAACCATTTTCCGAACTAGCTTTCTATCTTGAAATTTGTCATCCTCTAAGACCCCCCGATTCTTTATAAACCATTGTTAGCAACTCTTCGGTCCGGTTATTTTTAAAATAAACTTGTTGATCTCCAACTCACCAATCCTGACAAGATCCGCCTGCATTTACGGATGATCTCGTTCCAATTTGTATCTAACAACTTTACCTCCGACATCACGTAGGCCATTGGCGTTTGATGCACCTCGGGTTGTTTTGCTGGCCCAAAACGAAACGTTTCTAAGCGTCCAACCCCTTGTGAGTCTTGATAACACACCATCCGAAGATTTATCAAGGCCATTTCGAATTCCCCAGATCTTTAAAAGAGTGTTAATTGCAAACTAAATATAGAAGAACAGAGATTTCTGAGCCACTTACCCCGGAAAGTGGATTTTATCACCAGCAAATGAGAACTCTCTCTTGAGTGGTTTTATTGTTTTTGAACCCGACTCTGCGCTGGAAGTGTTCTCATCATCATAATCTAAATACCACCAACGTTAAAAATTCTCGCAATCTATCGGGGTCTTGATCAAACAAGGATCTCGTGCCTTATTCTAGTGTTGCGATTTCTGGACTTACCTGCCTTAGTGGGTTCCTGCACGAAGTAGCCCAAAGTAACGTCTAAAAGCACCCGCCCTTCACCATTGGTGTTTAGAAAATTATCCATTGAAGAATAGTAAGGAGTGACTCACCGCAAGGTGTAGGTACATCCTTGGAACATCTTAAACACTGGCAGTTATGTCTTCTGAAAACAGTCTCGTAATCGATGGTCGAACCAGATTTTAGATGATCAAAGATCTTAGGAAAATTGCCAAATCCATTAAAATCAAAACTTTTTGAAAGCACTAATTTTTGATCGTGTTCAAGGTCTGGACCGTATCTAACAGAAATTAATCAGAATGCGATATCAGCGAGTACGTGATAACATTTGGTGAAATATACGAGAACAGTCTTGAGCGAATATGTCTCTGTTCCCCAATGTTAGGAAAAAAGCTCCAAGAGATTTATGGTTAAAAACATACATCAAATGGCGGGAATCTATCAAGATGTTCCTCTAAAACATCCCTAACACCTTTGTTGTGTATCCAAGTGGTCTTCTCCTTTGCTTCAAACCCCTCGAAGCCTATCTCGACAAGAGTTCGACCCATAGTATGAGAGTCCATCCCTCATGGACTATTTAAGGGTTTGTTGAAACAGTAGGTGCAGAAGCTCTTTTCGTTGAAATTTTAAGTTTAAAATGGTACTTTGGGGGGGTGAATTCCCTTTGAAATACACCAGGACAATTACGCCTCTTTAAAAGACAGCTCGGATCTTCCCGGACATACCTAGTGGACTACTAAGGAGCTTCCATCGTCATGCGAAAGATCCAGTTATCGAACCATCCAATACTAGGGCGGTAAAGGCAACTTTGAATTCCTGCATGCGCTTCTCCCTCTTCTAACTTCATAACATGCTTTGCTCATCCAATTCTGCACATGTGTTGATACGTGATTCGGAAACAGGGACAAATAGGGATGCATGGGCCAAACGGACTGGTAGCGTGTGATAGGAGTAAAACATATTCCTACGTTAATCTTCAATACAGACAGGGATCGCCCCACTGGGATATCTTCTATGTAATATTTCGATGGCAGTGAGCGCTCGGGCATAGGGATTTTTGATGCCATATCTCCAATTAATTATCCAGATACCCGTCGAGGCACTTTGAAGCCCTGCGTCCCTTACTATTGTCAACCTTATCTCAAAATCAAGCACTGAGTGTAATCGACACGTGTGTGCGAATGTAACACGCGCAGCGTCCCCTCACGGTTTTACTTGACTAAAGCCAAGGAAATGCATCTCTATATACCATTCCTTGTTTGACTAGTTAGTCCAATACGCGATCGAACTCCCTGAATTATTATCTACATAGAGTCAGTATATTAATAGTGTTGTTTCCTGGTCATTTTGGTCAAACTCTCGCGTGACTTGCCGATTTTTCCTACTTCAATATTTTTTTCCGAGGTTTATCTAAACGTCGGGTAAGTGTAGTATTGGAAGAAGACTTACTTCGAAGTGAGACAAATCTCACACAAACCCGAAAATAAAACTCATGTATGTATGTAGGTGCTTTTCGAATAACCTGAATACTCTTGGAGTACACATGACAGCTCTTGGCCTTGTATGTACTACTGGCATCAAAAAGCATCATATATGTACTCTATTTACTTACTTGGTTTCCGCAACCTTTGGCTACATGTATCTGCGCTCAATTAACTGCCCCAATAATCTTGCAGATTTCTCTTCACTTTAGAGATCTTCCAGCTGATATGAAACAGATCTTCGATTCTAGCGAGCCCATCAAAATTAGCGATGATACAGAAAATTCGTGTGTTCGCTTTTACTCTCACGAAAAGTATGTAATGACAACAACTATCTGGCAATCCCTCCAGAAATCTCTACAGCGCCAAGATACAGGGTATCCGATATGTCTACTTTAGAGATTTTATAGGGCGGAGACAAATGTGTAACAGCCGACATAACATATTGCCAGCGGTAGGTGTCGATGTCCAAGTAGATCAATTTCCTTCTAAAGTAAACAATGCGTTTCAAGGTATTCGTTGGCCAAATATTATACGACTATGCCCGAACCGCAAGACATCATCGAAGGGGTTGGTTTTTGATGAGTTTTAAAATTTTGTGACTTGCTGCACTCTGGAGGAGGAATGATGAAGTGCGCGCGCCGAGAGTAGAGACATGTACCTACATGTAGAGTACATGTACCTACTCTACACATCCTCTAACTAGATCTGGCCTCGTTGTCCCAGACAAATGTAGCGCCACAAACCTTAACCTGATCGGCAATCACACATTCTCTTATGCCACGTTATTGAGAAAACTCACTATGTAAGGTAGCACAGAGCGTGAAACCTGGGGTTCCTTGATATCGAGTTCGGGACGGATATCGAGCCTATCCTGACGTTAGCGAGCATTGTGACTTGTAGAGACCATACCTTAGACATAGAGTACAATACTGTATGTAGAGTACATGTATAGATAGCTTACATGCTAGAGTAGAGTACCCTAGAGTACACATGATACGTGTAGGTACATCCTTCATTCATCGTTAAAGTTACATGTACGACTATCGCAAATTAAATTATGTTATTACTTTGGTTGTCTAGCAGATTGGGCTTCACCAGTACCTACATACATACATGTATGCAATCAAAAATACTGTACTGACATGGGAAGAGATGTTCTTATAGTCAGTCTAGAAGCAAACATCCTATCAAATTAGGAACGGAAAGATTCTCACGAATTAGGGTTGTAGATGTCTCAGCTTGCTCGATGAGGTGCCGCTTCGTGCATGGAAGAAAACCATATCTTGGCACTTGTCTACGTTCCCAGACTGCCACGACTTCTATCCCATGGAGCTGAAAAATCACAAGTTAAAAGAAGAGTGCAGTGCGGGGATATTACAAGGCGAAACAAGATTTAGCCTCGCTAAAACAGCCGACCCTGGCGCCCTGCTCCCCCCTCTTCAAATCCTAGTTATAGGATACTTGGTACTGATATATAGGTAGTTAAATATTTAAATCTCCAAGGACAAACGACATATATATCCTCAGGCACAGGTGAGGCTTATCTCATGTTTTAATCAGCCAAAATGCCTATTGATAGGACCCGGGTAATAGTAAGTCGAGCATATGGAGTAGGTAAGATAAAGTATATATTTGGCGGGTACTTGGTACGTAGGCCGACGCGACCTCATAAACGAGTGATAGATTGTGAGACCAATCCACCCACATAATAGAACTTAGGAAGAAAACCAATCTAGGTAGAAAAATCGGGCAGCATATCTTTCTAATGACTGGTTTATTCCCGGTTTCTGCGCAAATCCATGCAAGCGAATTAGAACCATGCAGGTACTTTTATAAGATGGGATTGAAAGTGGAGGACAACATATCAGAGGGTGTTAGATCTAGAATCTACCAGGAGAAGTCGAATATAATCAATGGACTCAAGGCAACCGATCAATAAAAACATCACACATTGTTACCGCCCGGAACCGGTCAGCGTTCAGTTTTGCTATCAAGGCCGATCAAACCCTTATAACTGGCCCGAGACGCATGTTAGAGTCTATCTGAAATTAAAGGAGGCGTATTATTTGTGCTCAATCATGATCATGAGTGACATTGTTTTCTCGGCCACCAGTCGTAAGCATCATTGCAATTAATATCTCCTATAATATAAAAGGCCATGACGGAATAATTTCGCAAATGACGGGTACTGATTGGCCAAAAACTTGCTGAAAGAAAGAATAAGTAAAGGAACTACGCCCCAGAGTTCGCTGAAGGGCAAGTTTCAATGGAGGTAGTAAATCCTCAAAAAGGAAAGTGGGAAGGCCCGAAGCTAGCACTAGCTACATGTAGTCAGCCTAGGTTGATTCAGTGTGCGTCCGGCAAAAACAAACATTACTCCCAGCATACTCTCTACTACAAATTAAATGAAGGGAAGGAACGTAAACTATATGATCTATAAATCTATAATCAAATTCTTTTCGAAATTATAAAGTTATGATCCATCATTGTTGCCAGTAACGTATTGTACTGCGTCAGACCTATGCCTAGGTAATCAAAACCAAATTAGTTCACAATTGAACCAAATTCGTTCACAGCAAAATTTTCGGCCCATTTCCCAAGCTGACACGGTACCAGGTTAAAAATGTTATATCTAGGTCGTCAATCACTCTTCGCGGTGGTAACACCGGGCCAATCCTAGTTAACTACATGTATATGCCTACGATAAACACGTGCACCAAATTACCCCACATATACTCCAGTTTCTTGATGACTGAACGCCATATTCTACTAGTCCACCAAAAACTCCGACTGACTTCAGTCTTTTTCACGTGCGTTGTACGAGACCGGACCCTTTGCGGCTCTTCGGCTCTCGGTGAACCCTTCGTGTTGCCCTGGCACGTGCAGTCAACAACAACCCAGAGTCCTGAAGTAAGAAGCACATGCAAATATTAAACCAAAGCAGCTCAGCCCTCGCAACGCACCCGTCACCTTCCCCACATTCCACAGCTTAAGTTTAGTATACGTATATATTCTCTTCACCCCCCTCCTCCCCCTCTCCCTTCATTTGTTGCTCCACAAACTCCACAAACAGGGAGAATCTCAAAATATGGTCACAGCTACTCCCACAACCTTCACCCGCGATGAGGTCGCAAGTAACAACACCGTCGACTCGCTCTTTATTATAATAGACTCGAAGGTCTACGACCTGACCTCCTTCGCGGACGCCCATCCCGGTGGTGCACATGTGCTTCTTCAAGTAGCTGGGAAAGATGCTACCGCTGAGTTCTTCCAGATGCATCGTCATGAGGTGCTCTTGAAATATGAGAAGTTATGCGTGGGTACTATTGCTGGGGAAACACCGCAGGTCTTAACCATGGGGCCGGGAGACTTGTCGCCTGTTCCTTATTCGGAACCTCAGGTATGTATTATGGTGGCCTTCCAGGGAACTTTCTTCTAGGGTTATCGCTAACTAGGACTCCAGTGGCTTGTGCCGGAATTCAGTAGTCCATACTACAAAGAGAGTCACCGCAAGCTTCGCAAAGCAGCCCGAATCTTTGTAGATGAGCATCTTCGGCCTGAAGCTCTTCGTATCGAAGAAGCCGGCGAGAGGCCCAGCAAAGAAATCATCAGATTGATGTGGTAAGGACACGCAAGATCTAGGTTCCATTCCATCAAGTCTAATAACAGTACTTAGGGAGAATGGAATGAATCCTATGCGTCTTGGGCCAGGAAAGCACCTTAAAGGCCACACTCTGATGGGCGGCATAGTCGCTCCAGAAGAGTTTGATTACTTTCACGAACTAGTCCTCACCCAGGAGCTCTCGAAAACTCATGGCCGTGCCTGTAACGACGGTTTCCTCGGCGGTATGGTTATCGGTCTTCCGCCTGTTCTTAACTTCTGTAACGACCCTGCTCTCCGCGAGAGAGTTGCTCGGGAATGTTTTTCGGGCGAGAAAGCTATTTGTTTAGCTATCTCTGAAGCTTTCGCTGGCTCGGATGTGGCTGGTATCAGAACCACGGCTGTAAAGTCGGATTGTGGAAAGTTCTATATCGTAAATGGAACCAAGAAATGGATTACGAATGGTGTTTGGGCGGATTACTTCACCACTGCTGTCAAAACCGAGAAGGGCTATAGTGTCTTACTCATCGAAAGAGGTGAGGGCGTCGAAACCGAGGTATGTTATCCATCATGACTACAAAAATTATGAAATGAAGCATTCAACTAAAATACACATCAGCAAATCAAAACATCATATTCCTCAGCCGCCGGAACTGCATTCATCACGTTTGATAATGTCCGTGTCCCGGTGAACCACCTGCTAGGGAAGGAACATCAAGGCTTCCCCGTCATAATGTCCAACTTCAACCACGAACGCTGGGTCATGTGCTGCGCCGTCATCCGCAGTTGCCGTGTTGTTGTAGAAGAATGTCTAAAATGGACAAATCAACGCACAGTTTTCAACAAACGCCTCATCGATCAGGCTGTCATCCGTAATAAGTAGGCAACGCCATCTTTCCCTCATGTTGTACTCAGCACTAACATTCCCTAGACTAGCAAAAATGATAGCTCTCGTTGAGTCCTCTCAATCATGGCTCGAGTCCCTCACTTTCCAAATGTGTAATATGAGCTACGCTCAACAATCCGTCTCCCTCGCCGGCCCCATTGCACTACTCAAAACATTTGCAACAAGAGCAGCACACGAGATTGCCGACGAGAGTGTACAAATCTTTGGAGGCAGAGGCATCACTAAAAGTGGTATGGGCAGAGTTATCGAGTCATTCAATAGAACCTACAAATTCGACGCGATATTGGGAGGGTCGGAGGAGATCTTGGGTGATCTGGCGGTCAGGCAGGCGATGAGGAAGTTTCCGAAGGCTATGCTTTGAGTTCTCAGCGGGGCTGGCTGGGTTTCGTAATTGTACTGTAGTTCTCATTTTTTTATATATATCCGGTTTGGGCTTTATTCAAATTTATACATCACACATAAGTACCTCTCCATCGTCATCATCATCATCATGATCATCATTATCCTAGTATGGTACCTAAGTTGCTTAACATCGTGGAGTAAAGACATACATGTGAATGACGTCTTCCTCTCACACCCTTCCTACAAGTCCATTCAATCCCGGAACACTCTAGCAAGGTCTCCTATGTAGTTAGTTATCCCCAATCAAGAAAAAACTTGACCAGCGACTCAAATCATTTCTTACGGTTCAACTAGTACAGTAGCACTCCATGCATGCATGGATCCAGAGCTCAAGCCCTACCAAAAAGCAAAACCGTGACCCAAGCTCCCCAATCCGGTACGTGGCAAAACCGACATATAGTGATCGACACTTGCTCTTGCTACTAGGTACAAACTAGAAGTTCCCTACTCCACACTCATACTATATGAAATCTACGCTATAAAAGAATAAGATGAGGTAGCTCGGGAAGTGGTGTAAGAACATCAAAGAGATATATAGGTAAACATATGGCAGCAATTATTTATATCCTTCGGTTCAGTGATTTTGAGATTGTGAATGAGCTTTTCTATAGGAGGAAAGATATTTTTTAAGCCAACTTTAGCCCGACAGAGCCTACCCTCAATAATTTGAAAATGGTAATGCAAAGTGATAATACATACATCATCAGTATACATGCGCTCTTTTTTCCTTACTCAAACCATCTATCTATTTCCTACTTCTCGCCGCAATTGCAAACTGTTGAATCCTCCTTATTAATATTAAGGAGTCCATCGCTTTCTGAACAGTTACATATGTATAGTTCGAAGATACATCCACCCTGAAAGTACATCTATATATCGTTCTGTGCTGCTTGCGATCCCAATATGCGTTTCTGCATGCCCGAGTGATATATTATGATCTTTGCCGTTCTCTCGGGGGTACATGTCATTATAGAAACTTCTGTCAATGAAAAAAAAAAAAAAAAAAAAAAAAAATATTATACGCCTCTGTTACTAGGGAAAATTATATAATCAATCTTATCTCACGTTTCTACTACTTTTGAACCCTTAGAACTCATCAGGCCGGGGACGAGAGCAGCTAGCAGCAGTCTAATAAAATGTCTGATCAACTAATCATATTGATGTAAGCACACTACACCACTTGCCAACCCAACAATCATTCAGAAAGCTGATCATGACCCTATAATAAAGGTTTTCAAGTAAAAGGAAGATTTTAAACAACCACAACTCGTTAATTAAAAGCTCTGTGTGTTGAAAATAAATAGTAGTGAAGAATAAATAATAATAAATGCGGAAGACTGTGACTTTCTTATTGACTTGCTTAACTATAATACAGGGGGCATTTCAAGCCTATATTTATACAACAATATTGTGCCTAGAACAGTCCATATATGACTTCATATTGACATATATACTAATACTCATATGAGTATTAGGACTTTGCTCCTGGGCTCGGAACACAATTCCAACACTGTGTGAAAGATTAGACCGAGTGATATGTTATGATCGTCTGTACTCAACCCGCGACAAATGTATATCGCTTTCTCAAAAGGCACAATCTGAGAGTAACGCGTACTGGATGGCTTAACTAAAAAATATTTCACTGTATATTATTCAGGAACATTTCCCCCTGTTATTAAAAGAGAAAATGAGGTATTGAGGACACGATCAGTGAAGGGACAAAAGAAATTCGTCGCGGGGGTCATGGTCCAATCCGATCATGATCATACAAATCTGCAGATTCACCACCTCTAGACAGCCTCATTGTATATATATATACACACTATCGGTCTAGATCTAGATCTATAGACCTTACTTGATCACTTCTAGAATTCCAATAAGTCTGACATAGATTAGACATAACAAGCTCCTCTAGCTATAGACACAACCACCTACCACATCACCTAAGCACTACTGCGCAACCCCAATGTCTTCTCCACGAACCTTGCGTCTCATCTCCTCAACTCTAGACCAAGCCGCCAAAGTCCCATCGTCGACTAGTATTCAGACAGCCCGCCCCAAATATCTCCAAGTTTGCCACAAAAGCCGTGCTCCATCCGGTGGCAAACCGCATTTACACTGCGGCCTCACCATGCCCGTGCCCTCAACTATAAATTCTGTGCATAGCCTTGAAGAAGGTGCAACGGTGGGCCACCAAGACACGGGTCGGGAAGATCAAAACACGTCCCCAAGTTAAAGCATGGACCTCATACGGGGAGATATCGGGGAGGCCGGGTACGGGTGCTGATGGCCCAAGATCTCCTTAACGGTAGAGGCTTTTGACTATCCGGGTACATGACATATCAAGACATCGATCATGTTTTAGAGGCTATAGTGGCGGGTATCGCGGTTATGGGTAGATATGGGTTTCAGAAGTGGTGAATAGGGGGAATGCTCTGATCGACTTGACCCTGAGTGGCAGCCGGAGGACCCGGGTTCCGAAGTTGCGTGATATTGAGATTTGTTGGAGTGATTAAAGCGCTATATACATCACATTACGCGCGTATGTTGGCTATTGTTGAACGGAATTTTTTTACGGACGTAGACTATAACTCTGGAACTGTGCGTTATAAGTAATTGCTGCAGACATGGAAAAAACGATTTTACGAGTGATAAATTATGATTTTAATAGAGCCACTCGACAATCGACTACCTATTGATCACTCACTTTGCGAAACGGTTTCCTAGCCCGTGGATAATTCAAATAATTGGTATTGCTTCCCCACTTCCACTTACATCGCCCCCAGGCCATGGGAATCGGATATCAAACTAGGAATTCAATATCCTAGTTAACTAACAAGAGCAAAAAAGAAAAAAACCAAACCCAAACCAGATACCCACCTTTCAAACCAGACCAGGTGATAATATAAATATAGAACTCCTTCCAGATTCCCAATCCCTAGTTGAGTGTGCCAGAAACAAAAGTAAATGATAGCAAAGTAGAGGTCAAGAAAGATAATGAAATTGAATGAAGGTGTATGAATCAAGTCCATGATAACAGTACGTAAAGAAAAGAGAGAAAATAGATAGCGCCTGACCCAACCAAACCCAGCCAAAACCAAAAAACCAGTGACAAAAGAAAAGAGCCGAAAGCAGTGACACCAAACCGTAAGTAACTGTAATTATATACCAGTGAATGTAAATAAGGATTGAAAAATATTGAGAGAATAAACGAATCAGAAAGAGAGATATTCTCTACTCCAATCCAAGCCACTTCAACGCCTTACTTCCGTTCTTCACCCTCTTTCGGAAGTTAGCCCTCTTCCCGTCATAGTTCTCCTCTTCATCTGTCTCTTCCTCAAGATAATAGCTAGTATCCTGCCTGCTGAGTTGTTGCGAGTCCGGCGACGGAGTCTTGATCCTAGTGAGGCCGGGCGTAGGGGGAGTATCTGCGTCTTGATTCCTTCCATGGCACCCAGTCATCTTCTCCCTGGCCTTTAGCGCAGTGTGAATTGCCTCAACAACATCAATAAACACAGCACTAGAAGTGGTCGTAAAAGGTGGGATGAGCATATCTGCGCCTGAGATAAGACTTTGCTTCGGTATATGAGGGCGCTTTCCCGTTGGCGTTGGCTTCCTCGGGACTTTGAGCGAACCATTGGGTGTGGTTGGGGTTCCCGGGCCGAGAGAGTAAGAAATTGTGGTAGCGTTTACCGAAGTCCTGATTCTGATACCGACTTTCGGGGATTTGGAGGATTTCATAGGTTTAGACGAGATCTGGGTGACTCCGTCGGCGACACATGCGACTTTGAGGAGATTTATTTCAGGTCCAAGAACACGCTTAAGTTCTAGAATAGCAGGGGAGCCGGTGTAGAAGTCGAATTCGATAACAAGGATTCGAATTTGGGGGTTGTGTGAAATGTAGTGTTCCAACTCCGGCAGCAAAAATTTACCCTTCACAACAAGGCTGTCCTTTGTGGACTTATGCTGGGCTCGTACCTTTGTGAGTGACGATGAGAGAAGGTATTTCAATCCAATCTTATTCCCGTAGTTCCACGAGGATCCCTTCTTACGTGTAATTTCTTCAATCTGCTCCACAAAACGTTTTCGAAGCTCAATCCCCTTCTTAGACTCTGTAAGATCACCGTCTTCTTCAACCCCGACGGCAACGATAAGATCAAGGCCAGAATAAGCAGACTCGTTATCCCGGGAACTCAGAACTGGACGCCAAATCTGCTCAATCTCTTCATCACCAGTGAGCCAACGTAGGTCCTCTTCATCCTCCTCATCCTCGTCCTCGGAGGTTGAAAGCTTGTCCTTATTGCTCACCGAAGGGGAAGGAGGTGGTGGGAAGTGATGCCTCATTATAGCACGCAGTTCATTTTGGATTTCCACTGGTGATTTCTCGGCGCTTGAAATGACAGTTGGGAGACTTGCTAGCGGAGGGTCCTGGTGTCCGTTTGCAAGCAATGACGAGCGCACCGAATATGGAGTCGTGTTTGTAGCGGTCGAACCACCTGACATTGAGGATTGGAATGATTCCCTTCCACGGGCATTTCCCAATTGACCGGATAATGCTGTCATGGGCGAGAGATAACGCTTCTGGGTCTCATTGTTGCGCTTAATCAAGAGCATCTGCGGGTTTGCTCGAAAAACCCCAGGGGTTTGGGGCGTGAAGGAGACGGCGAAGTCTCCAAGAACCTTTTCAAGGAACTGATCGCCATTCTCTTTTTTACCCTCCGGCGAGGGAAAATAGATTACTAGGTTTTCGTTGATAGGTGGGAACAGCGGGTCTACAGGATCTCTAGAAAGCTCTGGAAGCACATCGAAGCCACCGCTGAGGTATCTTGGTGAGGGGAGGATTGTAGCACCGCTGATATCAGCTGTTGAGCTGGGTGTGGGAGAAGAAGGACGTGCTGAATCACGGGACCCCGGTCTCTTCAAGTCTGGGGGTGATTGAAAGTCATCATCCGAGAACGC